ATGTACCATTTCTTGTTTAACTAATTAATGGCATGATATAGTGACACGATAATATTAACATATGTTTTCAGCATAACTCTGAATGTATTAATGATATATAAATGCATTGGGTCTTTTTAATTTTTTTATAAAAAATAATATTAATATTTTTTGTCCGCTGTGACGGAGCATTTTCACTTTTCACATTTGCAACTGCTCCGTCACAGCGGACAAAAAAATTAAACATTATTTTTTATAAAAGAATTAAAAAGACCAGATACATCAACATCTCATTTATACCTTCATAGTTATGCTGAAACCATGTGTAAATATTATCGTGCCACTATATCGTGCCACTAGAAAGTTAAACAAGAAATGGTACATTTTGAAGTATGATACTCTGGCGCCATTTTCAATAGCTTTTCATCCCAGCGTAATTGGACTTCAAACAGAAGTGAAAGTTACCCGCAAATGATATATCCATTGCATGGAGTAAGTAATTTTGTGTGGTATAACGAAACATATGAGTTAAAAAATAAATCGTGAAGTATTCTTAGTGTTTTATGAAAAATAGCATACTCCGTCACAGCGGAGAAATATTTCGATACCAGCCTGTGATAACATTACATCATTTAATATGTACAAGTTACAGGTACAAGTTATCCATTGTATATACGTGAGAACATTTATATTTTAACTACATGTATTAAAATTAAGTTCCCAGTATTCTCAGATAAATTTTTTATTTTCGCCCCAATAATGTTAAATTCAATGTTTCAGTCTACAGGTTACTTCAGGTGCTAGGGCATGTTTGGTGCTTAAGTAAATTAGATGAAAAAGTTTTTTTGTGGGCACTTCTCATTATTCTTTTCAACATGAAATGCTAAACATTAAATATAAACAAAGGAAAATATACTAATTATGATCTGAATTACCTATTACTTGAGTTGAATATTTGGCCAATCTCATTCTAGCCCCCTCGTACCTCGTATCCATGTACATGGGTCGTGATACAGTCTTCGAAGTATTCAATCCTAGTTTTTGCTAACTTAGACATGATGCACTCATAGTATTTATTTATAGATGTGATACATATATTTGTCTAATCAAAGATAGCATTAAAGACAGATAGATGATAATTCCCCAGATGATTCACTATCTGGTTCAAAATTGAATGATGGGGGAGTAGTACACCCATAAAGACAAGGTTGTAATGCCATCTCAATGTGGCAATATAGTGACACCTTTTAGATGACTTTCTTGAATTTCCCAGAAAATAAGAATAAAAAATACTTTAGTGTAGATTGCTTCTATGGTGATCGACCATTTCAATTGCGCAATTCTGATGAAGGATAAACTTGCAAAGACAAACAATTTTGCAATAGGCCTTATTTTTTGACTAGACAAATGTTAGATTTATAAGACATGTACATGATGTGATATTCCACAAAGCCCAGAGGGCTAGTGGAATATCATCTTGTGAAACTGTCACAGGTATTTACAGAAAATAGAATATTTGTTTTATTATTTCACTGTCATAATGTCTTCTATAATATTAAATTATACTAAGTGTATAATAAAAATGGCATTGGACTAATTCAATCCGGGTGTCGACTTTTGGCAATCAACCAAAGATACCTCAAGAAAAACCGGAAATTGCCGAAGATTGCCGAAGCTTTTCTTTGCAAACGAAGTTGGCTGAGGGTACCACGAATGTGAAGAGGATGCCTCTAATTGGTCAAAAATAGAGGCTCGGCATTCTCCGTCAGATTGAATCGGCAAAATTCGGTTGTATGGCTTACCTTCGGTTGTATGGCTTACCTTCGGCTGCATGGCCCAACCTCGATTGATTGGAAAAGATGCTGTCCCAATTCAATCCCGGGGATTTATTAAATAGAAATTACACTGGACTAAGTTGTGACTGGTAGATATCATTTGATATTCAACGGAAGTCACAGGACTTCCGTTGATTATTGCTAGTTTTAGTCAAGTGCAGGACAAAGACCAATCAGAGAGTGAGGAATATGACAGTGATATAATATTAGTTATTCAGAATTTTGCTGATTAAGAAACTTTTTAGTCTTGATTTTAAAATACTCAGAGAAGGGCTATTTCTAATAATTATTAATTTTCAGTAGATTATTCCAAATACAATTATCTGTCCTTGAATTTTAATGACTTTGATCATTTCGATAATAATAGTCACTGAAAGCTGAGGATAAATTGTCAAGTTATTGTACCAATTATATACAAATTGGCAAACGTTGTATTCAAAGATGTTCGCAATTTAAATTGTTTAAATAAAGAAGATGAATGCTATTTTTCACTTTTTCAAAGATAATAATCTTAAAAATGTTTTTTTTGAAGTTTTCAACAGTTGTCGATACAGAGCAGTGGTATAATTGCTATCCCAAACTACAATACAGTAAAGATTTTTACAATAACGCAATCATTTGTCTACTATAAGAATTCTTATTATTTGGGAGAATTTAAATATTTTTATCCCTTTTTTGCACTTTGAATCTTAAATAACTTTTGATTGACACCAATTGATAATATATCACAGATCTTTCGGCAGATTTTACATTTGAGCTTCTTAGGAATACATTGGTACATCAATTGTACATATTGTCTGCAATTTTGTCACTCCCTATAGATCTGATTCTACCTTTAAGATATTGTAAATGTCATCTTTTTTTTTACATGGTTTCAATATCCATCGTTTCTATCTCTTGACCCAGTGGAAAGCAATGATGGGTTAGTGAAATAATATTTTTCTCTATTTTGTAGAGCAATGATCATCACCTATGATTAATTATCAAATTAAATATCATTAACATTACATTCCCAATAAAACAAGTTGCCAATAGGCATTCTATTAGAACTCATTTTGTAAGATTAGGATCTTTTATTGCCACATTTTACTAAGGGGTTATTTTGTACCCCCACCCCCCCCCCCCTCTTATACCCATTGGTGTAATTAGCTTAATTTATTAACTAAAACTGTGCCAAACTAGCAAAATTATATTATGTTAATTTTGTAGAGAATTGATATTACAATGCTTATTTGATGATATTAGCACTTATAATACAGTTTGCAGATATTTTCACCTTAAGTCGCATATACCCCAAATCATTTTTAAAAGTCCAAGTCACATCTACCCCATCAAGTCGCATTTACCCCATGTATATTACTCAGGTTGCGCCTACCCCAGTTTAGGTCACATCTACCCCACCTCAAGTCGCAAATACCCCGGTGGTGGGGTAGGCGTCCCTTGTCAGGTCACACCTACCCCGCTTGTCGTCCATCCGTTCGTCCGTCTGTCCGTTTGTGTGTCCGGGCAATAACTCAAATACCAGTTGACGGATTTTATTCAAATTTTATAAGCTTATGCCTTATGGGTGTAGGACATCTGCTCGAGAAGGAATTTTCAATATGGCCACTAAATTCAAAATGGCGGCCATTTTTCGGAAAAAATATAATCTTTGATTACTCAAATACTAGTGGATGGATTTAGTTCAAATTTTATATGTTGTTGCCCAGGTACAAAGGAGCCTTGCTGAAGAAGACATTTTCAATATGGCCACCATATTTCAAAATGGCGGCCATTTTTCGTAAAAAAATGTTATCTTTGATAGCTCAAATACCATTGAATGGATTTGGTTCAAATTTTATATGCTGTTGCCTGGGTACAAAGGAGCCTTGCTCAAGAAGACATTTTCAAGATGGCCACCATATTTCACAATGGTGGCCATTTTTCGTAAAAAATATAATCTTTGATTACTCAAATACTAGTGGATGGATTTAGTTCAAATTTTATATGTTGTTGCCCAGGTACAAAGGAGCCTTGCTGAAGAAGACATTTTCAATATGGCCACCATATTTCAAAATGGCGGCCATTTTTCGTAAAAAAATGTTATCTTTGATAGCTCAAATACCATTGAATGGATTTGGTTCAAATTTTATATGCTGTTGCCTGGGTACAAAGGAGCCTTGCTCAAGAAGACATTTTCAAGATGGCCACCATATTTCACAATCGGTGGCCATTTTTCGTAAAAAAATGTTATCTTTGATAGCTCAAATACCATTGAATGGATTTGGTTCAAATTTTACATGCTGATGCCTAGGGATATTGGAACTCTGTTCGAGAAGGGATTTTCAAGATGGCAGCTAAATTTCAAAGTGGCCGACAACTAAAGTTAGTACCAGTTGACGGATTTGGATTAAATATATATGCTGATGCCTTTGGACATAGGAGCTCTGCTAAAGGAGAAATCTAAAGATGACAGCTGAATTTCAAAATGGCAACCATGTTTCATAAAAACACAATCTTTGATAATTCAAATACCATTGGATGGATTTGGCTCAAATTTTATATGGCCGCTATTTACCAAAACATGTTTTGTTCGGTGGGATTTGCTACTCAGTGGAGTTGCTGTTTTTCTAGTTAAGATTTGTTTGGGTAACCTTTTTTGGCCAACCCTGTATTTAAAAAACTGACGTCCAAAAAAGTGGTTTAGCAAAGTTCATTTATTCATTCATTCAGATGGGAAATAATGGGTTTTAGAGTATATTCAGAGAATGGGCAATGAGACACCAGAAAAGTATTCAGCTTAAAGGACATTATGTAGAGTAATGACCGTATACTTAATGTAACTTAATGTATGATTCAATGTATTATCAAACAAATATGAATGGAATATTAAGGGGTATAAAAGCCCTGTAGGATTATACAATAAACTTAAATTTTTATTATTTGAAAATGCTCCGGGTACCCATACTTTCCATTACTATGGTAATCAGATTTCTAACCAGTCAAATTGTAGAACTAATATCTTTAAATAGATCAATTTCACTGGTCAGTATCAAGTGAGCGAAGGTAACTGCGTAACCTTCGCATCTAAGATGGTATATTTATAGATATAATTTCAAGACTGAAAATGACCGTCAATTCAACACTAATTCACGATACCATGTATAGCACTCAATTTATTTTCAAAATGATTAATTGTTTTTCCAGAAAATGTGACTTCAAATAACGGCAGGCGCTCCCCTCGAACCACCGTTTTTCCTTCAACAAGAAAACTAAGTACACCTAGCAAGCTAAATGCATTTGAAACACCAAGCAGTAGTAAAACATTCCAAAATAGTGATGAACCTCCAACTTTGACTCCAGAAAGAACTCTTCCCACTCGAGCAAAACGTAGTCAAGCTCTCGAAAAGATGTTCAATTATCCAAGCGAGTCTGTTGTCCAAAGCAGTATGCCAGGTTCCAATACAAGACAATCAGTTAGAGATAAAACCATCAATGTATCTAGCTCAAAGACAACTCCCATTGTTCAAAATAAAAATGTGAGAAAACCAAGTGCAGAAAAAACTTCAAAGCAAATTGCTCAACATGTAAGGAAAGTGGATAAATTAATAACACCTTCAAAACCCAAATCAGTTTCTACTGCTAGAAAATCAGCAAGAGAATCTGAAAATGTATCAATTATAAAAGAATCATTTCAGAAAAATGCTTCAGCTGAGGTAAAATCAAAATGTGCACCAGAATTACCTCCTCTAACTCCCCCCACACAGAAAAGCATTAAGTCTCCATATGTCCAACTCACGAGGAGTAGCAGCGGTAAACAAAAGAAGAAAAGATCCACATCAAAAATCTCAACAAATGCCAAAAAGGAACTGTTCAATGAATATGCAAGCTTAAATCTCCAGCCAAAACTGAAACTCCATAGGATAGATGATGTTTTACTGAAAAAAATCGGTATTAAACAAGATAACAAAATTTTGCCCAGTATATCAACTGATGATGTATATGAACATTATCCCCTTATGAAAGATACCAAAGTGCAACAGGACAGCTCCTTCATGGCATTAATGAAAATAGCTGTTGCTATGAAAACAAAGAATTCTCCAGAAAAAAGTAATGAAGATGATAAAAAGATCTTAAGTGTATCTGATGTACAAATGGAATCCCAGAGGAGCCAAATAGCTCAAACAAGTCATGATGACAAAAGCAACAAACCACAAGGGTCAACTCAAGGTGGTTTTGGAACTCCAGCAAGCGACACATCTACTCATGTTAAAGATACAGACACAAAAGAAAGTGACAACAATATCAAGGAATTTATGTTAAGAAAAGAAAAAGCAGTTAAGAATAATAAAATTGATGAACAGAATGAAAAAGAACTCACTGAAAAAAATTCTAGAAAGTCATCCAATCAAAAAGGTTCTGAAAAAACAATAAACCCGAGTAAAGATGAAAATAATATTTTCACCAAGATTCAGCTTTTAAAATATAATGCAACTAGTATGGAGTCTAATGCGACCAGTATGGAGGAGACTAATGTGACACCTATGATGTCTAATGATACCACTATAGAGTCTAATGTGACCAGTATAAAGTCTAATGCGACTAGTATGGAGTCTAATACAACTGGTATGAAGTCAAATGATACCAGTATAGAGTCTAATGCAACTAGTATGGAGTCTAATGTGACTTGTATGGAGTCTAATACAACTAGTATGAAGTCAAATGATACCAGTATAGAGTGTAATGCGACTAGTATGGAGTCTAATGCGACTAGTATGGAATCTAATGATACCAGTATAGAGTCTAATGCAATAACTATGGAGTCTAATGCGACTTGTATGGAGTCTTATGTGATTTGTATGGAGTCTAATGTGACTAGTTTGGAGTCTGATGAGACTAGTATGAAGTCTAATGATCTCAATTTACATGGAGATAGACCGAAGGCCAATATCCAGCTTGATACAATCAATGGTTTTGACTATGAACAACAATCATCACCTGATGAAAAACACACATCTGAAAAGTTGAAAGATGAATGTGAAGTTACTTGCAGCGAAGACATTCCAATTAAAGAAACAAATGCAAGCCCTAAATCCTTGGAAAAGGAATTCACTGACCTAAAAGATGGCAAACATAAAATGCTGCACGTACAAGATACTATTATGAATACTGAATCTACAAGCAAAAATTTAACAAAAGATAGCAGTATTGAGTCAAAACTGAATGAAGTATCCAGTCAATATTCAAGTTGTCAGAACATTACAAATGTGCTTAAAAGTAATGAACAAAATCCAGTTGATGAACAGAAACTTATCAAGTCCAACAATGAATGTATGACTGAACCTTCAAACAGAATAGATTCAATTAGAAAAGATTCAACAAAAGTAGATATTTCGATTCTGACAGAAACAAACAATGTTTCTAATCAAGCACCTTGTACCAAGTACCCTGGTCACCAAAACAAAATTCAAGATAAGGTTAAAGAAAATGAACTAAATCCAGGAGTTGAACTCAAAAGTGTTAACTCAGCTGATGACTGTAAAAATGAAACAATTGTCCAGAAAGATTTTGATAAGCCAGAAAGAGCACCAGTAGCTTATACCTTATCTGATCTTATTGCTAAGGTGTCAGAGAGAACTGATGCTTCACAGGTTGTGTCCCTTAATGAGAGTTTGAACTCAATGAATAGTACACCAGACAGTGAAAATGAGTCCAGTGAAATAGATAGTGACGAGGCCTCGAGTAATGAAGATGACACTGATGATACTTCTGATGAAGATGTCGATGGAAGTGATGAAATAGGACATCCTACAGATAGGGGGAACACACCTGTGGAATCTGAAGAAACTGAGTCACTTGAAGCTCAACAGCAATCAACTGTTGAATGTATGGATGATCTCACAAATGTACCAGGCTCTAGAAATGATAAAGAACTTAACAGTAAATCTCTTCTTGAAACCTGTGCTAAACCCTCCCTAATTAGTGAATCAGCTTCCATGAATAAAAAGATAAAGGAAACCATAAAAAGTTTATCTGAAGATTCAAAGGATTCTTTTAAACTTACTTGTGATGAAGAAATGCCACAAGAATTTTCTAATGATACCGTTGACCTTGTTAATGATGATAAAAAAGCTGAGGAACAGGATGAAAAAGCACATACAACAAAGCACAATGAAATCACAAATGAAGTCAGTGAGTGTAGTGGTGATGAAAATAAAGAAGCTGAAAAAATGAAAGGAGATGATGTTGATATTGACATTAAAATAAGTGAAGCAAAAATAGAAAATGCATCAGATAAGAAATCAGGGAACACGACAAGTAATGAATATCTTGTGAAGATTAAAACAGACAAAAGTGAACCAACAAAAAATCAGTCAATACCTCATAGCTATGATAAAACATCTGCAAGGAGTGAAGATATTATTATAACAGAGCTTCAGCCAAACATGATTGATGTCATAAAAACTGTATGTGTTGAAAAGAAGAAGGACCATCTTATCGGTGAGATGCAAACACATTCTAAAACAATTGGAAACTATATTGAAGGATTAGAAGGAGCACCAGTATATCTTAACAAGTATCAAAGTCCACATAGCCAATTTGAAAAACCAGCTAAGAGTGGGTCTATATTCATGAGCTCTGAGTTAGATAATTATCTAGAGTCTGATGGCAATAGAAATGTGAACACATGCCTTCCACTTGGTGACTTTGATATTGTCTTTAAAAAGCCCAAAATCCCAGAACAGTATCGTGCAAGGAAAGACACTGAAGATCAGAATGAAGAATCTTTGATTGAAACTCTCGCTGATAAAGACGAAATTGATGGACTTAGATTTCTATCGTTTGAATCTGAGGACTTGATACTGAAATACTCTGATGAGAAGAATAAAGCTAAAGCAAAGTTTGACAAAATTATTGAACAATCTAAAAAACAAAGAAAATTTCAATTTGGGATATCACAAAACCCATCAAAATATCTCCGCCGCGTATCAAATAGGAGGAGTAAAGTGACTTCAGCTTTGAATAGTCCCTTGCAGAGTCCTTCTAAACTTAATGCAGATGTTGATTCCAAAGGATCTGATGCCTTGTTTGATAAGGAACTGTTCACGTCTCTTCACTGGAAATCCAAAGCTGGGATAGCTAAGAAACTGTCAAATGAAGAGATGAAACGAATTGGTTTGAAGTTCGTGAAACGTCGTAAGAGGAACCCAAAGTATACACACAGACCAAGTAAAAAGCGGGTTGCTACCTTTGATGCAGTAGGCAACAGGAGAAGACTTGGGAGACCTAAGAAGAAACCTGTTTTGACTGAAGGTATGTTTACAATCACATAATACTTTGTACATTTTTAGATTGCTCTCTACCAAATTATTCAATTTGTGGACAGCTGGTATCAAAAACTTTCAGTTTGAAAAAATCACCCTTTTGATCTCCAATATGACTGCCCTATCTTGTTGTATGAATACCATCAACAATTAGTTTTGATGTTATGAGTATTAGTTTAAATAATGATTCATATTTTATTCTTCAACATATATTGTAATGGTTTCTGTATGAATGAAATATCCATTAATGTACATGTATTGTTATTTTGATAATGCAACCTAAATAGAGTGGGATATTAGCCTGGGGGTATGAGACCCCCGGGCTAGAAGTTTCTTTTCATATTGGATTATAGTTTTGGATAGTTTGGGCTTGTTTTCCTTGGACTAGTGTACACTGATATGTTTTATTTTCCTTGCTGGGTTCCGTAACAATTTTTGGTCCTCTCCCTTTGGCACTTTTGTTTACATATCCAAAAAGGCTTTCACTGATAATTCATAGTGAGCAGAAATTAAATGAGTTAAAAAAGATGGTTGAGGGTGAAATAATATACAGTGTAATATTTATATTTCAGATTTAAACCAGGAGGTAATGGTGACAAAGGTCTTAGAGTCACCCTGCAACTACATCACTGAACAAGATGCTGTGTCTGCATTAATTACACTCAAAGGTATTTTGGGAAGTTGCAACAGGCAATGGGCAATCTTCTTATTGTTTTTTCCAAAGTTGCTTGTTGTGGAAAATTCGCAACTGTTTTCATGTTAAAATTATAATTTCCAATAAAATGCTAATTGTTTTCATTCATCTCGCTGTTTTTGAGGAACTCTAATCAAACATTGGAACTGTTTATTTTCAAAAGCTTCTTGACTCCTTTATATGTTGTTCCTTTAACTAGCAGCAGGTGGGGAAAAACTGTTCAAGTGAGACAGTTATTAGACAATCATTTTTTACAATAATTTATTCATGTAGATACAATAGTTCATAAAATAAACAAGGTTAATAACATGATTAACTAGATTTACATAATCATTCTGATATTTTGATCAGTGGAATTTAAATATATAACCTTTTCAGATTCATTATCAATTATAATCATCATACAATGATATTTGTCGTAAGGATTTCATAAATCATATTTCATGATTAGTATTGCATCAAAATTATTTAGGATTTTTTTGTATATTTTGCAGTTCCGCCATTATCAGAGTATCACGCCAAGAAACCTAGAAACCTTACTACTGGTAAGAACCTAGAAAGACCATATTCTGCAAATTTTGAACTTCCCCCAGAGTTTCCAGTCAAGAAACCCAGAAACCTTACTGGGAAGAAGCTAGGGCGGCCATTTGCAAAGGATAGAAAAAAGACCATATCACCATGTAAAAAGCCAGGTATGTCATATAACAACCATCATATAAATCAGAACCACTAGAGATCTCATAATGAAAGCATGGGGCTATATGTGGCCATGTTTGTTGTATTTTTTCTTCTACCATGGCCCTATAGAGAGTGGTTCCAGCGCAAATTGGGATATTATCACAATATTTATCATAAATATTATAGAATTCATTATGATTATCAGCCATGATAAAATACATTAAACTACCAGTCTTGCTTCCCAAACAACATACTAAGAATTAAGAAAGTACTGCACAAAGAAAAAAATTCTAGAGATTACATTTTCCACATTAAGATCTTTAACCATTATGTGATATTATTTATCTCTAGATCATACATGATGGAAATCCCTAAACGCAGACATATGCCCCATATTCTTCCTCAATATGCATTGTTTCCCATGTACTAAAGACTAATTCTGTATGTTAGGCTGCCGCTATGGTTGTATATGCCACCTATGTGAAGCCAACACATCAAAACAACCTCTCAAGAGCCACACTGAACCCCTGTGTGATAAGGAGTATTGTAAACTGGGCTGCATCTGTGCAAGCATAGGAGCTGCTAAACCTAAACATGCTTCAACAGAATGTAGGAAACCAGGTAATTATCATCTTAAATTATTTTATTGCTGTACCACACGCTGGTATCGAAAGATTTGTCCGCTGTGACGGAGCATGTTATTTTTCATAAAAACACTAAGAAAACCACATAATTTATTTTTGACTCATTTGTTTTGTTAAACCAAAGAAAATTACTCCATGCAGTGGATATATCATTTTCACTTCTGTTTGAAGTCCCAAGAACGTTAGGAGGAAAAGCTATTGAAAATGGCGCCGGAGTATCATTCTCCAAAATGTACTATTTCTTTTTTAACTTTTTAATGGCACGATATGGTGACACGATTATATTTACATATGTTTTCAGCATATCTCTGAAGGTATTAATGAGATCAGATGTAGTGCAGTCAGTTAGGTTTTTAATTGCACATGCTATATATAAAGCACCATTTTTTGACAGAAGTATCATTAATACATACATTTTTGATATCTAACGAAGTGGTGGTAAAAAGTGACCCCAGTTGATAATAGCAGGCCTCGAAAATTTTGCACTTTTACATAGAGCTCCATGTTAATTTAGCAATCTTCATAAGTCCCCCTGCAGAACAGTTAAAGAGAAAAAAAGCCAATATTCCTCGTATGGTACAATAACTTGATTATCTTCAAAATAAGAAGGGTTGTTTTTTTTCTTTTACCTAGTTCCAAAGATATAGGAGTTTGAAATTTGGAAAATCCCCATTGGCTGCCATTATAAACTGCTATCAATATAGCTTTATTAAAGTGTCCTTTTCTCAAAAAGTCCACTACGAAATTTTCTAATATTGTAGATTTCTATAGTTAATATATTGACTTAAAAGAAATCAAACAGGCACATTTCTAAAAATTTCTTATTTTTAATATATTTAGCCGTGAAGTTGTATAAAAAACCTATATTGAGCCCCATGTTAATTTATCAATCTTCAAAAGACCCCCTGCAGAACAGTTCTAATGTAATAAAGCCCACATTCCTAGCATCTTACAATAACATGATTATCTTCAAAATAAGAAGGGTTGTTTTTTTCTTTTGCCTAGTTCCAAAGATATTGGCATTTGAATTTTGGAAAATCCCCATTGGCTGCCATTATAAACTGCTATCAATATAGCTTTATTAAAGTGTCATTTTCTCAAAAAGTCCACTATGAAATTTTCTAATATTGTAGATTTCTATAGTTAGTATATTGACTTAAAAAAATTCAAACAGGCACATTTCTAAAAATTTCTTATTTTTAATATATGTAGCCGTTAAGTTGTATAAAAAAACTATATTGAGCCTTATGTTAATTTATCAATCTTCAAAAGACCCCCTGCAGAACAGTTCTAAAGTAATAAAGCCAATATTCCTAGCAACTTACAATAATAAGATTATCTTCAAAATAAGAAGGGTTGTTTTTTTCTTTTGCCTAGTTCTAAAGATATTGGCATTTGAATTTTGGAAAATCCCCATTGGCTGCCATTATAAACTGCTATCAATATAGCTTTATTAAAGTGTACTTTTCTCAAAAAGTCCACTATGAAGTTTTCTAATATTGTAGATTTCTATAGATAATATATTGACTCAAAAAAATTCAAACAGGCACATTTCTAAAAAATTATTATTTTTAATACATGTAGCTGTTAAGTTGTATAAAAACCCTATATTGAGCCCTATGTTAATTTAACAATCTTCATAAAACCCCCTGCAGAACAGGTCTAGAGTTACAAAGCCCATATTCCAAGTATCTTACAATAACATGATTATCTTCAAAAATAAGAAGGGTTGTTTTTTTCTTTTGTCTAGTTCCATATATAGGAGTTTGAATTTTGGAGAATCCCCATTGGCTGCCATTATAAACCGCTATCAATATAGCTTTATTAAAGTGTCCTTTTCTCAAAAAATCTACTATGAAATTTTCTTATATTGTAGATTTCTATAATTGGTATATTGACTTAAAAGAAAACAAACAGGCACATTTCTAAAAAATTCTTATTTTTAATATATTTAGCCGTGAAGTTGTATAAAAAACCTATATTGAGCCCCATGTTAATTTATCAATCTTCAAAAGACCCCCTGCAGAACAGTTCTAATGTAATAAAGCCCACATTCCTTAGCATCTTACAAACATGATTATCTTCAAAATAAGAAGGGTTGTTTTTTTCTTTTGCCTGGTTCCAAAGATATTGGCATTTGAATTTTGGAAAATCCCCATTGGCTGCCATTATAAACTGCTATCAATATAGCTTTATTAAAGTGTCCTTTTCTCAAAAAGTCCACTATGAAATTTTTTAATATTGTAGATTTCTATAGTTAATATATTGACTTAAAAAAAAATTCTTATTTTTAATATATGCAGCCGTTAAGTTGTATAAAAAAAACTATATTGAGCCTCATGTTAATTTATCAATCTTCAAAAGACCCCCTGCAGAACAGTTCTAAAGTAATAAAGCCAATATTCCTAGCAACTTACAATAATATGATTATCTTCAAAATAAGAAGTTTTTTTGCCTAGTTCTAAAGATATTGGCATTTATATTTTGGAAAATCCCCATTGGCTGCCATTATAAACTGCTATCAATATAGCTTTATTAAAGTGTACTTTTCTCAAAAAGTCCACTATGAAGTTTTCTAATATTGTAGATTTCTATAGATAATATATTGACTCAAAAAAATTCAAACAGGCACATTTCTAAAAAATTATTATTTTTAATACATGTAGCTGTTATGTTGTATAAAAACCCTATATTGAGCCCTATATTAATTTAACAATCTTCATAAAACCCCCTGCAGAACAGGTCTAGAGTTACAAAGCCCATATTCCAAGTATCTTACAATAACATGATTATCTTCAAAAATAAGAAGGTTTTTTTTTCTTTTGTCTAGTTCCATATATAGAAGTTTGAATTTTGGAGAATCCCCATTGGCTGCCATTATAAACCGCTATCAATATAGCTTTATTAAAGTGTCCTTTTCTCAAAAAATCTACTATGAAATTTTCTTATATTGTAGATTTCTATAATTGGTATATTGACTTAAAAGAAAACAAACAGGCACATTTCTAAAAAATTCTTATTTTTAATATATTTTTTCGTTAAGTTGTACAAAAAACTATATTGAGCCCCATGTTAATTTTTCGATCTATAAAACAGAACAGTTCTAGAGTAATAAACCCCATATTCCTAGTATCTTACAATCACATGATTACCTTCGAAATAAAAAGGGTTGTTATTTTTCTTTTGCCTAGTTCCAAAGATATTGGCGTTTCAATTTTTGAAAATCAACATGGGGCTCAATATAGGTTATTTATACAACTTCATGGCTAAATATATTAAAAATAAGAAATTTTTAGAAATGTGCCTGTTTGATTTCTTTTAAGTCAATATACTAACTATAGAAATCTACAATATTAGAAAATTTCATAGTAGACCTTTTGAGAAAAGGACACTTTAATAAAGCCATATTGATAGCAGTTTATAATGGCAGCCAATGGGGATTTTCAAAAATTCAAACGCCAATATCTTTGGAACTAGGCAAAAGAAAAAAAACAACCCTTCTTATTTTGAAGATAATCATGTTATTGTAAGATGCTGGGAATATTAGCTTTATTACTTTAGAACTGTTCTGCAGGGGGTCTTTTGAAGATTGATAAATTAACATAGGGCTCAATATAGGTTTTTTATACAACTTACACTTGGTAAAAATGGAAAAATAATATAGAATAAAATGTTTAATATACTGCAAAATAAGTTGCATTAAGAGAGAATCATAGAGAATATTTTTTCCAGTATAATAGGCAGTTATTTTTTGTATTATAGCGGAAAAAAAATATAATACGTATTTTGAAGAGTTATTTTTGATTTAATAATATTATTCGTGTATTATTTAAAGGGAACAACATATAATACCATATAATATAGAATAATATTTTTGTCAGGAGCAAATAATATGTTGGCATCTGCAATCAAAAACCGATTATACGCGTTTATTTTCGAGCCGTTAATCCCTTATTATTCAATTCCTATGAAATGAGTTTCATTCATACTTATACTTAAGTAATTAATCCGTTTGTTATGGTTAATGGATTAATCTCTACAGCTGATGGCTCTAAAATATTCCACAAAAATAATTTGCAGAATAAGTTTTTACATATATATTTGATTGTATAATGTCCCTCATGTTATGATTAACATTGTGTTAAATTTTTGATTCAATCAATTAATTCATTGTAAAGTTAATTTTTGGATTTTTAATTAATTGGTTTTCCTCACATTTTTATTCCATTGTTTCTCTGTCACATTAGGTTTTTGGCAAACAACTCTTAAATCCCCCTCTTACACAGATACAAACAACCACCTGTATTCACGTTGCCAACAAAAAACAGTCATGACACAGAACTGCTCAATAATTAATAAACACATCACGCATTTTATACAGAACCATACTTAAGGACCCCCCTCCCCGTGGCCAACGATTCTTTCAAATTCATATAGTTTTTCAACATTCACATACATGTATTGACATTCCAGAGCAATATAATAAGTCAAACTTTAATCCCTAATTATTCAATTTCTATGATTTGAGTTTTGTTCACACCGATAAATAATCTGTTTGTTAGAGTTAATGGATTAATTTCTACAGCCGATGGTTCTAATTTCAACCAAAAAATAATTTGCAAATTTAGTTTTTCATATTTATTTGATCGTATAATGTCCCTTATGTTATAATTAACATTGTGTTAAAATTTGGATTTAATTGATTGACTCAATGGAAAGTTAATTTTTAATCAATGGCTTTCCTCACATTTTTACTCCATTTGGTTTCCTCCCAATTTAAATCAATAGTTTCTCTGTCAAATTAAGCTTACAACAAACAAGACTTAAAGCCCTCTCTCACACTGACACAAACACCTTTATTCACTTCACAAACAACACAAAACATTGATGACACGAAACTGCTATATATCAATACATTACAAATTTGATACAGGTCCATGGCAAGGAAGGGGGGGGGGTCGTTGGGTTCGATTAAATCACCCTCCCCCTTGCCAAAATTCTTTCAAAATCCTATTATCAATTGTGAACCCTTGGTATGTTTTGAAAATTGATCCGCTTGGCTAAAACTTATTACAAGCCTGTAATATATTGTATGTTTTGCTCCGATTTTTCTGACAAATCACTGATAATAAATAAGGAAACGTCCATTAGGTTAACCGATAAAAGTGGTGTTAATCCATGCTAAAACAAAATGAGAACTTGTATTCTCTCACATTTCACAATTCGTGTGTTTTCTGTTACCCATATAATATCTGAGATATAAACCGGGGATATCCTGGGAGGGGGGATATAAACATCAGATTAGTACATGATGTTATACATTTGTTTCTACTACAATTGGATCATTTCTTTTTATTACAACTTTATTTTGTTTTCCATTTCCAAATATATATATATTCAAAAGGTGCGAGATTCGGTATGTTTAGTTGTTTGATAATGAAAATAAAGAAGTGGGCACAATTTAATGTTTCATCTGACAAAGCAATGATTACGCTTTGAGTAAATTGGTGCTTGGTAGAACAAATTGATGTAAATAACATATTGACATACAGCATGTCAGAGCAATATGATAAGTAAAATGTTAATCCCTAATTATTTAATTTTTTTAAATATGAGCTTCATTAACACTGACAACTAATCTGTTTGTTGGAAGCAATGGATTAATTTCCTACAGCCAACAGTTCTGAGTTCCACAAAAAAATTATTTGAAAATTAAGTTTTTCATATTTATTTGATTGTATAATGCCCCTTATGTTATGATTAACATTGTGTTAAAATTTCGATTTAATTGATTGACTCAACGAAAAGTTAAGTTTTAATCAATGGGTTTCCACTCCATTGTTTCTCTGCCACATTAAGTTTACAACAAACAACATTTAAGGCCCCTTCTTACACAGAGTGAGACACAAACAACCACCTGTATTCACTTTGCCAACCACACTTTGCCTCTGACACAGAACTGCTCAATTTTTCAGTTAAATACAAGTACATTACGCATTTTATACAGGCCCGTACCTATCGAGTAACGATCCCCTCCCCTTGGCCAACAATTCTCTCAAAATCATGCAGATTTTCACCATTCACATACATGTATTGATGTCAGAGCAATATAAGTAATACCTTAATCCCTAAGTTTTTTCAATTTCTATGAAATGAGTTTTGTTCACTGATAACTAATCTGTTTGTTAGAGTTAATGGATTAATATCTAGAACTGATTCTTCTAATTTCCACAAAAAAATAATAATTTGCAAATTAAGTTTTTCATATTTATTTGATGGTATAGTGTCCCTCTTTCTATGATTAACATTGTGTTAAAATTTGGATTGAATTGATTAACTCATCGGAAAGTTAATTTTTTGATTTTTAATTGATGACTTTTCTTCACATGTTTACTCCATTGTTAACATTAATTTTAATCAAATTAAATTTATTAATTTCTTCTAAATATTTATTTTGTAAATATGTTTCAAATAGAAATAGAAAAATCAAAATAAAATGTATGTGTGACATTTGTAAGTAATGGAGATGAGAAGGCCAGTAGAACGGTTAATCCTATTAACTGCCATGCTGTGCATTCTTTGTTTTGTTTGGTTAAGTAATTAACCAGATGGATTGTACATCAAGTTGGGCGAGAATAATCGCGTATAATATTTTTTAGAACCCAAATAATACAATATAATTTGATATATTCTGTTCAGATTGGAAAATACAAGAAAATAATATTTTTTAGAATAGAAAAAAATTCTAAATAAACTGCAATCATCATATTTGGATCTTGCTTATTTCTAATTATATTATATTAATCTCTATATAATAGAGTATATTTTGCTGATTATATTTTTTTCCTTCATAATATAATATAATAATTACAATACTGAATGGAAATACTGTATTATTACGCATCTTTTTACACAAATATCCGAAAATAAAACATCTTTTTATATATTATTTTATTGATTTCACCAAGTGTTAACGGCTACATATATTAAAAATAAGAAATTTTTAGAAATGTGCCTGTTTGATTTCTTTTAAGTCAATATATTAACTATAGAAATCTACAATATTAGAAAATTTCGTAGTGGACTTTTTGAGAAAAGGACACTTTAATAAAGCTATATTGATAGCAGTTTATAATGGCAGCCAATGGGGATTTTCCAAAATTCAAATGCCAATATCTTTGGAACTAGGCAAAAGAAAAAAAACAACCCTTCTTATTTTGAAGATAATCATATTATTGTAAGATACTAGGAATATGGGCTTTATTACTTTAGAACTGTTCTGCAGGGGGTCTTTTGAAGATTGATGAATTAACATGGAGCTCAATGTAAATGGGCAAGATTTTCGAGGCATGCTATCATCAATTGAGAGGACTTTTCAACACAACTTCGTTAGATATCAAAAATATATGTACCAAAGATACTTTGGTCAAAAAATGGTGCTTTATATATAGCATGTGCAATTCTATGGTTTTATTGACTTAACTGACTGCACTAATGTAAAATTGTGTAAAATTGTGTAAAATTGTGTCTTTTTAATTTTTTTATTAAAAAAAATGTTTAACTTTTTTCGTTTGCTGTGACGGAGCAGTTGCAAATGTGAACTGTGAAATTGCTCCATCACAGCTGACAAAAAAATTAAACATTATTTTTTATAAAAAAATTAAAAAGACCAAAAACATCCAGATCTCATTAATACATTCAGAGTTATGCTGAAAACATATGTAAATATTATCGTGTCACTATATCATGCCATAAAAAAAGTTAAAAAAGAAATCATGATACATTTTAGAGTATGATACTCTGGCGCTGTTTTCAACAGCTTTTACTCCTAGCTTTATTGAACTTCAAACAGAAGTGAAGGTTACCCACAAATGATATATCAATTGCTTGGAAGAAGTAATTTTCCTTGATATAATGAAACATATGAGTTAAAAAATAAATTGTGAAGTATTCTTAGTGTGTTTATGAAAAATAGCATGCAACGTCACAGCGGACAAATCTTTCGATACCAGCCTGTGAGTACATATAGTGTATTGGATTTAAGCCTTGGACTCATGTGCTGAACCATTCCACAAAGATGTTGTAATTGTTGTTTCCAAATCTTTGCATGACCCTGCAAGGGGAATCCAAAGTTTAGGAAACAACATCTGAGTGGAATGAAGCAGCCGCAATGCATTGACACGCAAATGCCTTTGACTTGGAAACTAACTTTAAAAAATGAGCAATGTCATTAGTATTTTGATAATAACGTCCCTTATACCTATTTATTACAGCTCGTGTAGACCATTGTTGCCCGATTTATAGAAAAAACATTGACTTTTGCACGTTGGTGATTATGCGCCTTTTTTAATAGATCTTATATCTAAGAAGGGTATCAGTTCAAAAAAATGAATTTCAACAATTTCCATTAACAGTGATTTATTTAATTGTATTGTTGCAGGCTGTATGTTTGGGTGTACCTGTCCTGAGACACCACAAGTACCTGAAGTTGCTATTCCATCAACTACCTCTACTCTCCCCGCCAAAGACAACACAAGGCCTCTTAGGAGGGGCAAAAGATGGAAAAAGCCAAACTTTAACTATGGTGTCGGTAAAGAAGACTTTGTATGGATGGATGATAATGATGACATTGACTTTGATAGCTTGGCAACTTATCTAACAGTACAGGAAAAGGAAATAGCAAAAGGAATTAAAAAAGCTGAAGAAGAATCAAAATTGGCTGAAATGGGGAATTCTACAATACCAGCATCATCTTCACCACCTGCTACATCAACTGAGCCTGGCAATGTAGTCATTGATATTGATAAACCCACTGACACTATTCATTTCACTGAGAGACACATGGAAAATTCAACCAAAAGTCAAAGCCTCACGGATGATAACTTCAAACATAATGATACGCTTGATGATGAGTCTAAGATAGTGAAGCCTTTCAAAGTTGGTCGTAAGATATATCCCCTTGTCAAAAGGGCTCATGGTAAACGTGACAAGACATATACTCATTTGAAAAAATCAATGGGCTCTTTGATTCAGGCGCAGGCGGCTCTGTTTGCCAAGAAAGCTAAGATTAATCAGTCAAGGAGCAAGGTAAGTTTCATTTTAAGACAATTAAATGCACCAAACACATTCGCAACCAGGTGGCTAATGTGGGTCAGATAACATGGCAAATCATAACAAATAAAAGTGCCCTTAAATAGAATTCTCAATCTGTATCTTACCTCTTTGAGTTGAAAATTTGTCTAGGAAAAGAAAACATATTTCCTGATTTTATAACATGGGTTTAATGGGGAATCTACTTGGCCTAGAAGTCACATTTTCAAAGAAAATTAAAAAGTTCAAAGTTGATTATTCAAAAATTCAAACCGCAATTATAGATGTAAAACTGATTTTTCTTACAGGTATCAAGCCATGTTGGAAAGAACATCAGAAAGAACGTTAAGTCAAAGATAAGTCTTCCAAGCCATGACAAGGTCATAAACCAAGTTGGAAGTGATGGTATTACGAGAAAAGTGAGTCTTTGTTTAACAATCTTCCAGGGAGCAATTCCTTGAAATATTATAAATTGAATTGAAACCAATTTATGAATAACCTAGGTACCAGTAGGGACTTTCCAATTTCACCACAAGTTGGCTAACAAGAAACATGACAGCATTGCAAACGTTTCCCTAAACTTCAGTTGGATTAGTGGAGCAATTTTGACAGAACATAAAAGAAACGGAAAGGAGCAGATATGGTTTCTATTGGACAAAATTTCTTCTCTTTAAGCAGTATTTGACAATAAATGCTATGTTAATTAAGATTAAGATTATTTTACTTATACATGACTTTAGAAGTAAATGTTGACATTAAATGGTCTTTATTGCTAGAAATATGAGAAATACTGTTTTTGATAATAGGATACCCTTCTTGGTTCTTTAAACATCAAGTACTTACATAATTCCCCATACACACTTTTACTTGATGCTTTCTTATGTTTCAGTACATCCACACTATAAGAACAAGCAACATTGACCTCGATGATAGTGATGTTACACTTACAAACCTTAATGCCTCATGTGCCAGGACAACTGTCTATGTATATGCAAAAAAGTAAGAACACATATTTGTAACCATATCTTCTGAAGGGGTCGGTATCATTAGTGATTGGATCTTTTCAAGGAAAGTTGTTTCATGATCCAGTCAGTATTGAATAAACAATAGAAAATAGGATAGCATAAAAGGATACATATATACATGTATTACATACCTAGCGAAGCATTTGTATGGAAGTCAATGGGAAAGTTAGCGAGCTATATCCACCGATATTGCCCGATTACCCCGATATAGCCCGCTTACCTCGTTTTGATATTAGATTTCTTTAATAACCATGATAATATCATGACGTCACGTCATTGATACAAAGTAACCATGGGAACAAAGGCATGTAATACATCAGTTATGTCACTATGACGTGAAATATGCCTTCGTTCTTGCCCAAATATAGAGCCTCCCAAGGTCGGCCTATATTGGGAGAACTCAGGCATATTTCACGTCATAGTGACATAACCTCTAAGTATTAGTATTAGTCATTGGCTACTCATTGGCTAGCTATATGCAGGCTACGCTTGTGCATGGTGCTTGATTTGCTAGAAACAAGAACTGAAATAGATGTAGTCTTAGGGACATGCACTGTATCAATTTCCCTTTTTGTCTGTTAAACAACACAAAACTTAGTTTGGTAGCATGGACATATTATATAATGATGATACGGGAGATCCAAATATGCAACTCTCTGTTTGTGATCACCCTAAAGAGAATGTATGTATGTATGTTTTATTTAAAACTACAATAAATCCAGTCCTGTAATTTAGAACAATTGTCAATGTTATGTCTCTTTGATATTTGTATTTGCAGAAGGCATTCCTGTACATGCCAGAACCGTTCCTCATTCCATGCTTGCACAAGTCAGAACATATTGCCACCAAAAATCATACCACAAGTCCCTAAAACTGACTCTGATATTGAAGATGTAACTCCTGAAGAACCCACAGCTTCCCCAGCAATGAAAAAGGATATCACAAGTTCGAGATCAAGAAGGAAAACAAATCTAAAACCTAGAGTCGATATCAGTGATACTACAACAACAGGGTCTACTACATTACCCGTGAAAGAGTCATCCCAGAGACAACAACGTTTTGAAATGAAGGCTGCTTCAATAGGGCTAAACGCAAATGATACAGAAGCATCAGTAAATGCTTCAAACTCAAATGTGACATCAGTCAAAAGTGTGATGTCTGAATCAACTACAACATCAGACTCTCCAGAAGCATCTAAACCTGTTATCATATCTGACTTACCATCAAACTCTATTTCAACTACAAAAATAACTGTAGCCAGTCCAAATGTTATTGATATTTCAGCCTTGGAGAATAGTACAACAAATACTGATTTGACAAATAAGTTCCGTTGCCAAATGGTTCTACTACAAAGATGTAAAATGCCTAGCATATATACAGATGTTGCAAACCCAAAAAAGGTGAGAGGCCTTTATGAATCAAAAACTACACAGGATGTCATCGACCAATTTTGATGATGTGGTGGAGCAGGTGGCTTTTACAAGAAAAGACTAGTCTCGGTTTGGAGAAACGAAGCTTTGGACGATTTTGACAGAAGTCTATTTTGATCCAATTCAAAGTTAATGAAAAAGTGGCGAAAGCACTAATAAAAATGACCTGCTCCGCCACATCATCCAATTTAGTCAATGACATCCTTTGAATTAATGGCTAATTATCATAATGGTTTAATTAAAGTCTCCTCACACACAGAGGAATCCATTTAAAGCATCCTGGCAAACTTGGTAAGTCTTGCAGTTGGAAATGCGAGGGGGCCTGTGTATGAGGAGGACTTTCAGTTATGACTGAAAATTTCAATGAATTATTGTATTATGATTTACCATGTCTACATACGCTATGACTGAAAAATTGATTGACTTCATATTGTGATTGATAAGTACGTAAGTTATGACTGAGAACTTAATGACTTATTTCTTGTGATTTACAATGGCTACAATAATAAGCTATGATTGAAACATTCAATGACTAATTCTTGTGACTATTATGTTTTTTTAGAATGTGGATATGAATGTTCCGCATCTACTAGAGATTCACTCCAACTGCAACTGGGAAGGTAACAGACATGAGATACTGAACTTTCTTTCCGAGGCTGCAGATAGATGCCATCCTTATCCCAAACTGAACTCTGTAAGTTACAGCTTCATCATTTTATATTTTTAATATTATTATTTAGTCAATATATTAGTAATTCATGGTATGTTCCTTTTGAATCCTTTCATGATGTCAGTCTTTTAAGAAAACTTCCTCATTAAATTTGATAAATAGTTAAGTAGATTTAAAAAAGGATAATTTATATCGCAGTGGGATCTTTATTTCAGTAAAGTGCCGGAGCATGACATTTTAAGTCTAGATATTTTTAATTCCATTGTACATGTTTCCACTTAGTTTTAAGTTTAAAAAAGCACCAGACCTATAATTTTTTCTACCTTGTTACCTGCTCCAATGCATTTCCAAGAATTTTTTGACGATATTTTCCATTTCAGAAAATTAGCCACTCATTTACCAATATTGCCACATCTATTTCTCTGATGATCTAATTTTAAAGACAGAATTATATCTTGCTTAGCTTTAAAAAATTAGATAAATAGGATGTGACAAAATTGCAGGCAACTTGTACAATTGACCTACTAATCTATTCCGTATGATCTCAAATACAATATCTCCCAAAAGATCTGCATTATGTTATTTTATGAAGTAATTTAGGGTTCAATGTGCAAAAATGGGGGGAAAATGTTTAAATTATCCCAAATAATAAATATGGTAACCATAATTATAGAAAAATGATACATTATGTTGTTAAAATCTTGACTTAGGGGGACTTAAGTAATTAGACATGGCAAGGAATTATATAAGCCAAAACTGTTTTAAAATTGAAACAAATTTTATTGAGCATGATCACTTGATCTGATTCTCCTTTTAACAATGTGGTAAATATTTTGGCATTTTTGCTAATATTATGTTTATTGCCATGGCTGATTAAGTTACTAAATATGCATATATGTTTTTTTTCTTGTTTTTGCAGACAAAAGTTGGGAAGTATATTATTGAGATCATGAATAAATGGCACTCGCCTACACCTGTTCCTCCCCATCTTAAGTCACGCCTACCCAAGGAGCTCTATGCAATTAGAATCAAAATCACTCTTTTGGATAAGACAGAATTAGCTGGTCTTAGCTCTCAGGCCAAGGTTAACCTCTCTAAAGTAGGAGTAGCAGCTCTTAGAACTCAGTCCAAGGTTGACCCCTCTAAAGTTGGAGTGGCAGCTCTTAGAACGCAGTCCAAGGTTGACCCCTCTAAAGTAGGAGTGGCAGCTCTTAGAACTCAGTCCAAGATTGATCCCTCAAAAATCTGGACAAAGGTTAATCAATGTAGGGTTACATCAAAGTTTATAGTTACATCAAAATTTAATCAGCAATCATCTCCAAGTAACAACACACAATTTCCGAAAAATCATGAAACTGAGTCGCAAAGATTTGGTCAAATACAAGGAATAAAGAAAGCCCAAACTGCACTCGAAATTATTAAACAAAGAAGAGCCTACGGGAATGATGCTTCACTAATCCTTCCAAAACCAACTGAAATTGGAAAGAAAAGAAATATAGTTCTTGGTGATAATGATGAACCTGCAAAAAGAAAACAAGTTGACAAAAACAATATTGGCATAACAAGTCAACAAAATACTGAAACGCTCAAGATGGATGATTCCAATATTTCAAAACATGGTAACATCGCCAAACCAGATGAGAATAATGAAAATGGAAATGATTTAGAATGTCGAGATGAAAGCATTTCCATGTATGATTGGAAATTGGTGTCCGATGATGAACAGACTTTTACAAACTCTTCTTCTAGAACTAAGAGCACACAAAAACAAGAGATAAGCATGAATGCAAACACAGCAAAGATTCAATTCCTGGATGCTAAAACAGTAACAATTGCCAATTCTAAGGTAACACATAATTTGGAAATTAAACCTCAGAATGGCAACAATGATGATACAGATGTTAAACATGATATAGAATATAATGAGCCAAAAATTAAGTTCACAATTGTTGGTGAGACTATTACAGAAATTGAACCAAACTCTGCTAGTCCACGCCTTCAAAATTCAGTTAAACATAGTCAATCTGAATTAGATGAATCATCAGTTGATACAGAATCGTATACCCCCAAAACTACTACCATATGCGGTCTGAAAAAATTAGGACAAAATCTACCAAATGTTGCCACTAAATCTGTGCAAACAAGAACCAAACAAAATGTAACAATTGGTCAGAAGACATGGAAGCCAGCATGGATGCCAAATAAAACAGATTTACGGTCTTCAAACAAAAGTAAAACCACATTTGGACAATATGTTGAAGTTGAGCGTAAACGACAGAAGTCAGGTGTATCATATTTGTATAAAGGTAAAGTCAAGGTTGATATTGGGACCTCCACTGATACTACATTATGCTGGATTCCTGTCAAAGCGGATGGGAAAATGGATTCATCAAGAAGGTTAACTCCAGATTTGCCCAGAGTCTTTGCTCCAAAACCTGCTGATTTGATGGCAAGTGAATCAATGTTGGATGATGATGAAGATGATGATTATGATGATGTGGAGAATGAGCTCCTTCCATATCCAGTGATAACTGAGGAAGAACATGAAGAAGCTGTGCCTTATATTGATAAAGTCATTAAACAATTCAAAAAGCTTTATGAGCTCCTTAAGTCTCAAAGTGAACAGAAGCATACTAACACAGACAGTGAGAATCTTTCACTTCTACTTAACAGGCAATCTGTGTACAGATCTCTTGCAACAGTAATTTCGAAAATCGGGAACAAAGCTGACCCTTTACTTAAAAGCCCCTCAAATCCTCAAGAATCAAAGGAAAAACAGTTAAATGATGATAAGCTGAGTCAATATAAAACAGCTTTACAAATGGTTTATCTGCAAAGGGAAGTAATGAAAGTTGTCCCTAAGTTCAAGGAACAATTTCCTGTAGATTTCAAAAATGTTTTTGACTTTCTGACGAAAACTAGTGTACAAGAAAATGCAAATATATTGAGTACAGTTGAGAGCTTGCCTTCCATTGGGAAAATACATACAAACAAAGGACACACTGCATCAGTGAAGAAATTTGTAACACAAACCTTTCCTGATACAGCTGTTTCAACACCAATACATTCTGATGCCTCTCTTGGCTCCAAACGGAAAGATAAAATAACACTACGAGTGATATCAAGTGAAGATGACATTTCAAATAGCAAATCATCCATTCACAAACCAGGAGTTGCAACCACAGGAGGTGCTACAACACAGGCTGGTGTACCACAAAAACTTTTACTAGCAGCTGGGAAGAGTCTGCCATTGCTATCCACTGGCGTTTCTGGTTCCAGTATCCCTTGTCCTACATCGGCATCTGGCCCTGTTCAGTATCTGACTCTCACACCAGTCACACTAAATATCAGTAATTTACAACTTAGACCTGCAGTGCCTATTCAAGCAAGTACCTCAAATCATCGTGGAGGTGTTAATCTTGGGGCACAGACCCAAATTACTTCATCAAATCCTATGACAAAAACAATTAACACTACACCAGTTAGTGGTAACCCTGCACCGATCACATTTACAAATCCGACCAAGCAATATATCATTCCATTTCAGCCTAGAAATTTGAGTGGACCTATTCAGATGCTAAGACCAACAACCCTTAAACCATTTGCTGGGCCTTTGCAATTGATAGCACCAGTAAATCCTAACCAGATACCACCATCAAATCCTAATCAGAAAGTTTTAACTTTGAATGAACCTTGGCAAGTACCACATACCCCAATTAATACCCCCACTACCCTTTCAATACCTATTCCATTGGTAAGATTAGCAAATCAGTCACCTTCATCCTCCTCTGAAGCGGTTAAATCTCTAACATCAACAAGCCCTTCAACTCCATCCCAGCCTATTCAAATGCCTTCAAACATGGTCAATCACAAACAGTTGGATTCTATTGAAACACAGAATCCAACAATTCATCCACAGTCTCCTAAATCAGAGGAACCTAATCCTATTGATCAAAACCCTAGAGATCCAAATCAGCTACAGAAAAACATAGGCCTCTCTGTACAACCTTCAAATATCAAATCCACAGAGCCTCTTCAGTTACCAATAGTTCAGCTGGAGACTCGAAAACACACTGGATCGCCAGTAGACCATCCAACAACTCAAAGGTCTACAACACCTATTCAGAATCCAGTTACTAAAGCTTCATTACCAAACAAAGATACTGTCTTAACATACGTAGCCAACCCATTGGGCAAGAAGTTGAGGCCAAATTCATCTGGTCAGTGCACTGAGAGTGCAATACTGCCTGCTGAAACAATTGATGAAAAACCATGTTATGTAATTGTGCCTAAAGATGGCATTGTTTCCCTACCCTCGGGTGTCCGGCTGAAAGGCAAGAAGCCTGAGAATCTGACATTAATAAATTTTAAAGATAAAACATATAGACAAGCTAACAAGGGAAATGATGTTGAAAGAGACACTAATGAAGATCCTAACAAAGACCTTAACAAACAACTTGAAATGTTAAGAGAAAAAGAAAAAATGTTGATACAAAAATTACCTTCAAACTGGCATCGTAACCTTATGAAGCAATATTCTACTGACACTAATGTAGGCCAGGAAAGTAATTTTGATGAAACACAAGCAAGTAAAAGGAAAAACTCAGACGGGGCACCAAGTAGTAAAAGACTGAAGAGCTATACTAGTGCTGCTACAGATAATGTGATCACACTGGATGATGACAAAGAACCAGCAGGAATAATCCTCAAATCTGATCAGGTATGTGACATTTTGCTTTTTTTCACATACATTTTAGAGAAAGAAATGAGAGGTTAATTTTGACAGATAAATATGTAGATCCAAACAACGCTATCATTGCAGATATTACATAGTAATTAAAACCATAATTTTTGCTACTTGTTAATCTCTCATAAATGTTAACTTTATGCCTCTTAAGAGTGCCTTCCACATCATAGTGTATCAGATTCCTGCTTTTTCAATCATTTTTTAAAAATTTGAACAGTTATGTGAAAATTATGATTTTCTTAAACAAAACAAATGAATGTTTATTCTAAGGGCAGAAGGGCCATATTTTTTATTTCTATATTACTAAATAACTCTTTTTGTTCGATATTTACCACCAGGACAAAGATGCTGTAGCCACTAAAATTCCTGTCCCAGTTGCACCAACCCCAGACAATGAGCTCTGTAAGGATGCTATACCCAATCAAGAAAAACGGTTTAATGAGAGTGAAGCCTCACAAGAGAAAGAGCTTGGTCATAAGCCCTTGGAGGGAAATTTCAAACTTCAAGGTGAATCCCATGTAGAGAATCAAGCATATGAAGATGAAAAGAATGAAACCTGCATGGAGATTGTACCATCTCAAGATGAACTCTGTGTGGAAAATGAACCCTGTATGGAGACTGAACCATCTCATGATGAACCCTGTATGGAGAATAAATCCTTTGTTGGGAAAGAAGTATGTCAAGGGAAATCTTGTGTAGAGGACAAACTACATATGCAACCTGAGCCATCTCAGGATGAAACCCTTGTGGAGATTGAACCATCTAATGATAAATCATTTCTGGAGGATGAGTCTTGCAATGAGAACAAAACCTTTGTGGAGAATGAGCCTTCTCTGGATAATCAGTGTATGGAGATTGAACCATCTCATGATGAACCCTGTGTGGAGATTGAACCATCTCATGATGATTCCTTCATTGATATCAAATCCTGTGTGGAGAATGACCCTCCTCGGGATAAACCGTGTATGGAGATTGAACCATCTCATGATAATCCACACATGAATGCTGAAACCTGTGAGGAAAATGAAAATAGTCAGGATAAGTCCTGTGTGAAGAATGAAATATCAAGGAAAATACCCTCTGTGGAGAAAACTTCCTCTCAGAATGAACCCTATATTGAAGTTGAACTTCATGAGGATGATGCAAATGAAGCACCTCAGAATGAAAGTGAAGGCTGTGAGAAAATTGAACCTCTGGACAACAAACCTTGTGAGGAGATTGAACTTTCTGATGATGATGATGTCATTGAGGATATTGACATTGAAACATGTGATGACAGTGAGCCAACAGTTGCCACCTTACAAAGAGAGATGGATAACCATCCAGACAGTCTGCCCCCAGCCCAGAGATGTGTGTTGCACCATGTTAAACAAGCTGCATTCAAAAACAAGAGGAAATCACCTATTCAGTATGCCAGACTCGTGAAAAGCCAACCAGTAGAGATCAGAGAGGTATGTAAGAATATATGGGAACATTGGGAAGGGAACTTACACATTTCTATCTATAATTGTATTTACATGTATTTGGGGCTGGGCATGCTTCTGTCATGTTTTTACGGCATTTTTTCTAATCCTAGTAGGAACTTAGGATAATGTCTGAACGTTTTTTCACCAATTGGCACTTTAGAATGTAAGACAAACCCTCCTGTTTGGTGACAGTTCATGGAATAAAACTAACAAATGTCTCTTTAAATACTTTGCAAAGTTTATTAGAAATAATTAAAATCATTTAAGAAAAACATGTGGTTCGACATATAATATCTTCATTTCACCAAACAAGAGAGCTATCTGTAATGTAAATCAAATAATGTAACTTACTCGGCCAATAATGCCTTGATTTAGGCCATGTCAATGCGGTTGTCAATGTTGTATATAATATTGTTTAATGAATGAACAATAAAAACTAAAACTAAATCCTATACTCCCTATCATTTCGTCTTGACAGTTTGACTAGACCTTTTTGTGTCATTATTTCAACCATAACATTGGAATGGATGTCATTGAGAATTTGAGAAATAGTTTTATGAGTACTTTATTGAGTACTTTATGATGTCATAAACATTTTTTACCATGAGATTACAGGATGTCACAGACCCTGTAATTTTTGAAATACCTTTCTAAATTAAATTTTTAATGTTGTTGGTTTGAAGGTTGAGAAATAGTTATTGTTTGATCATTCTTGGTAAATCTTTAGGGGCCATTTTGGACTTCCAATCCAAAAAACTGTTTATTCATGGGTATGATACTGTTCACCCTGTGTCTTGTTGAATTGTTATTTTGTCTTCTTATGCGTATTGTTATAGCCTAATTTTAATTTTAGGAAATTCTTCGAATTGAAAGATTAGCAGCACCTAAACCGAAAGGCCATCACGTACCTGAAACTATGGATGGTTCAAACAGGCACAGCGAAACGTAAGAAATTCAAAATTCATATTAGAGAGATTTCGCAACTCACTTTTAGCATGTTTATTATTTCTGTATAACATATTGAGTGTTTGATAATGTCATAATTTATTGTGTAGCTCTATGCTACCATAAATGTGTTATTCTTACATATAGATGACCATTTATGAGAATATATGAGGTATTTACATTTCAAGCTTTTCATCATCCATTGTATCATTTTATTCTCTCAACATGCATTGTCGTGAATTCACACATAGCTAGGCAAGGTGTGCCAAATTCGAACAGAGTATTCACATGATGAACAGTGTGTGAAATATCAACAACGCATTGAGATTGAAATTGAGTTTTCCAAGACTTGACCCTTGCAAAAAGTTTCATTGAAAATATTTTGCAATATGTGAAAAGAATTTAACCCCAAAACTCAATGCATTGTGGCTGCTTCATTGCATCTTCGTGGAATGGTTCAGCACACAATGTACAGAGACCAAAGCTTAAATTCCAAGGCTTAAATCCTTAAATTGTATGAGTGAAATGTCTCTTGACCTCATGTAGACTAATGGTTTCTGATTCTGATAATGGTTCTTGCATTGTTTCTTTACACATTCAAGCTTGACTTGGGTTATATGGTTTTTCCTTTTTTGGCTGTACCCTTTTATTCAATATTTTCCCTCTCTTTAGGAAGATCCTTTTTTTATTATTAGTTGTTTTCATTTGGCACTTGTGCATACAGGGGGATTAAAGACAAATATCTATTTAAGCACAAGTGCCAAAGGGAAAGGACCAAAAGTTGTAAGGGAACTTAGCAAGAAAAAGCAAACTCTAAGTGCATACCAGTCAAGAAAAACAAACCCCATATATCCCAAAACCATGATCTAACGTGAAAAGAAACAATGTCTAATACCCCCTTTCCCCCACCATTCAAGAACCGATATCACAATCCAAGACTAAAACACCAAGGGACATTTGTGATAAGATGTTGATATTTTGATTATATTTCCAGGGAGAAGAAACGGAGAGACGAGATGAGGCAAATGTTCAAGAGACTGTGCCACTTGGTTATTAAAAACAGTCCAGATCATAACCACTCAAAACATTACATTCTCTCAAACGTAAGTCAATCAGTTCTTCACACTATAATGCTATTTTTTGTCACCATCCCAGATCATGACATGTTGTTATAGTCTCCAACATTTTTGTGGATGGAGTAAACTTTTGGCATCTGTAACAAATGGCATTTTGCTTGTAAATGCCTTGTTATCGTTTTTAGGCTGTTAACTAATTATTATAAATATTTATAAGCGACCCTTGTAAGTTGATTTTTTGACATGAGATATCTCAAGAACAGTTTATTCAAATTAGACAGATTGATTTTCAGATAACAGAATAAATATTTTATTTTTTAAAAGTTTACTACTAAGTTTTATTCAGGGTCAATAGCACTATTTATGTTTAATACTATTCCAAATTGAAATTTAATCGATCCATTGAAAAAATCCCTCTATCATTATTCAACCAATCAAACGAATTTCAGAGGGGCATTGAGAATGGCATCTTCCATCCTTACACACATCCTTCTGTCTGTCTGGATAATAACTCGAATACTGCTCAAAAGTCAATTTTCTAGTATGTGATTGTGTAATTTTTATGTTTTACTATAAAAAAATAGTGCAACTCTTTTGTTGAAATTTTATATGTGACTTTGCAGAAGCATATTACTCTTTAGACAATTTGGCCAGTGAGGGGCCACCATTTTTACTTGTGTTATTTTGTATCTTTTGCTATACTTTAATTTAAATAGAGGATCCATTCTGTGAACATTTTCATGTGAATAATAAAAAGCATTTTTGCACTCTCTAAATGACAATATGGCTAGTGAGTGGCCATTTTGGAAAATGGCAGTCATTTTTATGTGTGTTATTTCACATTGTTGTTCAACTGAAAAAGTAGTGGGGGGATTTTGTTGTTAATATGTAAATAAGCATATTGCACTGTCTCATGAAAATTAGGCTAATAGGAGGCCATTTTGAAAAATGGATGCCATGGCTGTTTGATGGGATTAGCAATGTCTTGGTTTTGCTGTTATCAAACCGTTCATTTACACAAATTTTTTAAATTTTCTTTTCAGGTATGCAGCAAGTTATATTTTGCATTTGGTTTATTTAACTTAGCCTTGCTGCAATATTCTTCCAGGCAATAGGTCATATTAAAAAGATAGAGAAGCAGGAGCAGGTCCTAATGCTTCAGAAAGATTCACTGATAACAATCAATAGATTACTAAAGAAGAAGGCTAACAAATTGCAAATCCAAAGTAAGTGTAATCTGTATGTCCTAAACAGTAGTAGTGTGTGCAGTTTTATTAAGGTAATTTCCTCCATTCATCTGCTTAATTAGTATTAATTCTATGATATTTCATACTTTCAGTCGGGGAACAGCACTTAAACTGAGGAATGGAATGATGACTATCCAGCCATTTCTATAACCGCCATCTAATGAGCACATTGATGTGACTAACATCTTTGTATGACCACCACCATTTTTGTGCTGCTTGGACTGTCATTGTGTTGTGACTACCATGTTGATGCCATGGGTTGTATAATTGAACAACTGTCATACTTCAGAAGTTGTCATGCTGTCACAATGTCATATTAAAGCTTTCAATACTGACAAGGGACAACTGTTTCATAAGAGGATATAGCAGGATAAAGACTTTAATGCATCCTCCGAACGCAGGGTTCCAGACATCATCCACTGAGTTCTTCCTTCTGGAAAAAGGAAGTATGAGTTCTGGAGGCCTGTGTTCGAAGGATGCTTAAATGGAACCCAGGTTTTTAATAAAAGAATATTAGACATTGAGGGCAATCACATAACATTCAATATAGCATTAAACATGATGAACAAGGAAGTGATTACTACATTAAATTAGTTTTGTGAGAAAAAAAGTGATACTTTTACTCAGCATAACTGATGGATTCTTAAAACTCACAAGAAATGAAATGGATTGGAAAAATATTAAGTTGAAAAATTCCTTATTAATGCTGTGCATTCAGTAGGCTACAGTTAAAACAGACTGCACAGTAAGAGAGACAAATTTGTATGGCAGAAATTGCCCCTCTGTTCATTTATTCCGATCACTTGACATGGGGTAAATGGGACATTGGGGTAAATGACTATTTAATTGGCAAATTAACTGTCAACATTTGGATGTCAAATGCCAACATGAAAAATACCTCTGCTCATGTTATTTTTAAAGGCATTTATGCTCAACAATTATGCAATATATTTTTGAAATCTTATATTTTGAGTGGAATAATATTTATCAATGTGTAAAGGTTAAAAGCACAAGAAGCGATTATTTAGTTCTGATATATTCATCGCAACTAGGCTATTTAATAGAAGGATGGAAAATGATTTGATAGTAGATTTATTCCATGAATTTTTGAAAAATTGTATATTTATCACATATACTTGTATATATTTAAACACATTATGTAATGTATCCAGAGTAAATAGCAATTCCTCATTGTTGCAGATACATGTATATATCATAAACATAAATTGTTATTCAACCAATATTAACATGCAGAACATATATGTACAAGTTTTACAATTCCATTCAAAAGGCTGCTTGCCTCAGCTGTCTAGTTCAAGAATTACAAGTTTTTTGAGTCAATGCGAGTCAGCCTGAATGAATCTACTGAAAATCCTTGATTTCTGAAAAATTAACATGTTAAAAATATGTACACTTTGAATAAGCCATAGTCAATGTTTTACTTTTTCTTGATTTACTTTGCATTTAGTAGCAAATATGATTATATTGTCTAGTGACAAGGAATTGGAAGAATACACATGTACTGTAAATGAATTTTGAACAAGAGGAATTTAGCTATATTTCTGCATAGAAATTTGTGATATTTTCATAATTGTGTGCTTAAACAAACTTCAGCTACAAGTTGTAGTAATATTGTAAATAATGTCTGTACATTTCCTTTTTTACATACATTCAAAGGATTTTTAGAAATGACAAAAATGTATATTCTGGTTTATTCTGGTATTGTACATTTTTAGAATATGCATCATTATGGGTATGTTCTCCATGTACAGGTCAATTACAGGTCAGCTCCTGATTAGTTTTGTATATGCAAAATATGTTAAAGGAGTGCTCTTGCCCCTTATCTACATGATTCAGTTAATTACATGGTGTTATTTAGTTCTATGATATCCATCAATCATATTTAATATATTCATTTATATAACTAATTATTAAAAGTATGCACTGCAGTTTATTTTGCTTGCGGCTTACAGTGCACATTGTATAATAATTACTTCTGTCTAATAAAGAAATTAAATATTCCAGAGTCATATGTGTAAAAGCTGTGGATATAAACTTTACTTATTATGTACATGTAGCCTATTTGTTTATTTACCCGGGGTTTAATTTAAATGCTGGTTTATCATTGTAATTGTAATTTGCTACAACTATTTTTTCCTATACTGAGGAGTGTTACTTGATTTTAGATTTGTAATTTGTTTTTTTAAGAACTTTCTCCATTCAAATTATTCACATGGAAGGGCACTATGCGAAAAATAAGCATTGTGGTTAGCCATGCCTTTTCCATCTCTGTCCTTCTGCACACAGAGATGCTATGAGTTTCAGAATGAAGTATTAAAACGTATTATATTTTACAATGTTTATTATTCAAAAATCTTTTGTATATTGATATGCCTGTGCTACACTACATGTTTTGTGATATTTGATTATCCAGATTAAATTGTATATTCATTTATCCATCATGCTCCAATGGACTTTCAAAGATTAAATGTTTATGCAAGAAGCAGATTGAATATATAATACTAGAAATAAGTAATGGATTCATTTCAGAGGTTGATCATCTGATCATCTGATCATCAGAATATTTTATTTAGAATAAATCAAACTGGGAAAAATAATATTTTGTGTAATTTTCATTTGCTTTGAGTCCGTCAGTAAGTAAAGTGAAGACATTCAACTCATTTGTCACGGAAAGCAACTTAAAGAACCTATCAAAAAGTTGATGAAAACACAGAAATTCTTGTGCTAGGTCTGATGTGACCAATACGGTCTTAAAATCGGCTATTATGCTATCGCAAACATATTTTGTAGAATTTGTTGATTAATGATTTTGACAAAGAAAAATTAGCAAATGAGTTAAAACATGTCATGTACAGTAAAACAGTAAAAATCTATTTAGAACACTCTCTATACATGGCCAATTTGTTCCTTTTAGACTAATGTCACCCGGTATGTTCATTTAATCTATATTGTATGATCTAATCTAATTATAAAAATCTAAATCAACTTTAATTTGGACATTATTTGGCGGTTTGGTGTCTGTAAAAAATGGCAGGTGGTGACCATTTGCATGTTAATGCCTTGTATATATAGTAAAACCTTTGTATATGAAACACCCTATGCACTGGCAAACATTGATCATGTTAAGACAGATTTTCCATTAAACAGGATTGGTTTACATGTAAGTCAATGGGACTTTTGAAAACTGTTTCATGTTAAATTAGTTTGTCTTAACACATGTACATGTAATAGAAAGGTATTCCATCAGACAGGTTTTACTGTTAGAAATCAGTTCAATAGTGAAAGAATGTTTTTGATGTTTTCATCTGAATGAGCTGCATTTAAATCATCTAAATGTAAATGTAAATGTCATCTCAACTCTGTTGATGCAAACATTTTTTAGATTTAGACATTTTATCACAATGATTAGTTATTGTCAAGTAAAATTTGCATTTTCTTTTCAAAAGAATAATAATTGTCCAGTTATCCTTGATTTGAAGCAATTATTTCATGAACAATTTTATGAGATTGAAATAGGTAACCTAACCTTTGAATCTGACATATGATTTGCTACAGTCCGGGCTACAGTGATATTTCATATGACAAACATTCTGGAAAGCAAATTAAGTGCCACATAAAATTCTACAAATTTTTTTGTTAGGTTGCAAAATGTTGTTTTAAAACATTTTTTGAGTATCCCTTACAATATTCAATATGGCAATATTCAGATATTAGGTAAGCATGATTTACTTACAAAAAAAGCCTTGCCTAAGTCAGTGTCTTTTTCATTATCCCATCGAACGAAGTTCGGAGGGATATAGGGAACGCCTCCGTCCGTCCGTCCGTCCGTCCGTCCGTCCGTACGTACGTACGTCCGTCCGTCCGTCTGTCCGTCCGTCCGTCCGTCCGGGCAATAACTCAAATACCGTTGGCCCGATTTTGTTCATATTTCGTACACATATACCCTATGGGGGTAGAAGTTCTGCTCGAAAGCCGATTTTCAAAATGGCCGCTCATTTCAAAATGGCGGCCATTTTAGTGACGATTTTACAGTAATTTAGGTGCAATATGTAAAACTGTAATAGCAATATGTTTTAAATGTAAAAAAATTATAAAGGACATTAATAATGCTACAAATGTAGATATATAAAAGCACATGGCAGCCATCTTGAAAAATGGCGGCCTTTACTCGTCATTTTACGATTTTTGCTGTAACTCAAAAAATAGTGGAGCGATTTTGTTCATATTTGGCGTGTGAATACTATAAGCATTGCACACTGTCTAAAGACACTTTTGGTAGAAGGCGGCCATTTTGAAAAATGGCCGCCATTTTAACGTATTTTACTATAACTCGAAAAGTAGTGGAGCGATTTTGTTCATATTTGGTATGTGAATAATATAAGCATGGCACACTGTCCTATGACACTTTTGGTAGAAGGCGGCCATTTTGAAAACAATTTTGAAAAATGGCCGCCATTTTAATGTATTTTACCATAACTCGAAAAGTAGTGGAGCGATTTTGTTCATATTTGGTATGTGAATACTATAAGCATGGCACACTGTCCTATGACACTTTTGGTAGAAGGCGGCCATTTTGAAAACAATTTTGAAAAATGGCCGCCATTTTAACGTATTTTACTAATACTCGAAAAGTAGTGGAGCGATTTTGTTCATATTTGGTATGTGAATACTATAAGCATGGAACACCGTCTATTTCTAATAATGCTTTTGGTAGAAGGTGGCCATTTTGAAAAATGGCCACCATTTTAACATATTTTGCTATAACTCGAAAAATAGTGGAGCGATTTTGTTCATATTTGATATGTGAATACTTTAAGCATGGCACATTGTCTAATAAAACTTTGGGGAGTAGTCGGCCATTTTGAAAAATGGCCACCAATTTTACATGTGTTATTTTACAAGTACGTGTGCGATTTTTCAAAAGATTTTAGAGGTGGCTACTTAAAAGCATATTATTTCTTCTGATGACAACTTGGCTAGTGAGCAACCATTTTGAAAATGGTGGCCTTTCTGGTGTGTTGTTTTATGATATTTGCGCTTCGTTTGTAAAAATGCCAGCCATTTCTGTTCGATGGGATTCGCTACGCTTTGGCGTTGCCGTTGTTCTGGTTTATTTTTTACTTAACTTCACTGGTATAATTGAAAATACAGCAAATAAGCAAAATAAAATACTGACTTAGGCAAAGCTATAACAAAAACTAAAATGACTTTAAATTTTAGACTTTGCAAATGAGTTCGTGGTCAAGCAACATAATACATATGTCTGTACGTGTATGATTTAGTTTATAGCAACTGAGACAATACTCTAGCGAACTTAGTTAAACTATAAGTTAATAGCCTCACACTGTACTTTTGAACTTCCCAATCAGTAAGTCAAATACTGAAATCAGTTAAAGAAAGAAAGAGAGCACAAGAGGCAACAATTGAAAAACACAGATTTATTCGAATTATTTTGTAGACTTGTATTCCCTATTATATTTCAAATTTTCTATTGGAGCTTATTAAAATGCCTTATCAAAATATTTAATATTTAACAATAATCAGTTGTATTGGTATTATCTGATTATAGGATTAACTTAACACAGGACACTGAAATAGTAATCAAAAATGCAGACTTATTCTTAACATGGCCTGAGATAAGAAAAGGTCTTGGTTATTACAGTATTATGTCGACAGAATTATTTTGTCTGTATTAAGGCTAGCTTGGCTGACATGACATCCAAAGTGAAACCATGGGTAAATATTTTGATCAATTTAAAATCAAGAGTACAATAAATATTTATTCAGTTTGTAAGTATAGAAACTCTAGATTTAGTGTACCTTAGTTTGTTTGATTGACGTATATAATTATCAGAAAACTGCATAAAAGCTATGTACTCAAAGTAGAAATCTGAATAAATCCTTAGAGATACAGACATATAAAAGGAACTAAAGAAATATCTATAGGCCTAGCGAAAGATGACAAGTAAAATACACATAAAACAAGCATTTTGGTGTCATGTATATATCCTGAATACACTAATAAGTGACATGGAATCTATTACAATTGCCTGAATAAAATTATGTTTCATTATTACAGGAATTATCAGCATGGAGACATTACATATAAGGCCTTTGAGACCAAGAACAACAAGACATAAAATTCGGAAAATACTCCGAGAATCTGAGGAGAATTCTGATGTTCCTCAGTTGACAGTGTCACAGGATTATGAAAGCAGTAAGGTGATTAAACTGAAGAATGGATGTGTGGCATCACATTCACCAAGGAATAAGAATGCATTTAGTGAGTATATTAAGACTATACGTAAGGGTTATTTACTGGGAGGTTTTGGATACAGGTTTTCTCCAGGGGGAAATCTGTGTATATGAGGGGTGATCCAAAAGTCTTGGATGCCCTGCTCTATTTTTTGTTGGTTTTTGTTAAAATTACTTTAAACTTTCCAATAATAAAGACCAACAACCTAACTACTTTGTGTATTAATTTCATGGAGAAATGATATATTTTGTATAGTTTTCTAGATAGTTTTTAATACAGGGACCCTGCCGCCCGGAACGGTATTCGCACATGGCAACTTTCAGCCTTACATGTTACCGCCATTTCACTTGTTTCGCAAGTCTTGACCACTATATTTCTTTGAATTTTGAATGTTAAACCATGTAAGTTTACTTCCTTTGTTACCAGGCAACCAATTAATTGTGTTTTAATTATAATGTCACATATGACAATGGACGCACATGTCAAATTCTAAGAAAATGCCATCAGACAAGCAACCCTCATTCTGAAAGGATGGTTGAAAGAAAATGTTTTTTACTCATTGAATGAGGTTTAGAGTAGCACTCCAGCAGCATTTGTATCACATAAGCAATGACGGTTTCATAAATGTCTTCCATTCATTGGTAAAGTGGTATGAAAAATGTGTTCAAATTCGTGGAAAATATGTTGAAAAGTATGTCTTAATATGTGAAGATGAGGATGGCAGATGACACTCGGATTGAAAATCGAAAATTCTCTCATATCATTGCTGGTGTTAGGTTGTGCACCTGCACCTAAAGTATTTGCCATATTATAACAGTTGTGACGTGATTTGCTATATTTATATACCGTTCCGGGTGGCAGGGACCCGGTATTAAAAGATATGTAGAAAAGTAGCTAAAATATATTATTTTCTGTTGAAACTTACACATAAAGTTGTTATAAGATGTTGATCTTTATTATCTGAAAGTTTCATGTAGTTATATTAAAAAATAGCAAAGTTAGAGCGGGGCGTATTAGACTTTTGGATCACCCCTCGTATATGTAATGAATGATTTTATTACAAATATGAATTTTCTTTCTAAAACTTTTGATATGAAAATGTACTATTTTTTAAAAAAAGTTTGTTATTCCTATTTAATCAAGTTTTGAATTAATTAGTTTTTTTAGAATGTACCTAGAACAGCATTGGGTATGGGGTATGTTGTATTTGTTATGCAGATGCATCACTCAGGAATTGTGTGACAGTGTGGTCCATGGTCCTTCAAGATAAATCTTGTATCCAAAACCTTCAAGTACATAACACATATGTATTTTTAGTTGCAGAGTGTCAATTTGATTTCAGTACATTTGTATTATGTTGTAGTTTCTCATAATGACAAATAATCAAAGATTGATAACAATGGCAATCAATTTCATGTGACTTCATTTTGATATTAAACTGTAGAACAACTTTTTTTGTTTTATAAAGATGTCACTAGTATTGCTTTCTTTATGGAATGTCATTTAAAAGATTATTTTATCATTTATTACTTTATGCAATACATTTTTGTGGTCAAAATGGGAATTTATAATTATGATATTGATGCTGTGAATTCTTTATTATCTGCGATTAGAATATGAAAAAAGTTCATAAATTATTTTGATGATGGCTATTATCATAACACAATGCACCCTTAATAAAGAATACAATATGCAAAATAAATGTAAAATATGAAATAAAATTATTCATTTACTAATATTGATTGATTGCATATTCCGTAGAAGTGTCTAAATCGTAGAAACAGTATAATGCATTATTATTATTAGATCAAGTAATACTATAGTATTATAAAATACAACTTTTTGCAAGGGTCAATGTTAATCGAGTTCTTGGGTAGATTATGGAAAATTAGTTTTTCTAGTGATTCGTCTGGAATCGTGAATCAAGCGCCTTAATCAGGAGGAGAATTGCGCTTATCAATGTGACTCAGCATCTGTTAGAGGAATATTCTGTTCAATGTGTATCAGTTCATAGGATTATTTCAAACATTGAGCACATTAATTTCATGAAACAGCAGGTTTGTAATATTAAAGAGCTTTGTCGAATATTTTATGAAATTAAATTAAAAATGAAGTTTAATTTTCATTCATATTAAAGTTTGAAATCGTTGTGGAATGAAAGAGTTTTAGTTGAGACAATTGGATCAAACCATGAGGTGTATTGTCATCGTTTTCTAATACTAACTGGTTTATTTATTATTGTACCATTTTCCTTGTATGAAATATTGATTTTTCTTATGGATTTATATTGGAGTATCACTCTGTTCCTTTTCAGTCTCTCCCAGACAGCAGTTGGATCTCATCATGTCTCAGAATGGATATGACGACACTGAGCTCTTAGAGGCACATTTTCCAACATTTGAGGATCGCGTAAGGTCAAGGTCATCACGTAGCGGGAGAGCGAGTCCCACACATAGCGCACACGGGAGCCTCTTCCGCCATACACTAACACAAAGTTCTAGACGTGCTCGGAAAGTACGATTTTACCGAAATGGAGACAGATTTTTTAAAGGAATGATATATGCTGTTTCGCCTGAACGATTTCGGACATTTGAATCGTTAATGGCTGAATTGACACGGAGTCCTTTATGTGACAATAACATCCTACCTAAAGGTGTTCGATATGTATTCACACTGAATGGTAACAAAAGAGTCAGCAATCTAGACGAACTTGAGGAGGGAGAAAGCTATGTATGTGCATCGACGGGACTCTTTAAAAACATAGACTACAACAGAGGTTCTAACCCCAACTGGAACCCTAATGTTAAAAGCAGCCATGAAGGCACTGATAAAGCTGCTTTAGCAACGTCTCTTGATCTAGAAGATGACAGCAAGGATTTTATAAAACCACGGCTAGTGACGATTATTCGCAATGGATCTAAGCCTCGCAAAGCCGTTAGGGTTTTGCTCAATAAAAAGACTGCCCATTCCTTCGACCAAGTTCTCAATGATATAAATGATGCCATAAAGTTTGATGGTGGATACTTGAAGAAGGTCTACTCCATTACTGGGAAGCCAGTGAGTATAGATTCTATTAATGTCTGGTCTTTATAGCCTATTAGAATTAATCATTAAGGTTGTGTATATATTCGTGTATATATATTCCCGGGAGATATCTACCGCAATCCCACTCAAGTATGAGATACACACTTGTACCTCAGTGACAAACTAAAACTAGGTGCCCTCAAAGTTTTGAACAAATGGCCTACATGTACTGATTAATTAACTTGGGTCTTTAATTACATGCCTGGTAATGTCCACAAATGTCCATCTTAGCTCTGATTTTGTTTCTCCCCTGAAAAGCATTTAAATACTAAAGCTGAGCAAATATATTTAAAAGGAATACAATATTAATTTTATTAAATACCACTTGAATTTAAAACAAAAGAACAATTGATATAAACTTTTGTTATATGATATTACAAAGCACTTTAAAATGACACTGCTGTTTTATTGATAACCAGCAGAGCATAACATTTAAGAGACTGTCACGTGTCCCATATGGGAGCAAATACAATAGTCTGAACAAAATAACTAATTAATGCTTCAAAACTATATAATACATGGAACAATAATACAATAACAATAATACATGGAACAATGTCATTACTAATTGCCAACAAGGCAGGACAGATAGGACAGCTGGCAAGGATAATATGATTATTTCCAATCCCTTAAAGTGTTAGTGTGCCAAATATCCAATTCATTTTGGTGTGAAAATACACAAAGGTGTCAGAGATTTGTATATACGAGGGTTGTCCCAGAAGTAATGCACTATATGCTCTGACTTTATCAATACTTGATATTTTTCCATGAATTTGTACAGTGAATATTCCTTTGAGATATTTTAATTTTTCTACAAAATTTCATTCTGGTTGATAATACCATGTTGATACTATAATAAAATCACTTTGGTGGGTTTGGGTAGGGTGGGGCAGGTTTTTTGTACTCTAAAAGCAATTCAATACAAATGTAATTCCAAAAATAAAAAACATTTAATCCACATTGTCTATTTTAAAACATTAATATTATTATCTATTTTGAAACATCATCCTGATACTTTGAAGAATATTTTCATTTGACTCTACAATGAAAAATAAGCTATGAAATATTGTAGTTATATGCAAATATGATATTTATGGCTTGAAAGAAAAAACTGTGAAATTCAATTAATTAATTGACATAGAGCATGACCTGTCATTATAAAAAGCCAGTTTTGTTAATGCAGATCTGCTGTTTGTTTCATTAAGTGTAAAATCTATGTTTGTAATACCACCTCTAGAACATTAGCAGATTGAATATACTGTAGTTGGTGAGATATTGATCCCTGTCTTATATTTTTCTCTTGTGAACAACCTGTGTAAATGTACAGGGTGATCATTTTGATTCTTTACAAATATAAAATCCTTTTTCATTCAGGGACAAATTTTCAAAACCAGAGTCACTTTTTATTCAACATTTTTGAAAAACTTTAAAAAAAAGATCTAGAAAAAGAAATCTTGAATTTTTTCATGGCCCTGAGGTAAAATTTTGGTTCCACATGACTTATATTTAAGGAATAATCAATGTTTTATATGGGCAACAATTTGAGTGATATTTTCAATTTTCTTTAATAAGAACATTTTTTTGAATTATTTTAATTTGTTAATACAACAAGTAGAGTATTTAAATAATACATAGTTTTAGTTCAAATTCATATTTTAGAATTGAGTTTCATACAAATAAAATTATTTTAGAGATCTTCATCGGAAACAACACGAGAAAAGCTGGGAAGGAGTATTACGGCTAAATATTTGATCAGAGTCTTCTATAAAGATCCCATTTTGATTTTGTTTGTAGAGTATGCTGCACTATGTCAACACATTGAGTCTTAATTGAGCTCAGATATATTGAACATTCTGATATTTAATTAATTGTGTTAATTCACTGGTACTCTGTACAAGAACCAAACTTCATCTGCACTCTTTAAATTGGAGTTAATTCTAACATCGAGCTTACATCCAATCAGAATAGAAAATGACAACAATTGTCTGTCAATTATAGTTAACTTACAATCATTTCACATTCAATTTCTATGAAAGGCAACCTACATTTGACAGGCCCATAGCCAATAATCCTCCCCTGGCCTAAAATTATTTTGATTAAAATCATGCAGTTTTTCAAGATTCTGAGCATTTTTATTTTTCATGTGATTTTATTGTCAATGCAAATCCAATCTGGAATTTTTCAAAATTGTGAACCCCTCTTGGCAAAAGCTTTGGACCTGTTTGAGATCTGATCAGCATTATGTAAGATCGTATGTAGATTTCAGAGGATAGTGTGACTGGTGTGGATTCAGGGTAATTAACTAGCTGTTATGTCTCTGAACTTGATGGTGCACAATTTATTACAAAAGCAATAACCATCTAGTCTCATCTCTAGGGTGACAGAAAGGTCATCAGTCAGGTGCAAAGAAACAATAAAACATTGTCAATTGCATAGACGGAGTACATTGTAAAATGCTACATGGATGTTGGGATGATTTTTTAAAAAGTTATGAATAGATCCAAGTGGTGTTTGAAAAAATGAAAATAGATATAATATTTCACAAGTTTTGATTAATATTGTTTTATAGTCTCCAACTTTTTGTGGATGGTGTTCAGTGGTTGGTGTTCAGTGTTCAGTATTTGGCAGTTGGTGTTTGGCAGTAGGCATCTGTAACAAATGGAAGGTGGTGATATTTTGCATGTCAGTGCCTTCTTATATTTGTTTGGATTGTTTCTTTTGTTTAATATGGCTTTTTTTATTAATCATTTTTATTTCAAGTTCATATATTATAACATTTAATAACATACAATGAAAATTCAACAAGGTTAATCAATTTAACATTTGTGTTGAACTTCGAAGTAAATATACCATACACTAATATGTAATACAAATTTGTTACAATTATTCGTAACTGTTCATATATAAACAGAAAGGAAGTTTAATATATGGTTGAGTTGTAGAACACCATTGTTATATACTTTCCTATCTTAGAATTATTTTCCCAGTTTTGCCATAAGTTTTCTCATCAAGTCATTCCTTTGAACCAAAATGAGATTCTTGTACAATATTAATGGTTTCTTTACAATTTTGTTCATAATGCATGATTCACCAAGATGTTCAAAGAGAATTATAATAACATTTGATATCTTATCTGCCCACAATAATAACATCACAATGGAATCTAATCATACTTTAATCCAAACTTGAATAGTACTAGTGCTTTTTCCTATTTTGGGTTTTTGATCCCGGATCTTCTTGAGGACTTTTGATAATTGTTTTCACCACTTGATTGTCAGTATATGGCTTGAAAAGTGTATATGTAATAAGCTTTAGCATGATAAGTCATTGACATTACATTTTTCTGTTTTGCAAGACACGTCATGGCTTAGAAGAATTGAGATGGTTTGTCACGATGTTTATAAGTTGTTTTCCTGTTGTTTTATCTCATGAGAGTCTCTGTCCCTTGCATCATCATTTATTTAGACAGGCTTATATATCACCAGAGCTTCTCTTGTCATAATTAGTATGAAACAAATTTCTTGTCATAAAGAAGGAACATTTTCTTGTCAGAATTATAGTTAGAACATTTCTTGTCAAAAAATTTGATCATTTCTTGTCAGAATTAAAGTTCAACATCTCATGTTGCAAAGATTGAACATTTCTTGTTATTAATTTCAGCACAAACCATTAAAAGTGCACATCAGTATCAATATTAAACCATTGGGACATGATTAAACCAAATATATCATTAATTACAGTCCTATATTAATTACTGGAAGATTAAGACTGGTTTTTCCAATATTGTTTAATGGTCTTTGTTCTTTACTGACTGTATTGTCATGTAGAAGTTGATGGATCAATATATGAAGCTAATTCCAGGGAAATATAAATATTCTATAAAATTATTATGTCATATTCAATATCATTTAGCAACAGATCAATAGTTATGAAAGGGAATGCATCATTAGAACAATCCATATACTTCCTGGAGTAATGAAATATTAAAATGTCTTGACTGTCACCAAATATACAGTAAATCCTGCACATGGCATGCCTGAATTTTAAAGTTCTTGTGTGGGCAATATGGGCTGTTTGAAAATGATTTTATTTCATTTCAATACCTGATCGATGTATGATTTTTCTCTTGAATATAAACTTGGTTTAGGACACATTTGATGACAATATTATTTTAGCAAGATGGAATACAGCAATGAAACTTTTTTAACATGATGTACTCAAACCATTTAAGTCATTGTGTATCATTACCATTATAAACATCTATGCCTATCATATTCAAATTTCTAAAATGAAAAGAAAATCATTATATCTTTCCATTATCTCTTATCCTTGATTTAAAAAGAAGTATTGATAATTTGAAATGGTGTTCATTTGTTAACGGTTCTACTGTGTCACCAACACCATTATCTGGCTTAATGATTTTCCATTACCAAAGCACACTTTTTTGTTGAAATACTGTCACTTAAGTTTCCCATTGTAATAATGACTCTGTATTGAGTCAATAATGTCTGAATGCATGTGTTTCCCTTGGGTGCTTAGGTATTCAGTATTCACTGCTCTGTATATGCAGTGTTTTGTGTTAAGTAGTCTACTGTTAAATCAGTGTATTGCTTCTAGAGGACAAGAGGTAGGGGCGGATCTGGGAACCAACAAGGGGGTAGCCCAAATTTCAGGTCTGAGAAAAAACGGGCCCCGATAACCAAAAAGTGGCCCATTTTCTTCAAAATGTGGCCTTAAATTAAAAAATAAGGCCTTAGAAGGTCCACTTTTGGAGCTTCAAGGCCTTTTTTCGCCCCCCCCCCCCCCCCTCCCTCAGTAAGAGGATTGTCAGAATTTGTACTATTTGAATATTCATTAAGAGTAAGGGGTTGAGATATTATTATATGTTTATTTGATTTTTAAATAGTGCAGTGAATTAGCATTTAAAGTCAAAATCATTATTACGTTTTCTTTTCATGAAAGTGAATTTTATGAAACTTTACCAACTGCAAATCATTAAGGTACCTAACTACATTAAGACATGTGACATAATGTTCCTAGATTGTGTGACAATATTTTCAAATGTTTTTCAATTTGGCCCTGATCTTTGGGATTATACTTTTTAATCAAGATGTTTAATTAGCCTGTTTCAATTAGTCTGATGATTAATCAATTATGTCAAAAACAAAAGGTGCACATGTGATTGATGTTGGCATAGTGCCACAGCCTCTTCAATTGAAGACATCATGCATTGGGTTGGATTAGCCTCAGATGTTTATTGATTTGAGAAAGAGCAATTTAGTCTGCATGGGCTTGAAGTCTATTAAGGGACATTGAGGATATATTGGCAGGAGAATATGAAATGCATCTCAGCCCCCTAGGGGGGTTCGATGGGTTCGAGCGAACCCTCCCCTTGGCCAAAAATTCTTTCAAAATTATGCAGTTTTTCATCATTCTGAGCACATTTTAAGTGATTTTGGCCATTTTTGGACCAAAATTGTCAAAAGTGAACCCCCCTTGAAATTTTCAAAAAGTGACCCCCCTCCCCCCCCCCCTTGGCAAATCCTGGCTACGGGCCTGCATCTACTGTATCTTTAATATTGAAAAGACATTCAAGGATGTTCTTATCAATAAGCTTGTAACTAAGACCTATAAACCATATAGGCATAAGGCAGAAGCAATCAAAAATGTGACCATTCAATCAGTAAATTGTGGTTTTTATAGGTCCTAACAATTTTATGTAGACATTTAAAGGCCCATACAGGCTATTTGCAAGATTGCATAGCTGGCCGGGTTACAATTCCAACAAATAACAATTGGACACTCAAACACGAAATGTATATTTTCGTTTGACTATTCCAACATTAATATGACTTTTATTAGTATTTGGCATTCTATGCCAGAATTGGCCTAATACTATATGCATAGTCTCAATTATTGTTAAAGTGCACGATTTCATAACAGTATTTGAATAGTTGGATCAGCCTTATCTTTGTTTCATTCTTCGTTTGGCTTTATTTGATTTTGCGGATAAAATTACCATTAACCACAGAAACATTCATGGGATTGATCTTGTTAATGATTGGACTCTGAGATTAAATGGGTGAAATGGGATGAATACCAAGTAGGTTGGATTGCAACTTGTCCTTTTAGAGGGCTATTGTCTACTCATACGCTGATTTAAAGGCATTTCGGACAATTATAACTATACATTTTTGATATGAAGTATTTTTTATTGTGTAGAAAAGTATTTTCCTGTTGTTTATTATTTGAAAAATTGAAACTACAGGGTGACCCAAAAAAATGCAACCCTCCATTTCTCGAATATTTTTCTTAAATGGAGGTTAATTGCTCTGAAAGGACTTCATTCAATGTGGGATCCTCTGGCAAAGTTTCAATAATCATAGTCTTATATTGATAGAGTTATGGTCATTCCAAAATATGCTCCAAATGTCGTCCATTTCCAATGTTAGATTTCGGATGAATCACATTCCCTTCTTTCTGAACATGTAAACTCAAGAAATAATGTGTTCTGGGATCACAAATTCCAGATAAAGTGCTTCACAGGCCCCTACATTCTGTTAAATGCACAGCTTGGGCTGCCAATTTCCAAACATAAAATTATCAGCCCCTTTTGGTTTGAGGTTGATAATGGCAACACCGTTACTGTTAACACACAGCGCAATATTGGCGTTCCCAGGAAGTTCTAGGCAGTTCTAGAGTGGCATAGAGGCTTCAATAAACAAGAACAGTGGTTCTAGAAGGATGGAGCTACTCCTCACACTTCTAATGATAGCATATCCTGGCTCACTAGTCATTTCTTTGAGAAGATTATCTCTCCTATGACGGAGAACCCATGGTCCTCCCACAGTCTTGATCTCAATGCCCCTGACTTCTATATATGGGGTTATTTAAAGGACAATGTGTATGAAAATAACCCTACCGCAATTGCAGAACTCCAATAAGCAATGGCTGCAAAAATTTGAGCCATACCCATGGGGAAGAATGCATCCGTGTTATGAACAGTTTTCCTTGAACATTGCAAGTTTGTTTTCAGTGAAATTGACGACATCTGGAGCATATTTTGAAACAACGATAACTCTATCAATATAAGACTACGATTATTAAAACTTTGCCAAAGGATCCCACATTGAATGAAGTCCATGTGTGCCAAATCTCAGAGCAATTTACTTCCATTTAAGAAAAATATTGAAGAAATGGAGGGTTGCAAGTTTGTTTTCAGTGAAATTGACGACATCTGGAGCATATTTTGAAACAACCATAACTCTATCAATATAAGACTACGATTATTAAAACTTTGCCAAAGGATCCCACATTGAATGAAGTCCATGTGTGCCAAATCTCAGAGCAATTTACTTCCATTTAAGAAAAATATTGAAGAAATAGAGGGTTGCATTTTTTTGGGTCACCCTGTACTTGATACTAGAACAAAATGATTGTTATTCTCATGATATGTTTTTATCTACTTCTCATTTATGATTTCTCTCATGGATAATAATCATATTCTTTATAATAAGAACCTTTTGAACATGAGTGCATGCATGGTCTTCAGGACATTTTCTCAAGTACAATTAAAATTCTCATTATTACACAATTTAGACAAAAATTGGTCTTAATATGCATAGTTATGATTTTTCACATTTTCAAGTAAATATAAATGCAACTTGACTTTCAGTTAGGTGCACACCTCAATTGAAATCTCAAGTAGGTGCACTGCCCACTCCATTGAATGCTGAAAAGCATTGACCAATATTGGTTCATTTCAATACCAAAGAATAGTTCAATTTAGCAGACAAATCTATAAATCTTGTTTGATAAGACCTCATTAGCACTTATGTGTCTCCTGGGGTACTGGCCTATAGCAGCTAATTTGATTAGAGTTGACATTTCTCTGAGCAAATCATTATCAGTGGTCAATATGACCATTGGGTCTAACTTTATCAATTCCAGCTTACACTACAAATGTACTACGAATCATGATTTTTTGGGATGATTTGGAAATAACTTAATATCTTAAAGGTGGAAATAGAGAAACATAAACATAAAATACAGAGATCGCCTAAAAGTGTTCAGACTGCCATGTGTTCACATTTCGAGGTTTCTTTAACAAGGGAGTAAATTGGTCAGATTACAAAATTGGGCCTGAGAAAGTGGTCATATATGAGGAGTTCAGGTATAAAAGTCTAGATATGATATTTTGCTTCTTCAGGAGATAAAATGAATGAGGGAACTTAATGTCAGTGATGAACCATCACACTTTCTTCACTTTTAAATGTTATTGACAATTTGATATAGTTCACTCCAAAATCAATAAATTAACATTTACTTGAGAAATCACAAAGGGTGACATAGGGGGAAATTACATGAACAAATCAACCCTATATGAATTGATGTTGCTCAGCTTCAGTTCAAAGCAAACTTCAAAACCATATTAAAAGCCTTTTAACAGCTAATAAATCATTCGCACATGTTAATTTCCCCTTCTTTACTTCTTCTTTAAGCATAAATAGAATATGGATGTGGTTGTTAAATTATGACTCAGATAACAAGTACTGTTAACAGTCATTTAACTGGTTTGATAAAAAGTACTATTTAAAAGGAGAATCAGAGATAGATAATAACTTTTCCTTATTCAATGTGTCCTATTTATCTAATAACTTAAAATGAAGATTTTCTGAGATACAGTAGCTGGTGAAGAAAAGAAAACATTGGTGTATAAATGTTGCTCACATTGCACTCTACCCTAGCATTAACCATTGTTTTTATTTATTTTCAGATTAATTGTTTACCAGATTTCTTCAAAGATGACAATGTGTTTATTGCTTATGGCCCAGAGAAGTATTCCCTGGATGACTTTGATCTTGATGACAATGGTAAGTTGTTTAAAAGGGGCCCATGGGCCTGTATTGTGATACATTCTCTAGATATGTCTTTTGTGTACTAGAACTACATACTGTCCCAATCTTGTTTCTCCTCGTTTACAATGAGATAAATTGTTTTGTCAAATAATATACAATAGTACAATATTTTATTGTAATCAATAGAACTCATTGTAAGTTGGGTAATAAAAACAGTTGGATTGTGGTGGGGAAAAATGAAGAATAAAGGAAAACGGCCTGCTGCCTTTGTAATTGTGATGCCTTCACCCTGATGCTCTTATACTTGGTATTTTCTATTCGTATTATAGCAGGTCTTCTTATATGATGATCATCTGCTTCTCATGCTGCCGCTTATGAGTATAACACAGTGTAGTGTATACTATACGGCTTTTTGCTTGAGGACACTCTGTGTTGATGCTCAGGTCAGAGTAATGAATCATCCTGGAAAATCAATAAAGTCTTGGAATTATCAGTCTCCATGGATGCAACATGTTTTTACAAGAGATCTTGACAATTTTCTCCCTTGTGTTTGATAAACCACGTATTCTCTCTATTAGTAATTCTGTTGGATTGTTTTACTGTTATTAGGGATTTAGATTATGAGAGGCATATTGCATAATTGTCATAGAGCATGCAATTTGCAGTTGAATTTGTGGAGTGTATGAATTGTCTGATTTTATGCAAATGTGATTTTGCAAGGTTTGCCATATTATACTAAAACATTGCATTCTGTGAGAACTGAATGAATTCCATCCCTTACATGCATTGAAAGATCATTCATATTTGTAATATTGAACTTTGTGTATGCTAGATAATTTATACATAACATATCTAATGACGGAACAATAAACATCGAAACAGCAATGCTCCAATTTTAACACATCAGCCCAGATGGCATATAATTGTGGGCACTTTAGTACCAAGTTCAAGGCCACAGAATAAAACACTTGAAGATTTTAAGGCCAGGGTGCATGTTGGGAATTTTTTGCAATTTTGAAAAGTAAACCACTGAATATTCTAGTTATTCAAATATTCTGAAGAATTATCAACCCTCAATTAATAGTCTAGGTACACTAATGCATCTTTTGTGCAAGAATGAAAGATGTAGATGATGTGTGGAATTAGTTATGTTTATCTGAAAATAGTACATGGTCATGAAATTTCATCAAAGTGCACCCTGGCCTTAAGAGGTTGCTAATAATCTTAAAATCAGGTTCCCATGAAAAACCGATCAATAAAGGTGTTACTTTCACGGTTATTAAGCAATTCTGCTTTGCTCCTTAACTTGTATTTATGTGTTTAAGAGCAAGTATCAGTGATATATCTTATGAGTCATAGATATTATGCAGGCTTCATTGCACCTCTGTGGCCTCTATGTTTTACTACAACATCAATATACTTTTCTCTAAGGTGACATTCAATTCCTGTAAAAACTGTGGAACAAATCTGTAAGTGAAGCAGCTTTGTAGGTGGAACACTTCTGTAAGTGGAGCACTTCTGTAAGTGGAACACTTCTGTAAGTGGAACACCTCTATAAGTGAAGCAGCTTTGTAGGTGGAACACTTCTGTAAGTGAAGCACTTCTGTAAGTGGAACACTTCTGTATGTGGAGCACTGCTGTAGGTGAAACACTTCTGTACGTGGAGCACCTCTGTAGGTGAAACACTTCTGTATGTGGAGCACTTCTGTAAGTGGAACACTTCTGTAAGATGAAGCACATCTGTAGCACATCTGTAGGTGGAGCACCTATGCAGGTTGAACACCATACCATTAAGTCACAAATTCACATAACTCTTCCCTCATTCATGATACCTTTTAGCAAACTCACTGTACCATGAGATCCGCTAAAGATACTGAGAATAGATAGAAATTAATATTTTTTAATTGCATTATGTACAAATTAAAGCAATTCTCATTCAGGATACACATTGTATTTCTTTCATTTGATGACTCAATGTTATTGCCATATTCGATCCTATTAAAACTGAATTCATAGGTGAACTAAAAATAGTGACATATTGTTATGAAGCCACCATTTCTCATGATCAGCATCTCTTGCAAATGGTAACACTTGGCGACCCATGGGGGTGACATTTTGTCATTTTATCATCTTAATGCCTTGCGTATAGTATATATACTATCTATTCTTTCATGAAAAAATCTTTGATTAATTAATTTTAAAATGTGCAAAGATAATATTTTTGTATTTTCAGAGGTTAAGTTTGTCAGTGCCTACAGGAGTGTCAGACAGAAAGAGCGTATTACGTTGAAGTCTCCTAAAGCTCCACGTCGAGTCCACTCAACAGTCAGTCCAAGCCAATCAGGTAGGAGCATTGTTCATTGTCTCTTTAAGGAGAAGTTGCAGCTGCAGTAAGAAGGACTTGTACCCTTAAAGAAAACCCTCTTGTTTGGTTAACTCTCATTCTAATCCCCCATGTTATATCAAGGGTTTATTTGTGAGGATGAATAATCTCAATCCCTTGTAGAATGCATAATTGAAGTAAGAGGATCATGACAGTCCAAAACCCATAGATCTCACACTTAACACTTATATTAGTTAAGCGGAAACCGTGTTATTTCTTCACAATATGAAACTTAAAAAATGTATGCCATTAAAATGATACGAATAATATGAAGAAGAACATTTGAGGTATAAAGTCAAGTTACAGTATGTTAGTTTATAAATATACTCTGTCATTTCTTCATAATATGAAACTTATAAAATGTATGCCATTAAATTGATGCAATTACATGTAGACTGATTTTCCCAGCAATGGAGCAGTGGGGTGCTGCACTCTTCAAAATTTGCATATTACATGCAACATTGAAAATTTCAAATACCACCCTATTGAAAATTTACATATTGCATGCAAAGGAGGAGGGAATATTGAAAATTTACATATATAACATGCCACCCTGTTGAAAATCTGCTTGCTGCCTGTCAAATGAAAGTATGAAATATTGAGATATTTTGAGCAAAATAGGTGGAATTATAACTCTTTATCCTGTGGAGAAAGAAACTCTGGGAGAGGATTGATCTCTATTTGCTCCATTCATTGTGTACAAAATACAAAATGTGTAATTTATAATAAACATATGTTTTAATATTATCATATCTTTAATCATATAGCTCTACTATGTAAAGCATGATTAAAGAGCAGATCTATCTGGTTCATATCTATCAAAGAGCCTCCTATATCGATCAGTTGACAAAAACAGATGTGTTTTTAACCCTGGTGTATTGGAACAATCTAATAGAAACACCAAATCTGATTTCATGGCATTTCTCCCATTTATTATTAGCTTTAACTGATAAGATTGTTGAATCATTTGTTGAATGCCAAATGTTGCATCATTTCAGAATAAAAAATCTATTTTTTAAATGATATTGGTGATTCACTTTTTAACATAATGCCTTAATATTCTAAAAAACTTATTTTTAAGCCACGTGAGAAAGGATAAGCTCATTTTTATACAAAGAATCAGATAGTGAATAAAATAAATTGTTGACTAATCCTAAAATTGTTCATATACAAGGTGGGCCAAAAAATAATACCCGAGTTTAAAGATGAATGGTTCAAATGATTAATGTTAAATCATGCAATGTATTATATATCATTTTAAAGATAAATCATTTCCTAACAAAATGACACCATGCAATTTGAAAAATTCCCCATGGAGTTAGAGACTAAAATTGACACCAAAGGTGTCGTGAGCAAACAAAGATAACTATAAAATCATCAAAACTCATGATTCCCTTTACAAATCATTTATATAAAAGTTTATATTCCGGTATGAGAAATTGCAGAATTTGAGTGAATATCTTATCCCTGTATACTTTTATATAACCCCTACAAATCATACATTATGAGAGAAAATAGACCCCTAAAACGCATACATCATCAGGTAATATGAGAGATTATCCACAGTTCTTACACATATAAATAAATATTATTCCTAATATGCTATTTCAATGGATCAAGGTAATCAATTAATCAAACATGATGACTCAATGTTGATGTCTGTTGTAATCATAAGGTCACTTTGACACAATACACTACATTATAGCTAGCATTAACACATGTTTTCGCCATTCAATGAGTTGTGCACAATTGTTCATATTCACAAAAAATATTTGAAATAAATTCTCTATTCAGTTATTTATTAAGAATCTATACTATTTATATCAATGCTAATACAGTTATACGTTTTGTAATTCATATTTAACTAGTGTTTTCCATGATTAATGTTTTGTTCTCTATGCATTTTTAACCCAATTTCTTGCTTAATGATTTGTATTAACCAACCACATGCAACACAGAAAACGGTTGTAATCCATCAAGTACACTCCTCTCCATAAATTTGGCAACTTGAACTTTTCATCACATAGCAAATCAAAACCTGTTAGTTAATATTTGAATCTTTATTTTTTCCTTAATTACAATAGTTCAAAAATTTATAACTTTGATGATTTTGTAAATCGCCAAACATAACAGGCTTTAATAAGTGATCAGAAAGGAGACGTCCAGTTGCCAAACTTATGGAAGGGAGTGTACTACTACTGCGTTTTCTTGGTCTCTTGTGACTCAGCATTGATATTAAGTCACAGGCATGAATCTTTTAGCAACACAAATTATTGTAAATATTACCAGTGTAATAGAACAATATAGATTGGTCGCATTATGGATTGTGACACTAATGAATCATGCCAAGATTAAGCAATTCATCTATCCATGCTATTTTAGTATTTATTTCAAATACAATGGTATATCATTTAAAAACTAATGAGCGAAAAATATTGATGTACTAGACATTTTGTGGTGACATATTGTTACAGTCATTTGGTAGTGACATATCATTAGGGTCACCTCTTTGTGACTGGAATTGGTATCTGTGACAATTGTTACATTTTTAAAAAGTGCCCCGTCTATTCTTATATGTTAAGACTCTTAATGTTTGAACACCAGGTGCATATTGTATCCATTAGAAAATAGTTAAAATTAGAATTAATATAAAAAGCACACAAATATAAAACTTCAGATCAATATTACAATAAAAATTAATTCAAAATATCCACTGTGTTACTATGGCAACTGTCTAAATGTTATAAAATCTGTACCGCATCGTCCATTTACAAAATGTCTAAATGGTCAGATTACTGTGTTGCTAGGTCTGTTTTTCAATAAGGGACTATAAAGGTGAGAGAATGCCCTGCATGTCAATTATAATGTACATCCAGACACTCAGTAAAGTGAATTACTAATTCAACAATTAGTAACCAAGCCATTTATTACAAGTGCCATAAGTATAATAGAAACCCATCTATAGATAGAGTTAATACAGATTTTCTATAGAAGAGCTCTTTGTTACAATATGTTGAGTGCTCCAGATTACTTGGTATTCTGGGAAAATAATCCTTGTGATTAAAAAAATACAATTACATGTAAGCACTGTAGTATTTGTAATGTATGGAAGCTCTTGCAATTTCTACTGCAAAGAATGGTGTATGGTTTTTAGCTTAAGGTAGGCAGAGTCAAATGAGATATATTTGTTAATTAACAAGATTCAAAAGTTAACATACCTGGCCAACCTTAGGTTTTGTGGATTTTATTAGTGTTATTTTATTTGATTGCTAGGGACATTGTGGCATCATTTATAACTGGGATATTATTATGAGATTCAATGGTGCGTTTAATTCAACTAAAATACAAACAAGAAAATGCAGCAAACTCCTCGAATCGAGGTCTCCAAGACAAAAAAAGTCCTGACCCTATCATATATCTGTTGATTATCCTGTTTATAAATGATTCAAGAGCGTGGCACTGAACGAACCTATATGCCTATTTGTTATTTGTTTAGTTGTTGGTTGGGTAACATGTTTATGACGTCACAAATGATGCGAAGAATCTTTAAACCAATCAGTGAAGTATTTATTGATTGTTTGTTTAGTTGTTGATGTGGCAATACGTGTATGACGTCACAGGTGATTGCATCATATTCCAGTAACGCCATTTTACGACATTGGATAATTTTAGCTGATTTTGGCTTCATTTCACTTTATTTGAAAGACTTTTAAAAATATAATAATGAGTCAGTATTTTTTCTTATAAATATTAATATTTGAATTTGAGGTCAAAGTCCGAAAATTTGATCAACTGATTGAAATCACATTTAAAAGAGGTGAAGAAGTGAATAATTACAGGAGCAAACGTGATCAATGGTTCGAGGTCTCCCGCAAAGTAGTCGCTGCGCTCCTACTTTGCGCTGCCTTCGGCAGAGGAGGCCTCAAAAAAAACATTTCTTCTTTCTTCAGCTTCTTTTGTAGGTAAATCAACATTCATTTAATTGTTAAGAAAATGAGTCACAAGCTGATATCAGCGGATTACACAAGTGTTTGAGTGTCTCTTTAATTAATAGGACTGAATAATCCACACCTAGAGCAGGTTGACCTGTAAAGTGGCATATAATAATAGATCGTCATGACAAATGCCCTGCAATATTGACTAAAATAATGCTTGATATTTGTGAAAGGAATACAGTTGTAAAGGTTATGAATATTCAATTGGGGAACAACTGCACAACTGCACAAATGATAAATTCCATTTGGTTGTAATGATTTTCATATACTAGTAATATTACCTCTTTGGAGAAAAACAGCTTTTCTTAGAAGACTTAGAAAATGCTCTTTTGTTGAAAAATGAGCACTTTCCATGATTGGAATATTTAGGTTATGATAAATCAGAATAGTGTTTGTACTGTACTGATTAAGGTGAAGAGTGTCTCATAACATAACCAATATATACCAAAATTAGATTTCTACACTTCCCTGCAAAAGTTTAGCAATCAAAACTCCTCTTTTGGTATATGTGTTGCTTAAATAATAAATATTATGCTATCTAATTTGGACTTTCAGTTGTCAAACTTATGGAGGGGACAGTAACTACCTATATGCTTGATTTATTGATAATAAAATGAACTACTTTTTTTGTTATTTAGCAGTTTCTTAAATTTTTAATTAAATATATGGAGTTTGAAAAAATTAATATTACATCATTTCTGTAGTGGCTGAAAAATATTTGACGAAAATAACATAGTCTAATTACCCTTTGTTAAGCCTTGAGTTTATCTACAGTGTGAAAGTGTGGAAACTGATTAGGAGTCAGCAAATATAATCAACATTTTAGTATAGTGATGACTCATCAACATACAGCAAAACGTGTGTATATCAATCATTTTTTGCTGAGAAAAAACATTCAGGTGTTCACTACAGAAAAGGTAATTCATATAGAAGTCAGTAGAGTATGTGCCAAGAAGGAATGTCCATTAGAGACAGGTGTTCACTAAAGAGAGGTGTTCACTACAGGTTTTACTGTATATGAATGTATAACGTAATGTAATGTAATGTAATGTAATATGTATATAACAGCAATTAGGCAATGATAATTACAAAACCATTAAAGCTCTTTGTAATTTTAATTATTTTTCATAAATTAATTATTGATCATACCCCAATATGCTAAATAAAATGTAGGCTATTGGAACAGCCATACAATATAGTTGTATTTCCTCCTATAATTGGAAATTGATGAACTTGAGATTGAAATCAATTGCTAGAAAATAGTTTCTTTGTTGTCGTGTGTAGCAGACTGTATATTGAAATGATCAATCATCCTGCATTTGTTAGATGTCCCAGTCTCTTTACATAGACCATGTGCAGCATGCATACAAAGGTTCTTATCATGGTGGAAATATGATGCATGTGCTCTGTTGGAATTGTGGTTACACACCCTGTTCCTTTTTCTCGTCAACAATAAATTAAGAGACTGGTTACATGTGGGTATTGGCTCTGGAATACATATATTGGGGGTCTGGAATACATAGATTAAAAATTTGGAATGGGAAAATTATGGTTAATGTATGATATTCTGTTTGATTATAAGACTATACAACTTCGGTTACATGTATCATGTATTATTTTCATTTCTAAAGATGATTTTCACTGTTTATAACAAATTAGTGATCATACTGTATATTGCTCAATGTAATGGAATCCAATCTATACTTTTGACCACTCATTGCTTTTAGGAGGCCTCCATTGAGGGATATTTAAAATATTGTATTTTATATTTTCAGGCATGGATTTGGCCAAGATCCCCTCATCTCCCCGCTCTGCAAGGAGAATGAAGCCTAAAGTACCAGTAAGTCTTCAAATACACAATTTTTTTATTTCTCTGTTACAATTAGTATGTCACCTCCAGAAGTGTTTGGCAGGTGATATTCAGTAGTTGGCATTCGGCGGTCAAACTTTGTAACAAATGGCAGGTTGTCACATTTTCATGTTAATGTCTTGTTATAACTCTGTTACAAATATATAGTATAGTACTCCACACAAGCCTTTGTCACATAATCTGATGTACTTTGAAAAAATTCTCCAAGAGGATTTGGCTTGCAAACAAAACTTATGATGTGCATTGTGTGTGTTAGCCATTTGGGGTATCTTAATGTGAAAGTAGTGTGCAATATGTAGAGTAATTTCCTTTATCTCATCTGTTTTCTGGCATTTTGACAGTATATTGTCAATTTTAAGACCATTTGTTCAGCCATTTATATTATCACTAAAAAGCAGCATCATGCAAGAAATATAAAAAGATGTTAGAAAATGCAAAATATGCTTGACACTACAGTAATTGAATTCATATCAATGTACCCATTATTTTTCCATTTTAGGCTAAACCAAAGCTGACTAATGGTGTTCACAAAACCAATGGAGTGAATGGACATACATGTAAGTTCAAAATTACAAGAGAACATAAAATAATATGTAAATTATTCATCCTCTAATTAAGCAGGTGTCCAGAATCAGTACCTGCTATTCTGGATTTTTGGAACCCTGTAATCAGAGGATGAAACCATTGTGTATATTATAGCTAATGAAAAACATCCTTTCAGATGAAAAACAATAAAAATCATTGCATGCAACTTTTACAATATTTCATAAAAAGTATTCTTAAAAAGTTACACCTTGATAAGCTAGAACATCAATAGGCATAAATTGGTACCACCATGTGACTAACCATTATAGATAACACTTTGTGTATGTTGAAACTTCAGCCCCTACAGGTGACAAGAATTTACCAGCTAAACTTACAGACTTCTACGCTATTGGCAAAATCATTGGAGAGGGGAACTTTGCAGTTGTGAAAGAATGTGTATCAAGGTATTGAAAATAGATATAATCAGAAATACAGTAAAATCTGTATATCAGAACACCCTTCAAATCTGAACACATTTTTCGGTGCTCTTTTTTAATCTTCCATAGACTTCCATGTTAAAAAAAACTTGAAATGTGAACAGCTGCCAATCTGGACACTTTTGGCTGGTCCTGGGGGTGTTTGAATTGAAAATATGAACGTTTCATGAATAAACTGAAGGAAATGAAAATTTAAAGCATGCATAACATTTAAGTCAACCAAACCTAAAAGATAAGCATAAATTATGATATTTCACTGTGGTCCTGTAATTGCTTTATATTTGGTAGACTTACATTCCAACTGCCTTATGCTGTTAACCCATCCTGATGTTTGACATAATCTAATATAAAACCAAGAGAGGAACTGCAACAGGCTTTATTCATGTTAACCATAACATAGATTTATGAGACAGCTGATTCTTTGAATATTGATTCAGGAAGATTCTTCCCAAATCCCAATTGGCATTCTGTTGTTAAGAAATTACATCTTATACATGGAGGAGTTTTGTATGGCTACCAGACAGACTTTTTCAATTTACATGGCATTAACAGTAGTCTCTGAGATGTGCAGCACCCACTTGAAAATTTGAAAAGACCCACACTCAAGATTCATTTACACCCACTTGGAAATGAGACAAATCATGAAAAATAGGCATATTTTGACCAATTTTGGTCTGAATTGTGAAAATGAAATGATTCTGAAGGGAAGACTGCAGCTGTATTGTGTATGTTATTTTGCCACAAATCGTAAAATGAGGGTCCAAAAGAGTCCAAAGTGAATTGCACTGTACATTGTCCCTATTGGCAAGTGCTTATAAAGAATTTCTCAATCGCAATATATCCTGTATTGCACTCCAAATCATTCATGATCACTAATTTATAGTATTTTGTCAAAATACAAATTATGCAAAATGCAAATTATGAATCATTGGCATTAATTCTTGTTCCTCTTAGAAATACCCTGAGGTGGAGAAATTATTGGAAATTCTCTCAAATATGAGACATGATATTGGGTCATTTATATCGATGTATATCTGAGCTCCTTTGTTTCAAAATAATCCCACAATGACTCATCAAATGGATTAAACTAGGAATTTAATTTGAAATAGGGACTCCCTCACAGTTAAAGTGAAACTGGTACACTGTGACATTTAGTAATTCAATTGGCAGTTTTCAAATATTTGGCTGCTGTCTAAGTTGTAATGATTGTCAGTTAATTTTGCAGAATCCATCTAAATCAGATTTAAAGAGGGAATATTGTTGCAATTGCTTATTTTCTGCACTGGTTAATTTAGTACAATAATTCTAGTTATATTCATAATACTATGCATAATGGCAATCCATTTGCTTGTCTTGCTTTTCATCCAAATTATATGTTACAACAAATTATGATAAAAATAAACGTGGCAAATGCCTCTGTATTGTTACATGCTGTATGTCACTTTGCCATTCTGAATGCAGACGCTGCCATTCATGAATAACAAAGACATACTTAAAATATAAATACAAATACTTGAATAGCATAATGTTGATTTCAGAATTAAGAAGAAAGCCTTTGCACTGAAGATTATTGATAAGACAAAATGTAAAGGCAAAGAACAGATGATTGAAAATGAGGTTTCGATTTTACGACGTGTGAAACACCCGAACATCATCCTATTGGTTGAAGACTTTGACACAGCAACTGAATTGTACCTTGTAATGGAGCTAGTCAAGGTAGTGTATTTTAAATCACTTATTGAAATTTAGTAATTTATAGTTGACTGCATTTTAAATGTATGAACTATGTTTTGGGCCAATATAGCACCCGCAGTAAAATCAAAATAACTATTCTCTGAGTATAAATAAACAGATTGGTTGGCCTGCCCTCTATATTTAAAAATAATTTCTATCACTCTTTAGCCTATGATTATTACACTGATGCATGTAAATACTGATCTTACTCTTGCAAGCTTTTCTCTCCTATTTATTCCCCTGTAACTTTACTCACAGTGTCTTATTTTCTGTAAGAACTGGCATGTCATTTTAGACATATGATCTATCATGAATTTACAAAATTATTTAAATTCGCACAGATGAAAGATCATTCTTCTAACATTTGACCACATTTACCCGATCAAAGTTTCTAATAAACATCTGGGATAATCTTAATTACTTCCCATCCTGCATTACTGTCTATCTCCTTCCACTGAGAAATAGTACAGGGATTGGGGGTAACACAGTGACTTGAACCCTGCATTAAGAATAGAAGACCAAAATAAAGTAAGGAAAAACTTAAGGTACATGTAAACTCTCAAAATTACCCAAAATACCATGCATTGATAGTTATCTATATTATCATTTATTTGGGTTATTTTTGTAGGGAGGAGATTTATTTATGGCAATATCCACATTGACCAAGTACACAGAGCAAGATGCAAGTGGAATGATCTACAATTTGGCTAGTGCTGTTAAGTACCTTCACTCCCTGAATATTGTGCATCGTGATGTCAAGCCAGAGAACCTATTGGTAAGTCAACACTCTATTACAATGATGTCTGGGAAAATCATGAAAAATAGGCATATTTTGGCCAATTTTGGTCTGAATTGTGACAATGAGAATTTTGCACCACTTAAGAAAAAATTCTTTGGAGACCATTGTACATATATAGCACATGTTGTAAATGATTCAATTTTTTCCATTCAATTTTTTCTTGTATTATGTTTAAATATAATTTGAACCTGTAGGTGTGTGAACATGAAGATGGGAGCAAATCATTGAAACTTGGTGACTTTGGATTGGCCACTGAAGTGCAGGGACCATTGTTTACAGTGTGTGGCACACCCACATATGTGGCCCCAGAGGTGCTGACAGAAACTGGGTATGTGCTTACAAATCATGATTGGTCTGAACATAATCACAATTATCCTGATGTAATTGTAAATTAGGATAGAAGGAACCAAGTTCCATATGTAACAAAAAACATAGAATTGTTCTACTTAACATCTCTTCATTTTTTGTTCATCTAGGTATGGTTTGAAGATAGATGTATGGGCTTCAGGGGTGATCACATATATACTTCTCTGTGGATTCCCACCATTTGTAAGGTAAGCAGTAGTTAATAATAAGCTCTAACAGATTTGTCCTCAAAGTTAACATTAGACTTTTTTGACACAGACACTTTTACTGGAGGTTAATGTAATCATTTGATGTTTCTTGAAAGATTTCAGGAAGAATACATGACAAATTGTCTGTATCACAAATGATCTGCTTTAAGACTTGTAATGTCACTACCAGAAGTGGTGACATGTTGTTATAGTCTCCAGCCTTTTCATGGCTGGTGTTAGGCAGCTGGTGTTTGGCATTGGTTGGTTGGTGTTCAGTGTTATGTGGTTGGTGTTCGGTGTCTGTAACAGTGTTCAGCAGTCAGCATCTGTAACAAATTGCAGGTGGTGACAATTTGTATGTTAATGCCTTGTTTACCTTTAGGTAATAGGGATCAGGTATTAAGATCTAACTGCATATGTTTGTGTTCTACAGTGCAACTAATAACCAAGATGAGCTGTTTGATTTGGTCATGGAAGCAAAATTTGAGTTCACATCTCCTTTCTGGGACGGTATCTCAGACTCTGCCAAGGTATGTGTGGTTTAACAGATTGTTGGGTCAGTATTATGAAGTCCGGCATAGCATTCATGGCAAATACTGTAGATACACTTAATTTGGCTCCCGTTTTAATTTGACGGATCGACAGATTCAGAAAATCTGCCAAATTAAAAATCCGTCAAATTTCAGTTTGGAATTTTTGTCCAATGCACTTCAGAAATTAAACTCCAGGGGTCCCTTTTCCTGTCAACATGTCATTAGTTCTACATTCTTTCCTAATATAACAGAAATATCTACAAAAGTTAAACTTCAGTCCTGAATCCGCAAAATTAAATAGCCACCAATATTTGTAATTGAGCAAATCCGTCTAACTAAGTAACGTCAAAATAAGTGTATCTACAGTAACTGTAAATTATGCATGAGATTCAAATAACTACAAGGTGAAAGATCCTTAAGCGTTAAGAATATCCCAATTTATTAATTCATTTGTCAAAACACTAAGGGGGTTTGCATTGATATACTTTTAACTGCTATAGGAGCTGATATCGAAAATGCTTTTGCTGAACCCAGGGGACCGTTACAGTGCAGCACAAGTCCTAGACCATCCATGGGTTGCTGTAAGTAAACACAATCGCTTTTTGTCATTTATGAATAATTGAGAGTATATAAATTTATATGTGTTTAGGTTAAATAATCTCAATTTCCACCTTAAATATTCAGAATTACTCACATTGATTATCATAGTTGAATTCTACATGCAGAAATGCATCTTAAATTATTTGTTTGAAAATTTTTTATGAAGTTTGAAAACGATATTTTTCAACTACATGTCATACTTTTTCACCATTTTGTTAATTGCATAATAACACTTGCCGAGATGTGGCCTACGCAATAACTATTGTTTGTTCTATTTTAAGTGAGATCATTACTTATTGGTATACTTATTGGTCCATGGTTAAATCCTGTGTTTAGAGTTTATCTTATTGTAATTATCTGATTATGTTGCGTTACAGGATGACACTGCCAAGGATTGTGACATGCATGTTACGGTGTCACGAGAGATGAGCAGAAACTTTGAGATGAAAGTGAGGTCATCAAGCAATGCAGCTGGAATTGCAGTAATTGCTGTGAGTTCAAATTCTGCTAAAAATGTTACTTTTCAGATTTCGTAAAAAATAAATATGTGTGGCTTTGAAATATATTACTTTATAAGATTTAATCAACTCAATATGATTTACTAAAAAGTAACTCATGAATTAAAATTATATTGTTCAAAATATCATGATATTTATTATTCCATGATGGGGAAAATCCCTGCAATCTGATTGGTCAATGTGACTTAAATATATCCTGTATTTACATGCACTCTCAACTTAGCGTTGGATACAGAGTGAAAAATGATGTCACTGTTGGGATATGGTTCAGTTCAGCAAGCGCCTCGTGAAATACAGACCTTCTCAGCAGAATATTTTCTGTATTTCACTTGAATCATTGAATATCTTATAGTATCTCCTGTGTATTTCCAGAGTACAGCATTGGACAAGAGCTCCAAATTCTTCAATGGTAGAAAGATAGGTCTCCAGGTCCAGACCAATGGTGACCAAGAGGAGGTCTTCTAATCTCAATACCATCAATCATATGATGATACTTCTTACTATGTAAATCATCATCTGGTGTTTCTCCATAGTCTGTATTAGTCTATTATTTCGCAACCACAAGTGGCATTCAGTGGTTGGCGTTCAGATTTCGTCATCTGTAACAAATGGCAAGTGGTGACATTTTCCATGTTAATGTCTTGTCTGTATCTAGTACTGATTATGTAACCTTGGAATAAACAGCGTTCTGTTGTCGTTCAAATACCCTTTACGAATTACGACATGATACTTCTTTTGTGCTTATCATAAATCTGGAGATTTTCTCCATAGTCTATTAATACTAATTTTGTAATGATGATGTAACCTTGGAATAAACAATGCTCTGTTATCCAAGTGAGTCAAATGCACAGAACCAGGAAACCAATGACAGTCTTGAAGTTGAATGACGATTATCTATAATGGACAGCTTCAGGAATAAAAGTTATTTAAAAGCTATTTACACAGTATGCTCTTCAAAATGGAGGGACATAATGATTAAAGAAAATCAGAAATATAAGCACAGGGAGAATTGCAGAGAAAAAACATTTGGGTGATTGTGATTGGTACTTTACATTGATCACTTTGTTTACTGTGTACCACCTTTTAGTTTTTGCCCTATTCTGACAATGAAAGTATATGTAACTTCCACCACATATACATTGTAAATCAAATATACAATGTTTGCTAAAGACAATGATATTTTTACATTAACATTTTCGTACTTTTATATCATAATTTTAGAAAAAATTGATTTTTGTAGAATGTCAGCCATCAATGTTGAAAATAGAATCGGACAAATAGAACACTAAATAGTTTTATTTCACTTAGAATGTGATTGCCAAAAGTTGAGGTTTAAAACTTGCATGAGATAGTGAAACTAGTTAAGTGGAACACCTGTCTGGCTGTAAGTGGAATACTTCCATCAGTAGAAGAACACTTTTCATAGTCCCATTGTAGAAATGTGAAATTAATGTATGTAGGTGGAATACCTCCTCAATTTAAGTTATCAAAGGGATTTTAATGACACTAGTTTTACTGTACATTCATTGAATGAATCAATTAGCATAAAGCTGTAATTAATGCTTCAGTTGCTTTATTTATGAAATATGGAATGCATTTATGAATATATGAGATACATATTTTCTCATATGACTAACTAAGATACAGCCATCTTTACCCCATGCAAGATATTGCCATCTTTCATCCTAAAAAGTCACATGTGCAAGATGAGATTTACTTGTGACATCACTGCTTTATAAACATCAACGACATGGCAACGGGTACACCGTTGCTATGCGTATCCATGCTCATTCTACAAAACTAAGCTGTGACGTCATAACAATGTAGCTTTGTTGCCACGCGTTTCCATGTATTTTCTACAATATTGGTATGACGTCATAGCAATTGAAAAATGAAGCTCCATTAATTTCAAGCTATTTTTCACTTAGTTTTATCATAAAAAGATGAAAATATGGCATAATGAAGAGTCATATGAGAAAAACTTTCTCATACTCGTACCTGTGCAACATCGTCCATTCTTGACTCGCTTTGATAATGTTCCTTTATCTCGTCTGCGACTCGATAAAGAAAAATTATCGAAGCTCATCAAGAATGGACGATCTTGCACAGGTACTCATATGAGAACCTCTATGTGTTATAAAGGTGTATATAAAAACATAACATAATGTCCATGTAGATCTATGTTGTGAAATAAGCATTGTAATACTGATTACATTTATAATTTATTTATTTAATTTAATATAATCACAAACGATTTAAAAATGTATATCCAGTGCGTTTTGCTACCCGAAAGCATCATTTTGTGTTCTGTAAGATTTTTCATGTACAAAACTATATATTGATGCAGGTACCTGTATGCAAGGACGTCGATAGATGTATGAGATAGACTGTATGACAGAATTTATATTTCACATTACATGATTATTTTGCCTGTCCATTGTATTTGGTTTCCCCGTATTTCGGACAATCAAGGTAAAACCTGTAGAACACCTCTAGAAATTGAAAACCAAATGAAGTTACCTGTTTTCTATGTAAAAGAAACGTAAGTGTTACGCCTCTAATGCCTAGGTCACATTTGCTCCGATTCATCCTCTCTACTTGTATTTGACATTTGATTTTGTATATAATAGTCTGAATAAATGTGCAATTTTATCATGAATATCTACAAGTTGTTGTCAGTAGATAGGGTCGTAACTGAAGATTTCATCTGTATATAGTTGAAAAGGTGCCGACATTACCTTAGTCAAGCCTCTTCATACTAATCAGTTCACACCAACGTTGATATTTGATTATATCACCTCATGCAATTCGTACTCGTAGGGATATAGAGACGAGCCCTATGATTTGAAAAATGGGACGGAGGGGGAGTAGGTATTTTAATTATTTTTATATAACATATGGAAACTTATTTTGCAAAGACTTGGAAACTTATTAACAGATTAAGTCAGCAATGGCATTAATTTTGATAGGATAATATCAATTACAAATATTTATTACAGGTCATATAGACCATTGTTGCTTGATTTATAGCAAAAACATTGATTTATGCACGTTGTTGGTCTCATATCTTAGAAGAATAGTACGGACAGCACTTCAAATTTTATAGGATTATTATGTCATGGGTGTAGGACCTCTGATGTCCCAAAAGATTTAGCTATCATAGAATGCGTCGTTAGTCCGCTTTTGATTTTTTGAAGTGAGTTTCGTAGATCGTTAGATTTCTCCAACTGATATCGGGTTATCTCAAATTGGTTCGTTTATAAATACGAAATTCTTTACCCTTGTAAGACACATGTGCAAAATTGATTCATAAACGTGATTGGGTGGTGATTTTCTCCTGAGCATGCGCGAAGTATGATGAACACTTATGATGAAGACATGTAGAGCATTACTAGCTCTCGAACGAAATCCCAAGATTCAGATCATTTTGCTATGTTTGCTAAGCGTGTATACGTGAATGACAAGCTGTTTTGAGTAGATCAGGTACTTGTTTTAACCACAACATTGATTTAGCTTGACATTGAGGTGCACATTCGCACTTTTGACCATGTTAATACAAGTTTTTACATCCTTAGCAGGAGACGGGTTTTTGAAAAATCTGTTATCTAATTTACTCGATTATCGTATGGATGTGTATTTCTGCTGACTTTTTAACACCACATTATAGAATTACGATGCAGAATGATAATAAAACACAAAACAACTACTAAATTCCACTTGTTATTTCACAGGAAGTAAAAATGCACACCGCCTAGATTTTTTGTAAGGGTTGTCAGACATCGGATGGGCCGCCATATCTGAACTGAAAATATAACTCGAAGTTGGCCGAAGATACCACGAATGTGAAGAGGACGTCTCTAATTGGTCAAAAAGAGAGGCTCGGCATTCTTGCAGATGAATCGGCAAAATTCGGTTGTAGGGCTTACCTTCGGTTGTATGGCTTACCTTCGGCTGCATGGAAAAGATGCTGTCCCATCATCTAAATAGAGCTTTGCGCATGTCATAACAGATCGACTGAACTTCTTCGAAACGAAACTGGTACTTATGTTTGAAGTGGATCGAGATAAAAAAAAACATTTCTGGAAAATAGAACAACTGATTTATGACCGTTTAGATTGTATTTGTAAAACACAACAATTAAAAAGTTTGTAACACAGTGTGTAAGGCGACAGGATGCCGAAAGTAATTAGTAAGTATAGCCTAAATGCAATTACGTTAGTCAGACTACTTCAGCAAGAGTCGGAATATGTACTTTGGTGTCCCAGAACACTTGGAGCTTCATAAACGTGTTTTGATTAAATTGTTGAGGCAATGCCCGAGTTGACTTTTTCTGTGATGGAACTCTTCAAACTTGTTACGAGTTTTCTTTTTCCAAGATTTCATGAGATGTAGCCTGAATCAATCTTCACCTTTCTGTCACAAATGAGTACCAGCATTGAATGTTAAGAAAATCTAAGCGAACGATTTGCGAACGAATAGTTCACAAGAGACCAAAATCATTGATATAACTTTTGCTATGTGACGGTCCAACAGTTTGAAGAGCTTTACCTCAGTGACATTATATGCTTTAGTTAAGTGATAAACACATTGTATTTAACAGATAGGATCGATGAAAGGAAATTACTGCAATTAGCTGGCAAGATGGGAGATCAGTTCATAGCTATTGCAGGAGAACTTTACTTTACATTAGCTGAAATTGAAACATTTGAAGCTAGCAAAAGTGATCCAAAGTCATCCAGATTTAAAGCATTGGTTAGCTGGCAGAACGGATTGTCTGAGGGTGATGCGCAACAGATCCTGGCAAAGGCGATGAGGAATGGAGGAAGAAGTGACCTCGCTGAAACAGTTGAGAAGTGGGAGATAAACTTTGATAACAAAGGTGAAACGCAATAAATTGTTCACATAAGCAAGTGAAGTCCCTAATATGACCAAAACGTCCTTATTCCAGAACTTTCACATTTCAATGAGCACATTGGGAAAATGGAAACATTTTGCATATTCATTCTTACGTCAGTATAGTTTTGTATTAATAGTACGAATATTATTTTGTGTTCTGTAATTTGTTTTATAAACAGAAAATGGATATATTGAAACATCTACCACCCCGCCTGCTACTAACACACCACTAAATGAAAATGGGTTCACTGAGGTAATGGGGAAGCCAATGGGGAAGCATCTTGAAATAAATCGACAGCAAGGACCTTCAAAATGTCAAATACATTTTCAGAGCCTCTCTAAGAGTTCTTGTAATCGGTGTAAAGTAATGAACTTCAATATAAATTAATCTGTTTCAGATCAATACATTCCAGATTCATATCGTACCACCAAAAGTTTTGCAATCCATTCTTACATCGGAGTTCATCGACGCACTTTGACTTGAAACACTTTTGAATCTAGATCATGGACCTTGTTTGAACGTTTTTTCAGCAAAATGATAAAAGTATATAGAGTCTTATGCTACAACCAGTATAGTTATTAACGGCACACATGTAAAAGTGATGGGGATGTATTTAGTTAGGCTTGCTAACATACTGAATCATTGAAAATGCGAATTAATCAGACTATACTGTACGTCTTGATGGTCTTCTGCATTTCGCACAATTAAGACAATTTAAACATCTGTAGTACCCTTTGCATTCGTTCGACTTCACTTCTTGAAAGAGAGCTTCGTCTATATAACTAGACTCTGTGCGCAGGGTACATCTGTAGAAGAGTCCATGTCTAGTGGTTATGTGAAGAGAAATCGATCAACAAAGTCATGTTGACTCACTCATAAATGAACCTCGTATACAGGGTGTTCCAAAAGTAACAGGACTGGTGCTGGCATTTTGTCAATTCTCCACCAATTGTCTTTAAATTTTCACACAATGTAATTTGAAGTATTGCAACTAAAAGCCTTAAGTTTCAAAAGAAATTATGGAATGTAGGTAGAGCTATGGTTACTATAGTAACATGACATCACAATACCCGGGGCAACTTTTCCATGAAAATGTGATATTTAACATTTTTAAATTACTAAAGAAAGTATCAAATTTGCTTTTTACAATACAACATTTCTTGTTTGTTTTTTAGTTACTTTGTTGTTATTGTGTTGCTTTACAACTCAGATTTAAGAGTTCGTGATTTCCTCATGATAATATTTATTCTGTTTCCTGGAATATCACTTTCTGTAACAGTCTGCATTATTCAGCCGGGCCTTCAAAAAGACCCAATATTAAGCCAACCATCTACCTTGATAACGTGCCTGACTGCAAGTCAGCATTTAAGACCACTGTAGCTATAGAGGAGCTACATTTAGGTCTTTAGGTTTTAAAGACCATGCACCATATTCTCCTGATCATGCAATATCTAATTTTTACTTCTATGGAGAATGGAATCCTAATCCGCGTAGTAGGACATTTGTAGATAAGAATGGCCTTCTCCACATTTTCCAATTGACCATGTGTTGCATGTCCTCACTTGGGTTCACTCATGTGTTTGAGTCATGGATCCAGCGTCACTACACTTGAACTGATGACCAAAGAGGAGAATATTTCTCAATATAGAGGATACATGGAGATATCAAATGATGTAAAACAGAACGTTATTCCCACCAGTTGTTGCATTTTAACTTGGATATATGGGATGTACAAAATGCTTAAAGTCTCTGTAATTTTGTGCGTGGAATGTTGCCCCGGGTATTGTGATGTCATGTCACCATAGCAACCATAACTCTAACATAGTTTCGTAATTTTATTTGAAACTTTACAATTTAATTCACAATACTTGAAAGTACATTATGTAAAATTTTAAAGACAATTGGGGAATATTCAATAAAATACCAGCGCCAGTCCTGTTACTTTTGGAACACCCTGTATGCATGTACAGTAATATAATTTGCAGGTGATGGAGCAGCAAGGAGCGGTTATAAATATCCCAACAAGTTTGACATGTTTGACGTGACCTGTTACTATTGTGGCAAAGAAGGGCATTACAGTTCTACATGCTATTCGCTTAAATGGAGGAAACGAAAATTAGCTAATGTTCGTCGACAGATTTATTTAAAATACAGGAAATTCCCTGTAGGGAGAAGTTTAGCAACGTCGTCAGAAATCTGTTACAGATGCAAAGGGAAAGGGCATTGGGCCTACGAATGTTCAGAAATTCCCGTTAACTCCTAAAACTGGTAGTTACAGGTGACTCATCTTGGATTACCAAGGTATGATTGAAAACTGATCAAACTAGTAAGCGAGTATGAGGTCACAGTGACTTACGATGTGTAAGTTCTCAATGACCTTAGATAAGTCCTAGTGTTATTATAAAAACATGTTAATATGAAAGATGATTTAAAACCCGACGTGTATTTGATGAAACAAATACTCTTTTACCAATGGCTGCCATTACACTTTGCATTCGTGCGACTTCACTTCTTAAAAGAGAGCTTCGTCTTCATAGTTTATAACTAGACTCTGCACGCAGGGTAGGCTGCCATCTAAGTAGCCCGTTCATGAATTATTTGTATCTTTTTAGGACGTGTGATGGACCAATGGCTTATGTCGTGGCGACAAAATTAATTGGCGAACAAATTCTACTTCCGGATCCTCATCATTAGAATTTCCATATCTGACGCGATACTTGGGATACTGGAAAATATTTTAAAACGACAGATGCTTCTTAGTCTGGCACTCGATCGGCGTACCGTAATCTAGGATATTGGCGTCTATATCAGTAACAAAAAGAGGAAGTCAACAATGAAATTCTGAGTGACCCCTAAATACACATCCGCCCAATTTATGATAATCTCTTCAGTATGCAATCTGCTCTTAATATGCAGTGTATGCAATCAGCTATTTTCAGGCACAGAAACTATTGATAAATCTTTGAAACTATCAATCTATCTATAAACAGTATTGCTGCATGTTTATAGATAATTTTCATTATTCTGAAAATCGGAGAGCACGTGATGGTATCAATGGCCATTTTCTGACTTATCACCTGAAAACAATATGTACGGCGTCCCACAAGGCTCTCCTCTCGGACCCCTATATATTTTTTATCTTATATATAAATGTCATGCCCAAGAAGTGTTCTATTCATGCCAACGACAGGAGAGGTCAGATTATTGTCTTTACTCAATCGATAATCGCTAATCTAGGCTCTCGTGTCTTTTATGGAAACACGCCTTTCCATGTTCAAACGTGTTTCAAAAGCACCTTTCTATATATGACAAATTCATTGTCACACATGTTTCCATTGGCGTCGTTTTTATACTTTAGAGTATCGTTTTAAGATCTGTTTTCAACAATATTTTGAGTGGCAGCCAAAAAAGTGTGTTCAGTCTAAAAACCTTTTGTCGCCGGCTAGGCGTGACCGATATTTATTAAGGGCTGTTTCCAGGATCTTGTGGGTCTCTGGTACTCACAGGTCGTTGCTATCGAATAACTAACGTTGTTTGATACTCTTTCATTCCAATCCCTATTATTTTCCGTCCCTGATTCCAGGTTCCAAATGCCCAAGTCCGAAATGCAGCCAATATTTCATACGTCCAAAACGATGTCAAAATTTCCTAAGTCCAAAAGTAGCGAATATTTTCTAAGTCCATTTTGTTTTAATTTCCATCCGTAGTTTTGTTAGCATTTGATTGATTCCAATTTCCGAATGTTTTTACTGCAATTCAGCCCTTGTTTATATATACAGGTAGAGCTACATTGATCATTTTGTCAAAATATTGCTTATATTTGCTATAATTTGGGCTTATATTACGCTTAGATTGCAGATATTTGAAATTGTATTGAGATTATGATTGGATAATAATAAACGTCATTTTGATATTTTTGACAGGAAATGGCGCTTTGTTACTATATTATTATTATATCTCGGTTACCGCCATATTTGGCGTGCAATACCTCATTGGTATAGTCCGTATTTTACGAATTTTACACTCGAAGAGAGAGCCAGAAACCCCTCCTTGGGGGAGCCGTTTTCTTTTATGTGCAAAGGTACACAGACATACAGGTACACACCACAGCCTTTTACTCAGTCAAACACCCAGAATTACATAACGCACAAACAAACTTGTCTGAACCGGGAATCGAACCCTGGGCCAAGCGATATTGGTAACCTTGACTCTCTCTGCCACTGAGCCATAGCGTAACCATTTCCAACCTGTTGCAGGTGAAACAGTACATTCTATTGTCATTAATCATTTGAGTTATGTTAAGTTCTAGACAGATGATCTTACATCGAGATTAATGCATTACTCATACATGTAGACACTTGGAATATTAATCCATTAATTATAATTACTAGTTAATCTAAAGAGCGGGTTGTAACACTCACTTGAAGATGCTGTATGTCACAAGCAATATGTTCAATAAACATGTTGGTGTGTCGCTTACGTCCTTTAATCTAAGAAGGATGTGATTGACTCATTTCATACACTACCGTACGTGTCCGATATGAAAGTGAAGATTCAAGATACAGGAATGAATCCTGGAATGTCCTAATTTAAAAGAACCCAAAACGTGTACTTTTTCAGGATCATTGTCGAATTAATATTTAAACATTTTTTTAAAAAAGGAATGAAAAAATATGCTGTCAGGACAATATATTTGAAAATTGTGAATCTGTTAATAGACTTGGAAGAAATCGTTGTCAATGTCAAATGAGATATTCAGAATTTGTAGTGTGTACAATGCCTATTTCCACCTCCATTATTGTATTCTATATACTAGGTATATGTAACGTATACTAAAATGACAAGTCATTATTTAACATTTTCATACTTTTATACACTGTAACATAATTCTAGAAAGAATTTTATAGAATGTCAACCACCAATATGTAACTTCGATAGAATTGTACAAATAAGGGTACCCAAATAGACAATTGAATAGTTTCATTAGATATTTGATGCTTGTGTACAATAGCGCAATGATATGTGCAATTTTATAATGAACATCTACATGACATGTAGTTGTGTTCTTCTACGAAAGATCTGGGGGCTGATACTTTTTCAAACAATTATGAAAGTATGTGTATTGATGAAATGTCCTGTTACCTAAAAAGTGTCAACCCACTTTGTACTTTTCACCCTAATTTTGATATTTCATCAGCATATGACCTTGCAGTGACCTTGGATTTAGAACCTAGTGATATACAAAAAATTATGAAAACATGAAATACTAATATATTTACATTTGCTCCATCTTTTGACTCTGATGGCTCCTATAGTTCAGTAGAAGAGGGGAAATACCTGAAGGGTTCAAAGATGACGTACATTAACGTCTATAATGTAAATCTGTATCGAGATTACACACCGCCTTGATTGGTCCAAATAGACAAACAAAATTAAAACTGGCGGATTCAAAATTAACGCTTCGAATAATATTATGTTCATTTCTGGTGTGTTAACCATAGCTTGTTACATGTATTTCACATCAAGATAAACAAAGATGTAAGGAATATGATTACATCGATTAAAACATATTCGAAAACTAACTGGTGAGAATTTGCGCAAACAAATGTGGTACGCAAGAGACGTAATATGTCTGTCATCGCTAAAGCCCTGGGGGTTCCCTCCTCTTGTTCAGTAGCATTGGAACATTATCACTGACCTTCAATTCCAACTGTGACATTGAGGTGAACTCTGACCTTTGACCTTATATAACTTCATTAATTTTTTTAGTTTGGTGACACTGGAATCAGATGTCTGATGTGTCGGATCAAACAAAACATGTCATATATCTAGAGACTTCATTTAGGCCGTCTCGGTCTCTTTGTACTACTTGTTTTGTTGGCTAGAGACTCGAGTGAGGGGTATTGTAGTATGTAACTCTATTTTATGATGTCAAACCAGGCCAATGATTAACCAATGACTTCGTATATTGGATGATTCATGTAAATTCAAAACGAAAGTAGTATACGAATGGTGTAAATAAAGTATAAAGTTTGATGAGGGTCAAGATAAAAACATATGTGAACGGTTTACATTAAAACAAACATATTAAAGTCACACCAAGTGTTATAACTATATCAATGAACATTCAGAATGTATTTGTGAAACACAACACCTCTATCTACAAGACTCCAGACTAGCTCGCTGATTCATCGTCATATTGGATACATACTGGGATACATATTTCAACTTCATGTTTTGAAACTCGATGTTGTAGTAACGAAAAGATGGCGAAAGTAGTAGGTAAGTACATTTTAAATGAATTGCAGGTTATTTAGCATTAAATTTTATAAGATATGAAGTGAGACGCCGGCCGCCATTGCACTTTTGTTGATAAATCTGATTGGATTATCGCACTTGTTTCATTTTGCATGCTCTCCCAGAAGGATAGAGATGGAGTGGGCGTGGCTTACCACGATTTGTTTATGGCCTAATAAGTGCATCCTCCTAAGCAGGTATCCAGAATCCGTACCTCCTTCTATCCCCTGCTATAACCAATTTTTATAAGCGCCCGATTAAACTGAATCACGTGATCTAATCATGCGCTATGACCTATACATAATTTCTGTCGCAGTGTTGCGACAGCCAATCAGATTGCGAGTTCTTAATCGAGGAAATGCTAACTGCTTATCGCAGGGGGTAAAAAGAAAGAATATATTCTGGATTTTGAAGCCCTGTGATCGGAGGATGAATAAGTGGTGAACACATTTTATTTAACAGCTAGGATTGACCAAAGGAGGTTAATGGAATTAGCTGGTGAGATGGGAGATGCTTTCAAAGCTATTGCAGGAGAACTTGGTTTTTCACAAGGGCAAATTCAGACATTTGAAGCTAATAACAAAACTAATCTAATGAATTCGAGATTCGATTTATTGGTTAGTTGGCAAAACAGATTGAGTGATGGTAATGCGCAACAGATTCTGGCAAAGGCACTGCGGAATGTGGGAAGAAATGAACTAGCTGAAACAGTTGAAAACTGGGAGAAAGGTGACTCGCAATAAATTGCCCACGTTATTTATTTCACAGGGTGACCAAACGTCTTTATCTTAGATCTTTCAAATGTTAATGACTATACTGAACAGAAACATTTTCATCTCCGTTCATCTTAATTGATAGTAATGTAAGACTATTACTAATATGTTATTATTTATGGCTATGTTTTATTAACAGAAATTGGATACATTGAAAAGCCTACCATGAAGTCTAACATACCACCTAATGTGAATGGCTTCACTGAAACTGAAGAATATTCAAAATGTTTCGATCACATGAAGAAAACAAAAAAATGTGTAGTATTGTCAGGTACGCAACATATATTTCCGATTTATCTAGAAACCACATGAAATTGAATTGATAGTAATAGCAAACACACTGTAAGTTCTGCGAAATGCTATATAAGTACGAATAAGGCCATAAGAAGTAGATGCTTCTTTTTGCGTCCCCTTGCTTGCACTATTTTGAGTAAATCAGAAAAAGCAAACACATCCAAAAAGCAATCACAAGGGTCTGAAAGTACCATCGCATTTTGTTCAATCGGAATCAGAAATGACATACAATTTGATGCGCGTCAAAATTGACAGTGTTATTGATTACTTTGGCATACATTGTGTACTTTCTTGTTTTGGTTACCTTTGAATAATAGCTATGTTTAAATATATTGTATATGATGTATAGATATGTGTTTGTAATCGCTGCAAATTGGTTTGTCATCCCTTTTTATGCTCATAAAATGTATACATTTCCTCAGCAAACAAGTTCGCGTTTTTCTTGAGTTTGTGTTTGTTTCCTTGTACCCTTGCATGATTTTGATTTAACCAGGACGCAAAACAAAGAATCTACTATTTATGGCCTAATGCAGCTATATCTCGCATCTTTCATAAAGTGGTAATTTATTTCCAAATTCAGGACTGTGCGTTTTAAGGGGTCATGGACTTTGAAATTATTCATATATCACGATATATGTTTGGGAAAGTCTTAAAACACAAAGCTCGTATCTCTTATAGGTCATGATAATAAAGGAATATCATATGGTTTTGAAAATATCATTTATATCCATGAGTGGATATTGATATCTTCACGAGTGAGCGCATCGAATGAGTAAGATATTGTTATTTATGAGTTGATATAATTGATATTTTTTGAAGAACCATAGGATTGTCCATTTATCCCATGGAAAAATATTTGAAAGAAATTGTGAAAAAATGTTGAAAATCTTTTTTGAAATTTTGAATTTTTTAAAAAAAGTATACTTTTTAAAGTAATTATAAAATGTAATAATTTTTTTTTGAAAAATTCGAAACCAGCGGATATCACTTTTCACACTATCGAGTATCACTTTTTAAGAAGTGATTCGATGGTTTGAGAATTTTTTGCTAAAATATGATATCTTTATCCACATATCAAATATATCTTCACATGATATAATGTACGACCTATATCCTTGCAACCATGGGATAAAGATAAATATTTCCTAAGAAATTCAGGGAAAAGTCGCACTATCCATTATGTTAGATTGTTTAAACTCGATATTTTGCTTCTTCCTTAAGGACTAAGCGGCGTTGGTAAAACAGAGATTGTGAAGCGCTGTTGGGATGTGAAGCAGAATGACTATGATATTGGCTGGTATATACCGAGTGATTCTAAACAAAACTTGACAATTTCGCTAAAGAAACTGCTCGAGAATCTTAAGATATCAATTCAAATCGAAACCGAGACGACAGATTCTCAGGAATCTCAATTTCTCAACTATGTTTATAAAACGCTAATCAGTGAAGTAAAAAGGAAATACTTGTTAATCTTTGACAATGTCGGTAAAGAAACCTGCCGCGAAATATACCAATACTTCCAACCAACGGAGAATATATCTATTATGGTAACAACTCAGTCCTCATGCCATCCCGCCGAGCAGGGTAACGACTCGATCGTCATCCATATCGACGGTTTTAACCTTGATGAGGCACTTGAGTGTCTAAGTGATGTTGATGACAAGAAGGGAAAAAAAGTAAAGCTTTGGAAAGAGATGAGTAAACTTCCCAGTGCGATACGTGGCGCCAAGTTCTACATTAACAAATACAAAATAAATATTGATGAGTTCCTCCGTCGAATCAAGAAACCAAATCTTTATAAAATGATAGAAAACGATGCTCTTGGGATTTTAGGCCCAAATTACCCGCAACCTCCCATCCAGGCACATGTGGAAATTGTTACAGCCTTGTTAAAAGACCTAGTTCAAGAAGAATTAAAAATGGGAGTGGTGTTACTCAAAGCAATGGCATATTTGGACTCGAAAGCAATTCCATTATTTATCTTGAGTGACATTTTGCATCAGGCATACACAGATAATAATATGTCCTTGGAAGATAAGGATACTGTGGTTGACACTATTTTCATGGGCAAACTGACGGATCGATCCTACGCCACAATACGTGATGATACGGAGATGGGAGAAAAAGTTCGTTGTGTTGATACGCACGACCTAGTCCAGTTGGCTATACGTATTGTGATGCAAAAAACGCCAAAGGACAACGAGGCATTGCAGATACTAATGCGGGTACTTTTCTGTTACTTTGACAAAGACACTAAGCATACGAAATCTTACAACAGAAACCTTATGCTAATGCCCCATATAGAGACAGTGTTAAAACACGCTCAAAACAAAGCCATGACCTCCGATATTAAGGTGATGGTAGTTGCCATAAATGATGCACTTGGGTATTTTTACACACAGAAGGACTTTGGACTGAGAGAGGAAGCAGAAAAGAAATTACAAGCAAACATAAGTCTGCTTGGTGAAGTGCTTCATCTTGAAAATATACTATCGGAAGAACATCCTAGTAAGCGACGACGAAGTGAAAATTTGAATGACATTGATATTGGCCAAACAGATTTTGACCAGTCAACACTTGCTCGAGATATATACGGCAAACTTGTGACATTGAAAGATGAATTGGGCAGCAAAGTGATAGAGCAACTTTTGCTCAGTATTAGCCTAAACGAGGCTGATATTAAGCAAATGAAAATCAAATCAGGTAAAAAGCTTCCCAGTTTTTTATCAGGGAACAAAATCGACAAGGCCATTTACAAAACTTTGGTTGAGTCAAAACTGGCAATACCCGAGGAAACAATGGAGAAAATGTATCTTCCAGAGTTGTACGCATCCGTTTTATACACATTTGGCCGAATGTATTTCTACAACAAACAAAAGCACGACAAGACAAAACCCAATAAAAATACCTTCATAACTGCAATAAGACTTGCGTCTGCCCTGTGTCGTGTTATTGAAGAAGAAACAGGTTATATTGTTCTTCATAGCATATTATGCAAACGTAATGCACTTCTATACCTTTACTTAGAAGATGTTGATGAAGTAGGGCAGCTGAAAACACCAGAGGTAAAACTTGGAGACTTGTATAATGGTAAGACTGCCTACAAAACCCTTCTGAAGCGTAATACTAGCGAGAACTGGTACCAGCGTGGTATTCTTAAAGAAACATATGCAAAGGACGTAGGAAGTATACACCGCTGTGTTTGTCTCGAAAGGGGAATAACATTCGGTACAAATATATTGAGACAGGAAAAAGATGTAACAAAGCGGTGTAAAATGGCAGCTGAGGTAGAAGAGGATATAAAAGCGCTTAAAAGTGAAATGTCCCTCAAAGGCGACCTTTCTAGCATCCCAGATTATCATATTGTGATCGCCGACTTTTATGCAGAAGTCAAAAATTGGATGGCAGCTTTGAATGAATATAAGCATGCTATTGACCGATTTCAGGTAATAGGCAATATGATTCAATCGCAAATGTGTCGTTGTCAAATGATTAAAAAAGTCTACTATGTATAAATTCTTCACTGACAAAATCCGTTCTCTTAAAAAATCAGACACTGAGATGCGTCATGCTGCGTTGACGATATAAATCACTTTTTTGATCCTAATGGGTCTTTTCAGTTTAAGTTATAATTTGATATACTAGCACTTCCTTTTCATTTATTTCAGGGTAGTCTGAGTAGAAAGGATTCAAACAAACGATGGAAAGAGTACGATCGGGCGGTGGAAGGTTTCGAACGTGCTGCCAAGGAAATGGTGACCACAGTTAAAGAGGAACGCGATCAGTTAAAACAGTTTAAACACACGTAGGCCTAATATGTGACATGAGTACAAGTAAAGGACTGCCGCATCGATAGGATTAGTAGCTCCTGGTTTCAATAGCAAAAGTCGGTTTTGGAAAATGGCGGTGACATAGGTAGTATTATGGATGGGAATGAAATGATGGAGATTCGACCCAATATGAAAAGTAGTTTTAATTTGTACTACCTATGTTGAGGAATAGACTGACCGACAAACAGACGCCTAGTCAATTCTATTGACCAAAATAGCACATTCTGTCTCAATATATTATTGACCAATGAAATATGAGCAGGCAAGACATTACAAGCAAAATTTTTAAAGAATATAGTTTAGCTGGTATTAGGATATTTGTTTTGGGGTTTCGGGCGAAGAAACAAAAACGTAGATTGGGTTGATACTTGCTTACTAAAACGTATGCTCAACTGATAGTAGGTGACACTGTCAAAAAATGGCAGAATAAAATTATTGCAGTTCGTCTATTTTAGTCAAACTGATGCTGTATTTGTCATGAATCAGTAGGGATTCAACGTGTATAATAACTGAATAAACACACATAGAATAGAGGAGTTTTGATATGCTTTGAAATCTCGCTAATTCTACCTTTACTTCTTTTTAATAGCATATTTGAGTTCAATGAAAATGTTTCAACAAAAATACCTTTGATTTATTCAGTTATGAAATTCCAATGAGCTTTCCAACTTTTTAAAGAAAACGTGGGCCATACAGGGTGTCCCGAAAGTATGGCCCCCCTAGGCAGACATATTCCAGTGTCCTCATAGTATTTGTCATATATCATTTTAAAGCTTGTCCAAAGTTACATTGATTTGCCAAGTATCATGGTTTAACTCCCAAATGGGAAAAAGTTACAGTCATTTTAAAAGTTAGTGTTTTGTCAAAATAAAGTTCGATTTCACACCATATTACTAGTCAATGTGTCCCCCTTGGCCATGTTAACAGTGGCAATTATTTTCAGATATGACCTCAAAAGCCCTTCAAATAGGAGTGTGGAATTTTATAACCCTCTTAAAACCTGTTAGGGGACTTTAGAAGAGTTTTCTTAGAGTGTCTACCCTCACTGTTCTCTTTTTCCAACTCAATATCCATCCGACCCGAAAAGAATTGCTGCTGTTAAGATGGCCTGGGAGGACCCATTTACTAGTGATTTGGCGTAAAATTGAACTTAATTTTGACCAAACACTAAATTTTGAAATGCCTGTAACTTTTTCACATTTGAAACTTGAACCATGATACTTGGTGAATCAATGTAACTTTGGATATGCTTTAAAATGATATATGACACTTACTATGACAACACTGGTATATGTCTGCCTAGGGGGGGGGGCATACTTTCGGGACACCCTGTATATCCATTGATGCCATGTTAAAATTATTTTAAACGTTGGTTTATTCGTTAGACAACCAAATATTTCATGATTATTACAATGTACATCAACAGGGTCATCCCATAGTATGCTATTCGACTTTTAGACAGATTCAAACAATATTTTTTGATAAATTAAAAGATTAAGTGACTATACACGTTTTTAACATTGAAGCCTATGGCCCAACCAAAACAAATCAAAACAAGTTGTGCCATCTATTCGTTCAGCTGTAAAGCAACTCCCTTATCTTAAGTGAAATAGTCCTAAACAATTTATTCAAATACTGGATGCACACATGTTCATATAATGTAATAGTCCACTGATATAGCTGTTAGCAAGGTGTCTCACCATGTAATAAGTCATTGAATTGTTCCTTGGTGTACAATCACGCAAACTGAAATAGCAAGAGCGAACTAATTTGTGTGTTTTGAGTTGTTCAATATATGACCATTTTGTGAATACTGAATATTGTCATATACTGTATTGTTTGTCATAGCTAGCTCATGAATGTCACTGATTATGCTTCAACTTTTCAAACGTAAATTTTGTCCTTGCAGTTGGATTTCACCATTTACTCATCAGGACATCCAAACCAAAATTTCCCAGTGTCCTTGGGTCCAACCAGATTCCTATTTCCTCGTTCGTACCTGGAATATTCAATTAAGGAATATTCAATATATGTATACTGGCAAAAATTGAGTTATTTTAAGAACATAATTAGACGAAAGCATTGACGTGTCGCAAAAAGGTGGCGCATTTCTTTTTTAAGGGTATCGCGTGAATGTAACTTTGATTCCCCGGATTATAAGATAATATTCTAATTAAAGTTATATATCATTTTAAAGCTGTTTCGATGAAGATTTTAGATCAACTACATCCCGTTCACATTTTTTGCGCGTTCGTTTTTAAAAAAGAGTTTTTTACCAAAACATCTGGCAAATATCCCATGTTGACACGTTACATTTTGAATTATTTTTCGTCTTTAAACGCTCATAACTCAAACAATATTTGACTATTATACTTATTTTTCGTCTTGATAAAGGTAGATGGAAGTTTTATTTCAAAGGATGAATTTTAGTAAGCGTCCCATATTGTGACGTCACAGAGTCTGAAAAATAGAATCTGTTGACAGCGACCTTTTTTGTTCATTTTTTGGTACCTTTAACTTTTCAGGTGCACATTAAACAAAAAATACGAGATCGATTTTTAATAAATCATACGTGATTATTTTGCTCCTAAACTCTAGTTTATTAATAAATAGTTGATTTTGTTCACAAAAGTATGTGTTTCCTGTTGTATGTGGAAAAGTGGAGGACGAAAGGTTTTCAAAATTCATTAAAATAGGGCTAATTTACGCCATTCGCCTATTTTCAAGCACAGCAACACGTATATTTATTTCACCTAAAATATCAATTGATTCGTGTTTTATGATGCTCCTAGCCCATTAACAATATATATATGATATCAGAGTTATTCGTCTAAAATGTTTTGAGATATAGAGGTAAATGTGGAGGACGAAAGGATTTTCATGTGTGTACATTTTTCTCAAAAACGTCACATTCTATCATGTTAAAAGCGAGGATCCTCTGGATTACGCCACAAAATGTGTAACAATGCGTGCGCGAGCTTTTTGCGACACGTCATTGAAAATGACATTTTTGATGTGAACTGTGACATTTATCATCCTAGAATTAACTTCTCAGCTATTACTGGAAATGCATCCTCTAATCTGTTTCCCATCATGTGGAATCAAATTTTCTCAGTTTTTTTACTTAGTTATGTAACACACCGATGTCATGATAATTATTAAATTGAAATATAAAAGTGTACGTTAATGACGCTCTGGTTATAATTTAGTGTTAAGTACTTCAGCAGATGTCCTTGATGAGACCACAGACTTTAAGAATGTCGAAGAAAACTCTGAAACGTGATCATTTTCTTCAGGTCCGTGATGAGACGTACGGAATTAAAATGTCTTCACACAATTCATTTTAAAGTCAAATACCAAACATGAAATTCAAACTTAAAATGACACGATTCAATCTACTCCACAAATCTTTGCTTATATTACATTACCTGTGGTACTGCCCATCCTTGAAGAAATACATTTTATTGTTGACCCATCGGAAGGCGGCATCAATCTCAGTGATTCCAGCTCGTCTAAGTATGCTGATCCTACTGGTTGACTTTGGGTAACCATTGAGCATCCTTCTCATTACACCGCTATACTTCCAATACTGGTTACCTACATTGTATTTAAAGCCACGGTCACGTTTGCTCTGCGGCGGCCGTAGTTTCACAAAATCGATGTAAAAAAGTTGCCGTAGATCAAGTGTGACTGAGGCATTAGTCTATTTTGGAATTTGTTTCTGAAGGAAAACACTAAATATATTTATCATGTAAAAGATTATTCCAGTTCAAAATACAATAATTAAGGCTTTTGCCATAGATTTGGTAAGATACAATACCTCTTGTGAAATAAACATTGCCAGAATTCCCCCACATAAAGGCAGAATCTATGCCCTCCGATGACCTCCTGTCTCTTATACCCAGTAATCCCCAGTCTACGTAGGTATATCTTGGATACCCGGTCACCAATTTCAGTGCTCCACCCTCATTTTTATATTTCCAGCTCTTGTCACCCTGTAATAACGAAGACACTATGGAGATGGGTTTACTGGTTTGTCTGGAGGACTAGGTCTAGGTTGTAGCAGATGGAATATATAGGAGGATTTAATGAACTTTTAAACATTATATTCAGACCAATCTAACATGAAAGTGGATTTCAAAACAGACACACTCAAATCAGCGCTTCCATAATTTTGGTCAACTCTTAATCCTATTTTTCTCAAGGGTAAAAACAAATATTACAGGGTGGTCCAAAAAAATTGGAACATTTGTTAATTGAACGCAAAACCTTTATTTTTTCTCTAAAATGCACCAAAATTTTACTGAGCATAGTTCAGTCACTTATTTATCTGATGTAAAGTTTACAGGTGAAAACCACAAAGTTAATGCATTAAACTAGTCAATGTTTCATAGGACCCCCTTTTCTTAAATATACACTTGTCAATTTTGCCGCTACTTTTTCAAGTATTCTTTATTTCAAAGCTTTAATGAACATGATGATTGCTATACACATTTTATAAAATCATATTCAGTTGACAAGAGGTATTTACATCTCTGGTTTACTAGAAAACTATTGTGTTATTGTCAACTTAAGAATACCCCAAATCATTATTTTTATTTAGGAGTAGGAAAGAAAGAACATGTCAGAGGTGAGCGATTGCATAACCCATACAGCCACTAAACTGACAGAATCATTGTTTCCATTTTTCAGTAAAAGGGAAACTGACCAGTTATTTACAAGGCTTTATTAGAGACCAACTCTAAGCACGTATAATATATCATTTGTGTTCTGGGAGACTCCTTTATGATATTGATATACATTATTTGATATATTCAATGAATATTATTAATATTAGAACAAGAAAGGGGATGGGGCTTCATTTACCAGTCAAAACGGACTGCCCTGGCCTCGTTGTTGAGAATATTCAATCAGTAATACACCCAACAATAGCCATCGAAATATGTTTGATACCCATACATTTAGGTAAACAAATGTTGAATATGTAACTACATTTGATCTTCCAAGGCAAATATATAAGAAGTTTGGTCAAGCTGAATTTTTTAATCAAGATTGCTTGGACAAAAACAAACAAATAGCAAACTGAATTAATCATTTCAAAACAGAGTCTCAGGCTTGAACTTGTAATTCAGGAAAAGAGGGGTCATAATATCAAACATTGTCTAGTTTAATGTATAAACTTTGTTGTTTTCACCTATAAACTTTACATCATATAAATAAGTGACTGAACAATACTCAGTAAAATTTTGGTGCATTTTAGACAAAAAATAAAGGTCTTGTGTTCAATTAACAAATGTTCCAATTTTTTTGGACCACCCTGTAGATACAAGATAAAGTATCAAGTCAAATATCACGCTCAATATCATAGAATGTTGGTCTATGAAAATAAAATGGGGTTTCAAACCGTTTGGCAACATGAATGGCCAGTCTGGGATTCACGTGACGTTATCTATCCAATCATACCAGCTATTTATGATCACATTACTCTTCGAAAAATGTTTAGATGAAAAAATAGTTTAATGAAAATGGATGGTGGAATAAGGGGTAGTGCTTATTTGGATTGGTCAACTCTTTCTTATGGTATATTTTGAAATTATTTGGCAAGTATTACCTTAAACAACCAAGTGTAACTCTCTTCCCCTGTCTTGTATTCCCTTCCTGGTGAGTAATGAGGGAATGTTAAAGCCGCATCTACCTCCTCTGGACCGTCAGGAAACATGGCAGAAATGGGTTTAGGATAGCCTTCCTGGACACCATAATTACTCACAGATAATAGGTAAACCTGTGAATCTACAAATCCATAGAAACGGTTAAACACATGATAATAGAATCTTCTTTCAAAATGACAGGCTTCAATAGTTTTATTTATATATGCAAAGTCATGTTGAAACCCAAAATGTGTGACAACTAGCGAAATTTTGAGTCAATGGGCTTATGCAATATCAATTTAAAAAGATTGTGGTTCCTGTCACCTCGGAATGCCACAGTGTCACCCAGTACAGTGACGGTTATTGCATCCATTGTCTTGTCACAAGTCTCGGTCTCTGGCAAAGCTGTTGTTGCAGTTGGTTCATTTGTATTTGGCTCTGGTCTTGGTGGATTGGTCTGTGGTGGATGAGTAGGCCTTGGCGGGTGAGTTGGCCTTGGCGGGTGAGTAGGCCTTGGCCCATGAGTAGGCCTTGGCGGGTGAGTAGGCCTTGGCGGGTGAGTAGGCCTCGGTGGGTGAGTAGGCCTTGGTGGTTCAGGTCTGGTTCGTTCCGGTTTTGGTGCATTTGTCATACTTGGTGTTGTAGGTGTTGTTTTTGCACCTACAATTAACAACAGTCTTTGTAAAAGATGACAAACTACAGTATGTTATTTGAGTACAGGTTTTTAAGAGTACAGCCGATTGATTATGTTGCACTTGTTTGGTTTTAAAAGAAAGACTCCTTTTCAGACACCTTTATATTGTTTCTCAAAGGAATCTCATCATGGTTTTGATTTTGCCACAGGTGGCACTGATAAATTCATATTGATCAATATGCAATAAGTGTCATGATACATTGATACACTTACCATATAAAAATTGAATTCCATCAATATCATCTTGATATAGCTTGAAATTTGGATCGTATACGCGCGAAAATGGGAACATCACAGAGTTGAACTGATCGGAGTGTTCAAGACCCAGTGCATGACCAAATTCATGCACTGCTACGTACAGCAGATTTGCGCCTGCAATTAAACAAGCAGGTCATGTCATAACCTAAATCAGCGTCTTTTTTAGTTGATAATTTAAGATCAAGATAAGTAAAAGAAAATAGCGACTTAGGCAAGGCTAGCTATGCCACAGTGCCCAAGAAACGTGTTTATTGCCATATACATGTAGCTATATGATCATTGGATGAAACCATTTTTGGTGTAAACGTGAGACTGTAAATGAGATGAATAAAAGGAGCTAGCTTACACAGCAGGTAAAACCGAATCGTTCAATTCAATACGCAAATGTAACTAACAAACGGATGGAATCAACCAGCCATATAGTTTGGAACAAAATAATGACACATGGAGTTGCTGAAGTGAGGATTTCCCATCTTAAAAATAAGAGAATTTTCAAGAGGTCATACATCAGTGGATGACAGTACACAAAATGTATCTAGACAATATTTGAGACTTTAGGGCTTTCAAAACACCATGGTTTGGATATGGTGATAGAAATTCCACCTGTCATTTATTTTGTTCCAAACTTTACACATGACTGAAGAGATATTTATCTCTCGTATGTAATTGTAATGATACTTATTGTGTTGCATTTCGGGTACAATTAGTGGATGTAATAATGGCATAATTTATGGTTGAATACCTCTTCGTTCTTTGTGAGTCCACTCTTCCCCTTCATCAAAATGAGTATCCCCAGCGATGTCAAACTCTACAGCCCCTGATGGGAAGAAAGCATGAGCAAGCGTCCCCCCTTGCATATCAAATGGACTGCCATCGCCATGGTCAGCGTGGGTAAAGTATATGTCGATGTCTGCTTTCCCCCTGTCTACTTTAGTAAAGGCAAGGGTCGAAACATTCGCCCAGAACTATAACAATAGAAAACAAGGTGTAACATACTAAATGTAACCACCTGCCATTTGTTACAGACACCGTTATTTGTTATAGATGCCATTTCACAGACGCCGATCACCGCCAACAGAAAATTCGGAGACTATAACAATATGTCACTACTTCTGGTGGTGACATAAGAATAAGTTTGAAGACTATTAATTGAACAATGCAGCCTGTCACTACCTGCAAATGGTTACTATAGTGTAACAATTTGTTACAAATGCTAACAGGCGGGCTCTAACGCCGACCGACAGTCACAATAATGAAGGTCATACCAATATGTCACCACTTCTTTGTGTTGTCTTTGAAATATTTTTCAACATTATCAAACTACCATTGCCATATCTATCGAATCTGGAAACTTCATTTTGAGGATTGTACGTATAAATGGTATTTACTATGAAAGATACTGCAAATTCTTCAATTATAGTAAAATATAGAAAATATGTATATGAAATTAATGTAGTTTATAATATCATAAAAATGCTCACGGTAAAGGCTTCTGCAATGTCTCTTTCCACGGTAGCCTGGTCGAGATCGTTTGTAAAGCGTGATATGTGATAGGTTAGACTTGTTTTCTCCCATTTGCTGGCTGAATTAAACATAATGTTTCATGATTCCGTATATTATTTAAAACCATGGCGCTAGTCACATGCTAGTTTGCATAGTTCAAAAATTTGACAACTTCGACTTCCCAATTTGAGCACCCGAAATTTAATTGGAATGAATTGTAGACATTTCACACTACAGTATTTTACACCATTATCAGTTTCACATTGCCATCGAATTACAATTTTATCTCATTTACAATCAAATCATATTACTTACGGGAGGTAATATATCTTTTCTCTCGTGTATCATTGTCGATGATGTTATCATCGGGCAACCCACATCTCGGTTTTTCCATCATGTCTAATGTAGCCTGGTCTAAGATACCTGTAACCAAAATGGAGATTTAATCAGTTAATCAAAGATCTGTGGAATAACGTATCACATAGTGTTTAACATGCAACTGATATCGTGGTCATGATTTAAATTTGAGCGTTACTTTTTTGGCCACTGCAAAAATTATGAGCTTTTAAAAAAAAGTCAAATGACTCGAAACTCGAATTTTATCATTCAATGGTTAGGCTGTCGATATCTAGAAAAGAAACAGAATGTCGGCGAAAATATGTTAGCTATGTAGGATGATGTTCAGATACATTATTAGGCAGCCCTTTTATTGGTTTTTATATACTACGGTTACCTGTTTGTTCAATATGGGCCACCCTTTGGAACTTTTTGATGGCGTCAGACATTATATTTCCTGGGGTAACTGGTCTTCCCGACTCATCGTAAGATACTTGAAACGCTTGAGCCGACCGAGTATGTCGCATATACCCAAACTGTTGAAGATATTTCTACAAATAAAACCACAACTTAAAATAATAAAAATAGATATTTTGTCAGCAAGATAAACGTTGAAAAGTTTCTCAAAAGTATTAACAGAAAGCGCATTAACATTTGTAAACGTAATATTTCATATAATGATTTTCAATACGTAATACTCAATTGTTTAATTCTTTATTAATCAATCTAATTAGTCTACAAAAATGTGAAGAAAATCGATTGGAACTTGTATACCCGATGAGAGTGCCTCTTCCATGTTCCATGTCATTGTAAACACTTTGACGTATGGTTATTGAAAAAAAGTTCTATAGAATACAGACTTATTTGAAACTGATTTCCTACCATGCCATCAGCTGCTTTTGGTCTCCGAGGTGACTGTGGGCCATCAGGCCTTCTGTCCCCTTGAAAACATTTAGAACAGTCGCATTTTGGACTTTGAGTGGTTGGTGTTGGCGTAGTAGTCTCCCACCATGGACGTCTGTCCACTGTTCGTCGGTTCCACCAAGAGCGCGTACCTCGGTTCCACCATGGACGTTGAGTTTGAGTATCCCAATCACCAGTGTCTGGTCTATGTCCGCTGTGATCATGGTTATGATGGCTTCCTCCGCTGTGATCATGGGAATCCCCTCCACTGCTGTGGTCATGGGAATGTCCTCTCGAATGTCCACCTTTTGCGGATTTCCCTCCCTTCGATCGTCCCCCATGCCTTGAATGTCGTTCTTCACTTTCCCTGCTATGTCGATGATTGTGTCCCTTTCCCTTCCCCTTTCCACGTCTTGGGGGAGGAGCGGTGACAAGGACAATCACCGCAAGAATCACTAACACTGTTAACACTATTTTCCTCATATTACCTACTGAGGTTTTATTTAAGGTAACGGGTTCAATGTTTATTTAATTTATGAGATGTAAATACGTATTAGTATTATCTACCCGTGGACTTCCACTTTAGTAGTATCATTGGGTGCAGGTAATCTTAACAAAATTTACAATATTGATAAAAATAATTTATAAACAATAATTTATAAAATAGTTCAGATGCCCTTTACAAATTCAAGATTATCTGATATAATGTAGTTGGCAAAGGTATCAAAAATGATATCCTTTATTTAACATTGATCATTCTCTTACATGGTTATTATTCTAACCGCTTTACACTCTGTAAACATAAGTGAAAATAATTTGCCAATGTCAACATACCGGTTTAACTTCATTGAACCATCTTTTTATGCGTCAATAGGTACGTCATCGTGATCTCCTATGACCATAAGGTCAAACGATAACAAAACTAGATGATTTATGTACGGGTAGATGAAAACAATTCAAGTATTTGATGTAAACACAAAAGATTCCTAGAATTCTATCTGCGAACGGATGCTGACCCTTTGAAATGCCTATGGACTTCGAAATTGGATTTTATCTATCCCACATCATTTGAGACTGAATACTCTATCTTTTATGAGTACTAGTATCTAGTATCTACAACTATTTTTGATGTTATGAGTATTGGCTATCAATTTTTCAATTTTTCTTCAACATGTATTGTAATGACTTCAGTATGAATGAAATGTCCCTTGGTGTTCTGGTCCCGGATTGTGATATTGGTTCTCGATTGGAGGGGGGGGGATGTTAGACATTGTTTCGTTTCACGTTAGATCGTGGTTTGGGGATACATAGGGTCTATTTTTCTTATGACAGATTTACACTTACAGTTTGCTTTTCTTGTTGGGTTTCTTTAAAGTTTTTAGTCAACCTTCCCTTTGGCATTTGCGCTTATATATTGGATTATCTAGAATCCAGCTAAATATTAAGCTGATTGTTTCTAAAACCAAATAGATATGGTAATTGATATTCGTCGATGTTATACAGTCAGGTTGATACCAAAACGTTTTTTAACTATGGGGTTTGATTGATGTTCGAACCTTTACATATACTGTACATTAATGTATGTATCAGCGTATGTGATGGGAGCATATGTCGTCAAGATGAAAACGAGCACACTTTGCTGACTCTGCTGGCCCTGCCAGTCTAGTATTGTGATTATGCTTGATATTCAGATTTAACATGATATTCCATCCCATTTTCCATGGGTTAAAAATGTGTATTTATATTCATAAATTGAAGTTTATTTTGATCGACGATTGTAGTGATTTCATCCTAGCATGACATCTATACTTTCCTGTGAAATTCAATGTACTTACTTACCTGTGCACATGTACTGTAAATGTTTCCGTCATGCGCGTTGTGCAATTTTAAAAATCACAGGTAAGTATAGATGTCACGCTAGGATGATTTTCTCAGAAATTATAGTGACTATAAAATGGATACCTATTTGGACTTCATATTCTCCAGACCTATCCCCTATGGCTTATATTCTTTGGGAATACCTAAAAGACAGGGTCTATGCTAACAATCCCCAAACTACTGATGCATTCAAGTATAACATTTGACCGAATATTAGGAAAATTTCCCATGACATGCTTGACAGGGTCATAACAAACTTCAAAGTGTGAGTAGCCAGACTTTCAGCACCAATCAAGCTGTCCTCGCAAAATGGTGGTTTACAAGGAAAAAACTTACAAAACATAAAACTAACATGGCTGTAAGACAGGTCTATGCAAAAATATTGTAAAGTTTTCCATTGAATAGAAAATGCTACATAGTCGAAAATGTATACATCTTTTTAAACCACCCTGTAATTCTAGGTCCAGGTCGCCGAAGACTTCCATTTCAACCGGGCATTTCAAGCAAAGCCAAATCATGTCAGGACAAAATATATGGTCATGGCCCCGTGCTACACTCTACACCACATGTTTAAACTTCATTTTGATACATTAACAAACCAGATGTACTATAGTATTCAACAATTTCAGATCTACATTTAATTTTCTGGGTTTCTCAGAGATACAACTAACAGAACTATGTATAGTACAAATCCGAATCTACCTCATAGCTACATTGTTTAGTAAAACTACAATTATACAGTTTTTTTATCACATAAATAATTTTACTATGATCGTACAAACATACAGGAAAGCAAAACATACAGTACATAAACTATTTATTCCATATTTGGCAATGTTTGATATATAATGACACGGGTTAATTAACATGGCATTAGGTTCACAAAATGATACCTAATGGTAAATTGTTGTGAATGGTTACAAAAGAGAATACTAATACTTCTGAGTATAAACATGAATAAGTTCTGTACAGAAACCTGAAAATTAACATGACAAAATGACACCTAATGATCATACTGATACGTTTTTGCGAGTGGTTACTAAGTGAATACTTCTGGGCGTTGTCAACAACAAAGCAGGGGTAGGGGGGGGGGGCGGTTTTGTTCAAATAAATCAAGCAAAACACAGTACTCCAGAAAGGGTGAAAAATACACATGATGCCAGCAAAATGTAGAACTCCAGCTTAAGTCCATGATCAACCTCTTGTGAACTGAAGATGAATCTCACAGTAGAAAGTGAAGGGGCGGGGGATGTACGCATGATGCCAGCTAAACACGAAACTCCAGCACAAGATAAGTTCATTTAGAACCTCTTGTGAACTGGAGACGAATCTTATACTAGAAAGTGTGGGGGAGGGAGAGCAATGATGTACCCATGATGCCAGCAAAACACAGAACTCCAGCACAAGATAAGTCCATTAAGAACCTCTTGTGAACTGGAGATGAATCTTATACTAGAAAGCAAGGGGGAGGGAGAGCGGGGATGTACCCATGATGCCAGCAAAACACAGAACTCCAGCACAAGATAAGTTCATAAAGAACATCTTGTGAACACTGGAGATGAATCTTATACTAGAAAGCATTGGGGAGGGAGAGCAGGGATGTACCCATGATACCAGCAAAACACAGAACTCCAGCACAAGATAAGTTCATTAAGAACCTCTTGTGAACTGGAGGTGAATCTTATACTATAAAGCAAGGGGGAGGGAGAGCGGGGATATACTCATGATACCAGCAAAACACAGAACTCCAGCACAAGATAAGTTCAATAAGAACCTCTTGTGAACTGGAGATGAATCTTATACTAGAAAGCAAGGGGGAGGGAGAGCGGGGATATACTCATGATACCAGCAAAACACAGAACTCCAGCACAAGATAAGTCCACTAAGAACCTCTTGTGAACTGGGGATGAATCTTATACTAGAAAGCACTGGGGAGGGAGAGCAGGGATGTACCCATGATACCAGCAAAACACAGAACTCCAGCACAAGATAAGTTCATTAAGAACCTCTTGTGAACTGGAGATGAATCTTATACTAGAAAGCAAGGGGGAGGGAGAGCAGGGATGTACCCATGATGCCAGCAAAACACAGAACTCCAGCACAAGATAAGTTAATTAAGAACCTCTTGTGAACTGGAGATGAATCTAATACTAGAAAGCAAGGGGGAGGGAGAGCAGGGATGTACTCATGATGCCAGCAAAACACAGAACTCCAGCACAAGATAAGTTCATTAAGAACCTCTTGTGAACTGGAGACGAATCTTATACTTGAAAGCAAGGGGGAGGGAGAGCAGGGATGTAATCATGATGCCAGCAAAACACAGAACTCCAGCACAAGATAAGTTAATTAAGAACCTCTTGTGAACTCAAGATGAATCTAATACTAGAAAGCAAGGGGGGGGGGGGGAGAGCGGGGATATACCCATGATGCCAGCAAAACACAGAACTCCAGCACAAGATAAGTTCATTAAGAACCTCTTGTGAACTGGAGATGAATCTTTTACTAGAAAGCAAGGGAGGAGAGCGGGGATGTACTCATGGTACCAGCAAAACACAGAACTCCAGAACAAGATAAGTTCATTAAGAACCTCTTGTGAACTGGAGATGAATCTTATACTAGAAAGCAAGGGGGAAGGAGAGTAGGGATGTACCCATGATGCCAGCAAAACAAAGAACTCCAGCACAAGATAAGTTAATTAAGAACCTCTTGTGAACTGGAGATGAATCTTATACTAGAAAGCGTGGGGAGGGAGAGTAGGGATGTACCCATGATGCCAGCAAAACAAAGAACTCCAGCACAAGATAAGTTCATTAATAACCTCTTGTGAACTCGAGATGAATCTTATACTAGAAATCAAAGGGGGAGGGAGAGCGGGGATGTACCCATGATGCCAGCAAAACACAGAACTCCAGCACAAGATAAGTTCATTAAGAACCTCTTGTGAACTGGAGATGAACCTTATACTAGAAAGCAAGGGGGGAGAGCAGGGATGTACCCATGATGCCAGCAAAACACAGAACTCCAGCACAAGATAAGTCCATTAAGATCCCCTTGTGAACTGGAGATGACTTTGTGATGACAACACTGTTAACATTAAAAAATTCAGTACAAAAACAGAAAAATTAACATGACAAATCATCACCTGTATACTGGCGAGTTATTGTAAATAGTTACAGAACACTTTTGGTAAGTAAAAAAGAAATTCTTGGTCAAAAATCCACATTTGTGAGTTCTTTGGATAGAATATGACTTAAAGTGCAATTTGATACATGATAATGATTGAAGGACATATTGCTACTCTGAAATAAATGTCCAAAGTTATGGTATATGGAGCAGTATTGCTTAAAGGATCCAAGATCATATCCATGATATGAAAAACATAGCATCAAGATTATTGACATCTTATGGATACATTGTACATTCATTTTTCATGGATGTGATTTGTGTTTAAATACATTCAAATAAGGCTAGGAATATAATTCAAATGACCAATTTGCTGGCTGAATTGCTTGTATGCATGATGCCCTGGTTACTGACTGGACAAAACACAAATATTTGCATTTAATATAACCAGTTGCCATACTGCGTATCAATTGACAGGGAGGATGCATATACCTAGTAACCTTATCTGTGATAGGGCCATTTATCATAATTAAAGATATCATATGACTCATAACAAAGTTAAAATGGCACATTTTTCTTCAACGCATTGCTGTTCAACAAAACTGAACATATGGCAGATATTCCGTAGCAATTACTTCAATAATATTTGAAAATTTGTTTATCTTAAGCGTAAAACCTGATTTGTCACATGCACAATCAATGTATTTAAGAGCCAGCATATAGCTAATTAAACTTGTTAGTGAAACAAAAATGCTTAACAGTAAATGCCTGGTGTATTATGCAAATATCTGAGACATTGTTCAAGATTTCCATGATCATATACATGTAATCATGTACACAACAGTGAAACTGGAATGGAAATGTTAAAATTTACATTCAATTATAAAATAAGCATTCTTTGTGTGAGAGTTGTGTGGTCCCTATCCTAATGAAGTAAAAATAGTTACATTTTCATGTAGTCTTTCTTCACAATTCAAGGTGTGCCTGGTAGGGAAACTTAATGAGAGATTTGTATGGGTCAGCATACAAATATGCATATACACATTCAAAGATAATGATGATTGATGATGATACAGGCTTCTTATATAACTTTGGTTAAAAAACGAAACATAATGTTATATTAGTGAAGAAAACTAAATGAATGTGTAATTATTTTTTGCTTCTCTTTTAACAGTGCCATCTATTGTCAATCGAGCCTGATTTTCTGATCGGCGCGTTTCAAGCCAATCCATGTGTTCAGTTTCTTCGCTCTCAGTTTGCTCCAGACCATGTAGTCGTTCAGCGCAAGGATCTGAGCAGATTGTAGTGCGGCTGTCTCTGGAGCAATCACTGTAGTACAACCCAGGCCTGAAAGTATATGAATGTACACTTTGTCAAACATCCATCATAATAGAATGTTATAAGCAGTGGATCCCCTTTACTACAATGCAGTGATCTCCCCAGGATTTTTTCTCAGGTGGGTGCAAAATTCTCATAATCACAATTCAGACCAATATAGGTCAAAATATGCAAATTTTCACAATTTTTCTCATTTTCAAGTGGGTGTAAATGGATTTTCAGATGGGTGCACTGTAATGATAGGCAGCTGTCTCTGCCGTGCTATCACAGCGCTACATCAAGTTTCCCAGTGAAATAAATATTTGACCCTGTTAAAGGACAAATCAGATTTAATTTTATCTTGGCTATACTCTTCCATTTCACTCACTTTTTCAAAAAAAATATACAGCATATATCAATAAACACAATTTAAAAAATATCTACAACATATTTATACCTGAGGGTAGTCTAAGAGATGACCAGATGTCCTCAGGGCCCCAGTCAGCCTTCACAGGGGGGCAGTTAATCACTGGCCAGGTTGCATTCCCTGAGAGAACAGGTCCCAATCCATTACTACGTCCAGCTACTGCTATGAACACTGTAGGGATACCTTCACCTAGGATAGTAAATGGCTTTACGTTAGTCATACAATTTTATACATCCAACACTAGTGAACTATTTATCAGTAGCTAGACACCACATATTTTATGATAAATGTCACCACCTGTTTGCAATTATAAAAGTATTGTTACTGTCATCAAAGTTAACTACTAGCAGTCACAAAAAATTCTGGCTAAAACAATACTGTTTTCCAGCTGCGCTGTAATGCAGATTTGGAAACAACACCTTCATGATATGATTCAGTAAACAATGCACTGAGTCGAGGGCTTAAATCCTTAAACATATTCGGCAGATGTGTCATACTTTACTAAGGCTTCATCTGTGCATACCTTCATAATCAGCTAATATGCTCATTGTTTCATCAGTTCCCTTATGTGCAGATGAGATTCTCAGTTCACATGGTACACCATATTCTCCGCAGTAGGTTTGTATTTTCTCACAATGGGCCATATCTGATGGAGACCCCATGAATACAACTGCTCTAGCATTAGGCTTTATTCTCAGTTCCTAAAACAAGGAAAATCTGGTGATTATTTATTAGAAAGTCTGTATTTCTTCACAATGGGCCATATCTGAAGGGGCCATATGTGAGAGGGACCCCACCATGAAAACAACAGCTCTAGCATTAGGCTTTATTCTCAGTTCCTAAAACAAGGAAAATCTGGTGATTATTTATTAGAAAGTCTGTATTGCTTCACAATGGGCCATATCTGAAGGGGCCATATGTGAGAGGGACCCCATGAACACAACGGCTCTGGCATTAGGCTTTGTTCTAAGTTCCTCAAACAAGGAAAATCTAGAGATTATTTATGAGAAAGTCTGTATTGCTTCACAATGGGCCATATCTGAAGGGGCCATATGTGAGAGGGACCCCATGAACACAACAGCTCTGGCATTAGGCTTTGTTCTAAGTTCCTCAAACAAGGAAAATCTAGTGATTATTTATGAGAAAGTCTGTATTGCTTCACAATGGGCCATATCTGAAGGGGCCATATGTGAGAGGGACCCCATGAACACAACAGCTCTGGCATTAGGCTTTGTTCTAAGTTCCTCAACCAAGGAAAATCTGGTGATTATTTATGAGAAAGTCTGTATTTCTTCACAATGGGCCATATCTGAAGGGGCCATATGTGAGAGGGACCCCATGAACACAACGGCTCTGGCATTAGGCTTTGTTCTAAGTTCCTCAAACAAGGAAAATCTAGAGATTATTTATGAGAAAGTCTGTATTGCTTCACAATGGGCCATATCTGAAGGGGCCATATGTGAGAGGGACCCCATGAACACAACGGCTCTGGCATTAGGCTTTGTTCTAAGTTCCTCAAACAAGGAAAATCTAGAGATTATTTATGAGAAAGTCTGTATTGCTTCACAATGGGCCATATCTGAAGGGGCCATATGTGAGAGGGACCCCATGAACACAACGGCTCTGGCATTAGGCTTTGTTCTAAGTTCCTCAAACAAGGAAAATCTAGAGATTATTTATGAGAAAGTCTGTATTGCTTCACAATGGGCCATATCTGAAGGGGCCATATGTGAGAGGGACCCCATGAACACAACAGCTCTGGCATTAGGCTTTGTTCTAAGTTCCTCAAACAAGGAAAATCTAGAGATTATTTATGAGAAAGTCTGTATTGCTTCACAATGGGCCATATCTGAAGGGGCCATATGTGAGAGGGACCCCATGAACACAACGGCTCTGGCATTAGGCTTTGTTCTAAGTTCCTCAAACAAGGAAAATCTAGAGATTATTTATGAGAAAGTCTGTATTGCTTCACAATGGGCCATATCTGAAGGGGCCATATGTGAGACGGACCCCATGAACACAACAGCTCTGGCATTAGGCTTTGTTCTAAGTTCCTCAAACAAGGAAAATCTAGAGATTATTTATTAGAAAGTCTGTATTTCCTCACACTGGGCCATATCTGAAGGGGCCATATTTGAGAGGGACCCCATGAACACAACGGCTCTGGCATTAGGCTTTGTTCTAAGTTCCTAAAACAATAAAAAGCAAGACATTCATAATAGGCTATATATGTTGGGAGTCATGTTCCTTCATAAAAACAACAGCTCTAGTATAAAGCTTTAGTAGTAATTACTAATTTGGCATTATTTGGGATAGTAAATATAAAAAAAACTAATTTTGAAATAGCACTGAACATACTAAAGCCTAGCTATGGTTAATAGGTGAACATAATACACTAGATCAATATCATCAAGATGAAGTAACTTACATTGAGTTTATCAGCCACCCATTGGAAGTTCCTCTTGACAGTCCCTAATGCTTCAGGTGTGACATCCTGTAGGTTCCTGTAGACCTGCTTGTCCTTCATCAATCTCTTGTCCCCTGCTGGCCACAGTCTCCATGAATCACTGTCTATGATGTCAGCCAGTAGAATCTCTCCTGGAACATGTAAAAAGCTTTACGCTATAGGGTGAGTCAGAAGCAATGTCAAAGATGTTGCCATTTCACTAAAACTGGACCAATTTTCTTGGAAATTGATACAGATGTTCCCTAAACATTATTGACAGAAATTCTGATAAATCTTTGTTATCTAAATTGAATTAAAGGTTCAAGATTCACACATTAGGCTCCAATCTCACCTTGGTTATTCACACCAAACTCAATCTTCATATCAATAAGACTGCAATCTAAGGACCTCCACATCTTCTCAAGGACTTCAAACACACAAACAGTAGTGTGACTCATGATGTCAATGTCGTCTCTGTTGATGACTCGACCTCCATGTTGCATCTTTGCCTCTAGGACTTGTTCGTACGACCATTGGGGATCATGGTTCTCATCATCCTGTTAGTCAGTACAATAAGAGTAATTTAAAACATAAAATATGTGATTATCAGACTCCTTGGAAACTGACAAATTCAGACTGCATGGGGTCACCTTTCTAACTATATACAGGATAAAAACCTTCGTGTATAATGCAAACTAAGCAGAGAAATACTGAATGTCTTGTATAGGAATTTAACAGGTTACAGTATATCACTGGTCAGTATCGGGAGAAGAGAGGGTAATGGCAGTAGACTTTATTGAATGAAACCAGTTTGATGTGGACCTTTGGCTTTGCCATTTCAACCACACAAAGAACTCTGCAACATGTTAAATTGTTGCTTCATCATATGGAGACATCACAATCCAACAGTATCTATTATCTTCTTCCATTAAGGGCACAAATCTCCTGATACTAATCCATGCAGTGAATATTGGCATTGTTCTACAATCAATATTTCTAAGACATAACAGCTACTGAGAAATCCTTAATATGTAGAGAATTACAAACCTTATAAAATGTCTCCTGTTTAGGTGGACAGAACCTATATCCCTCCTTCACACCTACATTTCTCTTTAGGAAAGAACCAGTAGCAATGCGCCTTGTCACCCACTCTATAGGGATCATGTCCATAGACTGAGCAATAAAGGATGTTTCACTGTGCTGCTTGATGAAGTGGGTCTTGATTCCTACAATATGAAAAGTATTTATTGGAGAAAGAACAAGGTTAATTTCATTAAGCAGAGACATTTTGATGAGGAATCATGTCCAAAGGCTGACAAATGATAAATTCACATGTTTTCCTAGTGTCATATCCCTCCTTTATTTATAAGGCATAAGACTTAGAGATAGAAGTTGTTGGTTTTTCCTGTTGATAAAGTACTGTAAGTACATGTAAAAGACAAAATGCTGAAGATTAGTATACCTGCATCAGCCAAGATTTTAAAGATTTTACAGGTTGTAGAGGTAGATATAGCAGCCTTGCCCTCCAGATCATGTGCCCTAGCCCCATCTCCAGCAGTTATCCTGTCCTTTGACTTCAACAATACCTGGCCAGGCAACTCTGGGATCTCATACACAGCCTTTGTCTTGCCTTCACACAGTTTCTTACCAAGCTGCAAGCCTGGAATATCACAAACAGTAAGTAAAGAATAAAATCAAATTGAGAATAATATAATGTGGAATAACACAAATTGACAGTACAGAAGCTACAGAAGTATGAGCTTAAAAACCTTAATATCAAAACCCTTAGGAACATGATATCAAAGTTCCGATACTGGTATTTCAAGCAAAATTCCACGTTCGGACCAATGGCGGCCAAATAGCATAGCCCTAGTCCATGATACAATGGTTCCTTGATATCAAAACAGGGAGCAGAAACCCAACAACTGTGTTCTCCCTGACTGGAAAATGCGTGGCGCGAAAAATTTTCAATTTACGAGGTCGTGTACTATCAATGATTTGATGGACAACCAAGCTGATCCACGCTTTTTTTTTTTTTTTTTTTTTTTTTTTTTTGTTAAGTGTACATGGATGTGATTTTATGTTAATATATATAAGTTGTTTCAGGAATTGTATCGCCGATTTTTTTTAGGCACTTTTTTATTTAATTTTGCACCATTTTGGTAAAAACCTTAAGGTACAGCTGGAAAATAACATTTTGATAAAAAATTGCCATACCTGCACATGTTATTTTCTGGTACAAAGTATGAAGGCATGTATCAATTTCCTTGCTTTTTTCCGGAAAGTATCATTACATTGTCTTCTTTTAGAATATCTGGTAGGCGTTCAATGGGAACTCCAGGAAATTCTGATATTTCACACTTTCTATTTTTCCAAATTTTCTTTCAAAGTTTCAAGACAACACAGGGGCTACCATTGACCTGTTTCCAGGTTTACTAAAAGTAGACAGTGTAATGATAATACACACATGCCTTCATACTTAATTTTGTACCAGAAAATAACATGTGCAGGTATTGGAATTTTTTTACCAAAGTGTTACTTTCCAGCTGAACCTTAAAATAAAAATTTGAAAAAACAATGATATAAGTTTGAAAAACACTTTGAAGAAGATTTTGGAGATATTTAATTTGATACCAGTAGGGAGAATTAGTGCCAAGACTTAATTTTTGAAAAATTTTCAATCTTACTTATGGACCTGTCTCTTCTATAGATCTATACAGCTTACTACATTGGCGGATTAGGGGGGGGGGCCTGGGGGCCCGCCCCCCCCCCTTGGGTGGGCCCAGAAAAAAAAATTTGGCCAAAAAAAATTTTTGGGCCAAACAAGGCCTCCAGGCCTCAAAAAGTGGGCCTTTTTGGTCATTACTGGGGCTTTTAAGGCCTTATTTTTTAATTTCAGGCCAAATTTTGAAGAAAATGGGCCTCAAATTTTCAAAATTTGGGCCCACTTTTGGATTTTAGGGGACGTTATTTTCTCTGACCGGAAATTTGCCCCCCCCTTGTTGGTTCCTAGATCCGCCCCTGATTACTTTTCCCTTGGCCTATGGCGAAGACCTATAAATCTTGGGACAGAATTTTTAGCTTACAGAAATTTCCCGCGAAAACGCGCCATCTATACGTTGTCCATTGCTAGTACATGCACATGGCGATTTGCACTGAATGAACTCAGTGTTTGCATGTATCACGCATTTTTGGAAGAAATTTCTCTACGGTACCTCACAGTTTCACATTACCTCTTACAAAGAGTTACTATTTTTAATGTCAACCGACAAATAAGAAAAAATATACTTGCCATTTTCAGATGTGATATCCGTCATAATTGCTTATAATTACGAGAAAATTCAACTTTTTAAGAAAGTTTAAATGCTAGATCATGCCTAGGAACACCTTGGAAGTTGTTAGCGGAAGTACTCCCGTGACAAAAAATGATTTTAAAAATGAACCCTCAATCTATAATATGTGTAAATGTCATCGCACTTGAATAATATTATAAATGATTGATTCAAATTACAGTACAATATTGTATTTTAACGACGGATTCAAATGCAAATGTGAAAGTATACAATAACATGCGGATGAATATACTATAAGTAGTTCCCAAAAGGAAAGCACGTGGAATTTCCCGCCATTTTCCAGATCATGGGGTCATGGAAGAGTCCATTTCAATAAGGTTCCAACGCTATCAAGTAATATGAAATTCATTGTTGTATTGTGTAATTTATGCATATCATTTGATAACATAATAGGTTTATTAGGTATAAATGTGTATCTGAATCAAGAATCAAAGAATATAGCTAAAATCGATCTAAATTGAGTGAAGTATGACTCGTACTATGAGGCCTTTCATCTCCTTTCGGAGAGTCCAATATTTTGAGTGGAAACTAGGGATCAAGGTTCAAAGTTCATCCAGTGAAATCAGCAATAGAGAAATGGCCTCAAAGTTTGATTCCGACCAGGATTCTGGACTACATGAAGCATGTGGAGTGTTTGGTTGTGTGGCTACCGGGGAATGGCCCACACAGTTAGATGTGGCAAATATCATCCAACTGGGACTTGTTGGTCTTCAACATAGGTAAGAAAATTCAAAATTTTAAAAACAACCACTGACCAGTTCAATAATTAGAAATCTAGGCCTAGCCTTCAATATATAGGGACCACTGGTAGAGGTGAAGGAGTTACGTAAGGCCAGGGTGTATAGTAAATCTTGTAAATCTCGTAAAACTTGTAAATCTTGTAGATCTAAATTGAGTAAATCTTGTAAAATCTTGTGAAGCTATTCTCTTGATATCAATGTGTTTATGAGTATTCTTTTTAGATCAATACATTATTTAACAGATATGTAGGTCAGTAGTCTATTACATAATCGTGAAATGAATAAGTCTGAATATATCATTGGTCAGAAACACAGGGTCTTGGCTGGAGTGCCGAGCAAGCCCTCCAATAAGTAAGACTGTTGCACTAAAACCTGCTTGAAACTTTGAAAGATTATAAACTCTATTTACTGGATAAGCGTGGTGTATGGTTTTGAAAGTTACTCTTTATGTTGGTTATTTGTGGTTTATTATTCTACATTGATTCTTAAAATATTAGTGTCTAGTTTTTCAGCGTTTTTGAAATATGCAGATTTATACCCCCTGGTGTTATTTAAAGGGGGGGGGGGGTACTAGGAATGCCATGTATATTTCTTAGAATATACAACCAATCATCTTGATATTTATTGTTGTTGTTGTTTATTTACTTTTAATCATCTACTTACCATGTTATACCATTATGACAAGTTTAATAATCAAAGTTGGTCAACTGGTTGTTATGGTAATGGAGATCATATGTTAAAAAGTACACATTTTTGTAAAAATCCTAGACACCCCCTGAGACAAAACACATATTATTTTCATGAATTTGAGAAGAATCACCATGAAAATATTTTATTTTGAAGAAAATAAATAACCATTTGTCTTGATATTCACAGATATTGTTTAAATTATTATGTTTGGCTCTCGTATACCTCTTGGTATGGTGTTTTAGGGGGATACAATGAAAGCCATCTATAATTCCAAGAATATACAGCCAATCATCTTGATATTTATAGGTTATCATCTACTTATCATGTCCTACCACTATGACAAGTTTCATCAATGTGTACCAATTGGATGCTATGGTAACAGAAGTCATTTTTTAAAAAGTACTCATTAAAGTTGTTACTATGAAAGCCATGTATAAGTCCTGAAATATCTAACCAATCATCTTGTTATTGACAAGTTATTATCTACTCATCATGTTCTTACACTATGACAAGTTTCATTAAAGGTGCAATAATTAGTGCAGAGGGGTCATTCAACGATCATGGACCAGTGTCAAAATATATTTAAGTTTGGATAGTTCATCAAGACTAACATCTATTTTTATTATCTACAAAGATACCCCCTAGATAAACAGTATTTTAGCTGATATTCCTCTTGAAACATGGTGGATCTTAAAAATATAAAAGTGGAAGTCCCCTTTTTCAAGCTTTGAACTGAATTTACACTTCTTAATGCTGAAATTGATAATTTATCCATACATTTTAAGAAAATAGGTATGTCAAAGAAGATGTTAAACCAAATGTTGCCTTGATAGCTCAGAAAAAATGAAAAACCCTTCCGATTTTCTCTACAGTCCTTATTGCCCCTTTAATGTGGGGAAACTGATTGTTATTGTAACAGAAATCATTTGTTAAGAAGTACACATTAACCCTAGAAGCCCTAATGGGGGTCAAAATGACCCCCCCCCCCCCCCCTGTTAAGCTTTTTCCCCATAACTTTTTTTGGTATATGGTAGGATCTTCAAATTTTAAGTAGCTGAAGCTACAGATATAACAAATTTCAAATTTCTGAAAAAATCTGCAAAATTGCACATAGGGTAATTGATTAATTATGATGTAATCATGAGCTCCAATAGACAAAATCAGGAACAGCTAGCACTATTCCTACAATACTGTTGTCTTTAGAATAAAATTATGCAATCTTACATCATCAAAGTTGTTAATGTTATTACACCAAGTTGTAGAGAATTAAATGAAGTATATTTTGGACAAGTTTAAACATCCTAGCTTTACTAGTTTGTTATTAATTTATAATGATGACTATCATCAGCTCCAATTGACAAAATCGGAAAAAGCTAGCACTAATTCTACCATACGTGTTGTCTTAAGAAAAAAATTACGCATTCTTACATCATTATGGTTGTTAAAGTTATTACATCAAGTTGTAGGGAATTGAATGAAGTATATTTGAGGAAAGTTTGAACATCCTAGCTCTACTAATAAAAAATTTACAAGGGGGTGCCCTTTGGACCCCCCCCCCCAAGTTTTCAGTGGCGGATCCGGGGGGCCCTAAGTTGGGCCCAGAAAAAAAAAATTGGGGCCAAAAAAGACCTTAAGGCCTCCAAAAGTGGGCCTTTTTGGTCATTACTGGGCCTTCTAAGGCCTTATGGGCTTTAGAATTTCAAAATTTGGGCCCACTTTTCGTTTTAGGGGCCCAGTGCTTCTAGTACAGCACACCCAGATAAGATGTCATTAGTGTAGATAAGGTTTATTTCAAATTTCCTATATTTTCATGAATGGATGGTTGTGGCTAATATCCTGTTCAATCAATGGAGCATATCCCCTGCATTTCCCAATCAATTATAAATGTCAAGTTGACTATTTTATGCAGTTTGAGTGCAGTTAAACCTTTGTTTGTGTGTAACCTTTGCCAATGTGAGCACCTAAGATATTTTGAATACCTCTCTATATGATATTTTTATGCTCTCCTTATATAGCATATTTACTTTGAACAGGTTTTCTGTATCTGGTTGATCACTGATGATACATGAGGTATTACATACACGAGTAGTATTGAACATGATATATACTATATATACCTTGTCTCCTCTGTAAAATAAATGTTCGGAATAAATGCAGAAATGCAAGAAAAAATAAGAAGATAACTGAATTTTCTCATTTTTAAACATTTTATAAAACTAATATTCTCCTCAGTCTTTTCATGATTCACATAATATATGGAATGAGTTGAAAATACAATATGTGACACATTTTTGTACTTTCAGGGGTCAGGAGAGTGCAGGTATTGTGACCAGTCAGGGTGATAGCAAGTACCAGTTTCGTACCCACAAAGGAATGGGATATGTCGGCCAAATATTTCAAGATGAACACATTATAAGAAAGTTGAAAGGCAACCTTGGGATAGGTTAGTTTACTCTCACAAGATCTGCATTAGACTTATACTAGATATAGTAGCCCTAGTTTAATACTCTCACCATTTTACTGTTAATCAAATACAGTTTCGATGGTTAACATTAAATGGATAACATTTTTTTCCAATTTTTACAGTTTGAGGAGTTTGAGAGTCAGCATTTTTAAGCTAACTTACTCATCCAAATTATGTTGCAGGTCATAATAGATACTCCACAGCAGGTAACTCAGAACTTACAAACTGTCAGCCGTTTGTGGTAGAAACACTCCATGGTCTAATTGCTGTGGCACACAATGGGGAACTGGTCAACGCAAATTCATTAAAACAAAAGGTAGATTTACTTAACTAAACATGCACTTGCAAAGAATATGAAAACATGTTACATAGCATTCTATTTAGCACGATGGTCAACTACAGCGACTCATTCACTTTTTTCTCAATAATTGTTCCCTCGTAAATTGGAATATTAATGTTCACTGATGATAACTCTGGTGATACCACTTACAATAAACGTCAAAATTGAATCTGTTAAAATCCATAAAAATATGGCCTTTTGGCTTACTCCATTTCATTTTATCTGTATACCGAGTTGTGTCATTTTTAAGCTCATATGTGTGAATAATAATTTAATTATTACAGGTGCTAAAACATGGTGTTGGATTATCCACAGGATCTGATAGTGAACTTATAACACAGCTTCTGGCCCTCACCCCTCCAGATGGTGAACCCAATGGTCCGGACTGGCCAGCCAGGTAATATGTATACTGTATTTGAAATCAAACTTATTACACAGCTTTTGGCCCTCACCCCTCGAGATGGTGAACCCAATGGTCCAGACTGGCCAGCCAGGTAATATGTATACTGTATTTGAAATCAAACTAATTACACAGCTTTTGGCCCTCGCCCCTCGAGATGGTGAACCCAATGGTCCGGACTGGCCAGCCAGGTAATATGTATACTGTATTTTAAATCAAACTTATTACACAGCTTTTGGCCCTCACCCCTCGAGATGGTGAACCCAATGATCCAGACTGGCCAGCCAGGTAATATGTATACTGTATTTTAAATCAAACTTATTACACAGCTTTTGGCCCTCACCCCTCGAAATGGTGAACCCAATGATCCAGACTGGCCAGCCAGGTAATATGTATACTGTATTTGAAATCAAACTTATTACACAGCTTTTGGCCCTCACCCCTCCAGATGGTGAACCCAATGGTCCAGACTGGCCAGCCAGGTAATATGTATACTGTATTTGAAATCAAACTTATTACACAGCTTTTGGCCCTCACGCCTCAAGATGATGAACCCAATGGTCCGGACTGGCCAGCCAGGTAATATGTATACTGTATTTGAAATCAAACTTATTACACAGCTTTTGGCCCTCACGCCTCGAGATGATGAACCCAATGGTCCGGACTGGCCAGCCAGGTAATATGTATACTGTATTTGAAATCAAACTTATTACACAGCTTTTGGCCCTCACGCCTCGAGATGATGAACCCAATGGTCCGGACTGGCCAGCCAGGTAATATGTATACTGTATTTGAAATCAAACTTATTACACAGCTTTTGGCCCTCACCCCTTGAGATGATGAACCCAATGGTCCGGACTGGCCAGCCAGGTAATATGTATAATGTATTTGAAATCAAACTTATTACACAGCTTTTGGCCCTCACCCCTCGAGATGATGAACCCAATGGTCCGGACTGGCCAGCCAGGTAATATGTATACTGTATTTGAAATCAAACTTATTACACAGCTTTTGGCCCTCACCCCTCGAGATGATGAACCCAATGGTCCGGACTGGCCAGCCAGGTAATATGTATACTGTATTTGAAATCAAACTTATTACACAGCTTTTGGCCCTCACCCCTCGAGATGGTGAACAGAATGGTCTAGACTGTCCAGCCAGGTGATTTGTCTATTTGAAATCGAAATTATACAGCATCTTCTAGCCCTCATAACATATCACTTTTACACAGCTTATGGCAATATTCTGTGATATTCATTACTTGTACTTGTTTATGTACTTGTAGATATTGTATATACTCCTGGACATTAATTTTTAATGTTTTAGCGAATGGTTATGTCCTGAAAATTCTTGAGCCACTCTTCATTATCCCAACGAAAGAATTTCGAGGGGGATATTGGAAAGCCGTCTGTCAGTTGTCTGGGCAATAACTCAAATACCGGTTGACGGATTTGATTCAAATTTTATAGGCTTATGCCTAATGGAGGTAGGACCTCTGCCTCAGATGGCAACCATGACAAAATGGCAACCATGTTTCATAAAAACATAATCTTTGATAACTCAAATACCAGTGGATGGATTTGGCTCAAATTTTATATGGCCGCTATTTATCAAAACATGTTTTGTTCAGTGGGATTTGCTACTCCCTGGAGTTTCTGTTTTTTTCTAGTTTCACAAAAATGGTGAATAAAAATGATTCTCCCTCCTGAATCTTAAACTGATATTTCTTTTCAATACATGTACTTATAGTTTTTATTTTCTGTCTATTTCAGAATCCAACAGTTAATGAAAGAGACTTATACAGCATATTCCCTCCTAGTCATGTATAAAGACACCATATATGCCTTACGGGATCCCTATGGTAACAGACCCATGTGCCTTGGAAAGGTTATGTCAGCGGGACCAATTAGTTCAGGTATATCCCTTACAAGGAATTGTCAGATTTTGTTTGTATCTTTAGATTTTTTCATGGAAAGATAGATTCCATATTTACTCACACCAATGTGAGCGCTTCAAAAGATTGACTCATGAAAAGTGAATGACATTCCCATTTCCTAATGCCCATTTGGCAACTATTGATTTCATATTGCTAAGTATTCAGAAAATAAGACCCCTCAAACGATCTACCCAGGCAATTTTTCAATTTGTGTTACATAACATGTGTTATATTCCAGAAAACAAGCATAATAGTGAAGATGTGGATATAGAAGGTTGGGCTGTTTCTTCAGAGTCATGTTCCTTTCAAGCAATAGGAGCTGAATATTATAGAGAAGTCTTACCAGGTATAGCACTTATTATTGAGGTAGTTCACATTTAGAAGTACATGTACATTTTTGCATTATGTATAATAGCTGCAAGAGACTTTGCCTATCTTTAAGATTGCATCATTTAATCAACACAAGGAGTTTATGTGATACAAACTCAAGACCTCATGTTCAGCGCTCTAGACTGCTCGGCCAACTCAACAACCCTAAAACACAATTAGCGCAACTGTCCTTGGAGTCCAAAATAGAGACTAACATAATATAGGTCTCTCAAAAATATGCAGATCTCAAGGATCTTAAGCTAAGTTCACACCAACGGCACTTTGATAGAGCTTTAAAGCGGTGTACAAAGTGGCACCAAAGCGTAACAAAGCTTAATTAAAGTGTCAAGATCGTAATAGATTAAGCTCTCAAAAAGAGAAATCATCAAGACTAATGTATGTCTATTTTTCAGGAGAAATAGTACAGTTAACGAGGCATGGTGTCAAGTCCATATGTATTGTCCCTAGGCCTACAGAAAGCCCATCAGCATTTTGTATATTCGAATATGTCTATTTTGCCAGACCTGATAGTATCCTTGAAGGTGAGTGCTTGATTTGAGTTTGGTTGTTTATGTTTTAGTTGAAATATGCTATATTGCATGAATGTTGTATCAAGTAAAATGATAGCTCCAGTTTTTCTCTCAGCTGGGTGTTAAATCGCAAGTTTTATCTATTTTGCTCAAAATTTGCCCAGTGCAGTTAAACCTGTGCTAGTGAGCCTGTGCTTATTAACAACATACTCAACTGAATTCTCTACAAATAGCCCTCTCTGTCATGGATAAGTACTTACAGTAAACACATTTCTGTTGCTCCATTAGGCGTTTAATGTATATAAGTTTCACTATTATTCCCTTTTGACAGAGTGAACATATCACTATAGATTTTCAACATGAAATTCCAAATTTTCCACAAAGTTCAGTACCCACTTGCTCCATCCAATGCAAGAAAGCCCCTGTATAGTATAGTATAACTGTGCAAGTGTACATGCATGAAACTATGAAAAAGCTTTACATTTTCTTTCAGGACAGATGGTGTATACTGTGAGACAGAGATGTGGTAAACAACTAGCTTTAGAGGCCCCAGTTGAGGCTGATATTGTCAGTACAGTGCCCGAGTCAGCCACTCCTGCAGCTCTAGGGTTTGCCCAGCAGGTAATTAATATTCAAATTGTCATTGAGATAAACAGCAATATAATTCCTCTAAGAGAATATCCTTTAAACCCAAATGTGTTTCTCCAAAGTGGCAAGAGTAAAAAATGTATCTTCAAAACACCAAGTATGAAAAATGTATTTCTACAATTGCCAAATGTATAAATGCATTTTTCAAAAGGCCAAGCCTATAAATGCATTCTTCAAAATGCCAAGTGTATCAAAATATTTTTCCTAAATACCAAGTTTATTTATTTCACTACATTTTTCTAGGCTGGGATTCCCTATGTCGAGGTGCTTTGTAAGAACAGGTACATCGGAAGGACATTCATTCAACCAACCAAGAGACTTCGGCAACTAGGGGTGGCTAAGAAGTTTGGGGCATTGACAGAGAACTTTAAAGGCAAGCGTATTGTAATAGTGGATGACTCTATAGTACGTGGTAACACAATGGGACCTATTGTAAGGCTATTGAAAAGCGCAGGCGCTAAAGAGGTATGGTAAAAAAAAATAATGAATGCAATTAAACTTTCACATGGTGAAATTTCATCACAAGTTCCACTTCTCATGCACTTCTAGTGCATAAAACTTCTTTACAACTAGCTACAGCAATCTTCATTTTCGATATACTTTGATACTAGACTGGATTGGTACAAGAGCTGAATTGATTTCGTGCAATGAGTAAAATTCGATTGGGTTAAAATGCTCAGTGGAAGTTTGCAGTGCTTATAAAGATGTGATGACTGCTCAGTGCATTCAATGAAGCCAAAATTGTTTGATCAGACGATAGCACTGCAGTGACTACAGTGAACCCTTTGATAGATTTTACTTCATTTCAGTCGCACATAACTTCATTGATTGTAACTTTCTCTTGTCCGATTCAGAGCATACACCATTATTATCACAAATGTGAATTCGTTGATTTCAGGTTCATATTAGAATAGCCTCACCTCCGATTAAACACCCCTGCTATATGGGAATCAACATTCCAACCAAAGATGAACTCATAGCAAACAAGCTATCAGCTGACAAACTTGCTCATTACTTAGGTAAGTATATAAAATGGCAAACATCTGAATAGCCTGATAGAAATTGATGATTACTTCGCTTCCTAAATGTGGAATTCTATCCCAATCTTTTTCAAGGTCAATAAATGGAGCAAGAGACATAACAATTCATTAAAAATCTATTTTGGATATTTTTTAATTAAAGATTAAGAGAAGGAATATTCCCTATCCTTTATGAATTCAGAAAATTGAATGCTTGTCCCACTGTCGAACTAAAACTCTGTTGGGGTGACATAACTCAGAAAATATTCGACATGGGCAGTGTAGTCATTAACGGCCTTCCCGGCGGACATTGTCCAGTAGATTGAGCCCCAGTCCGGCAATGTTTGCAAAAGTGCCGGTCATTTGGACCAGCATGATATTTAATCGCCTACCTAGCGGTAGAATTCATGTCCGTGCTGTTATTCTCCAAATAATTAGAGTTGTCGATGATTAAATCGCCAGATTTAAGTTATTAACAAGAATTCATAAAAAGATTTTTTTTTCTTTTTTTTCTAAGAACAACCGTTTATAAACCGGTATAGCAAAATGATACATTAAATTACCGAACGTACAATATAAAATGTTTTGAAAGTCGATATAGCAAATCAATTTCTAGCTAGTTTTAGATTGCTTCTGGTATGTTTATATTCACTGTGACATTTCAATCAATATCTTGGATATCCCAGGGGCGGATCTGGAAACCAACAAGGGGGGGGGCCCAAATTTCAGGTCTGATGAAAAAATATCCGCACTTGCGCGTAAAAAAAATTTGGGCCCCTAAAACCAAAAAGTGGGCCCAGTAACGACCAAAAAGGCCCACTTTTTGGAGCCTGAAGGCCTTTTTTGGGCCTAATTTTTTTTCTGGGCCAATCCAGGGGGGTATAGTCAGTAATGATACTGATTTAATTTTAAACATGACTCATAAAACAATTTGTTGATATATTGTTCTTTATTGTTTAACAAGATTTTGATTGACCGGCCACATTTCATACGGACCAGGGACTTTTTTGAGGTGCTGGTCATTTTGTCCAGCCTATTTTGATACGGACCACTTAACTTTGATGATCAACAGGTCCGTATGACCAGTCTCTTTTTCCCCCTTAATGACTACACTGGACATGGGAGAAAAATGTAAGTTCATTGCATTCAACAATGTTAAAGGTGCAACAATTAGTGCAGAACAATCAATGCTGAAATTGATAGTTTATCCATACATTTTAAGAAAACAGGTATGTCAAAGAAGATGATAAGCCAAATGTTGCCCTGATAGCTCAGAAAAATTAAATTTTTTCAAATTTTCTCTCTGCAAGCCTTGTTGCCCCTTTAAATTACTCCCCATTGATGGTTTAATTTTTTGTATTTGTATATTAAAATCTGACATTTTAATCATTGTATTCCAGGGGCCAACAGTGTTGTATATCTGACAGTGGATGGCTTAGAGAAGGCCACTAAACAAGGTATCGAGAAGAAATCAGAGAAGAAAGTTGGACATTGTGTGGCCTGTTTGACAGGAGAATATCCAGTTAAATTAGAGTGGTGAAACAGAGTTGATTTATAACAATTAAGAGTCATGAGGATATGAAAGTGCTACGGAAAAATGCCTTTTTACAGAGAATCTCAAATTCCAGAAGGAAGGGTTTTGTGTTCCATTTTACATTTTATTAATGCACATATGTGGCCATATTAGAATTTGTGCAGCCACTGCAAAGTTTTCATACCATTCTACTCAACTATATGGTACATTTTTTTTCATTTTTTTTTTTTGTATTTTATACCACTACCTGGTATGTGTTTTTGTCTCATCTTTTTGTGATGAAAGTGATCACATTCTACTGTAGATTCAAATCACATCAAACATTGTGACATTTTGACAACTATCTCTTCATGTGACTTTTTGTATACATTGAGATCATTATGTCTATTCAGCTTTTATAAACACTATTTTTCAAATGTATTGTGTTCAGGTCTGTTTGTGAGTATGTTTTGCCAATGTTATTCTGATTTAGGCTTTAGGCTAGTATACACCACTTTAATACAGACTATATGCTTCATATTCATTTTGATCTCGCTTATATATAATATTAACATATTACATATGTCAATGGCTTACATAATAATTTCCAGATTTGATGTTCCTCTTACAAACATATTTTTGTATTCATCTGGTATGTGCACAGTTTTTTTAAATGTAATTACCTATGTGTGTAAAGGGAGAGCAAGCATACTATCCCTTTAAATTGTGTCAACAATGTTCATATCTTAAAGTCACTTATGCTACAAATGAAAACATATATATATATAAAAGACAATGTAATTGTTGCATGCTCTTTGATACAGCTGAGATTCACGTAAAATGCTTATTATTGCTATTTGTTCATATAATGAGCCATTTTTCATTGAACACTTTAGTAGTATTGAAGTCCAAGAATGTCTGAAACAAGTGAAGAACTTGAACTGTAGTAGTATTGAATGCTTTAAGCTTGTAAAACAAGTCTTGATTTATTAGATATCCATTTATATAAAACTTACTTTTTTGTAAAAATAGTGGCGTTTAAATAATCACATATAACACTTCCATATCAAAACAGATCTCAAGTTTAGAAGTCAGTGTTCAGTTCAATTTGAAGAACAAATAATGGGCAGCCGCATTTGTAGATTCAAACTTAAATGTAACACTTGAAAATACCATATTTTAAACTGTAACACCTCAAGTCCTATAATACTTATATGCCCACAGCGGCATGTGTTCAGTGTACATAATGCAGTGCTCCAAGATCAAGAAAAAACAGGGTGACCCCAAAAATGTATCCATTGAATAAAATGCCTATAATTTTGATTCACATCCGGAGAACCACTATTTGGCACTAAAATTTCCTCATTATTGGCATTGTTCTACCATTTTGATCACCCTGTAATGCTATATTTCAGATCTAGAAGAGGTGTATTCGGAGATTGAAAAAAGGCATAAATATGAGATATTATGTAATGCATGCACTGCTTTGTATGATGTATTTTAAAAATGATATGTGATTTGCATGCACTTGCTTATCTTGTATTTGCCTATTGGTGGCTTGATGTGCATACTAATAAATGAATTGTGTTTTTTTAGTAAATCTCTCTTCTGTTTTTTTTAATTAAGATACATTTATTTCTATATAAACTATTATAATATTATGTCTCTCCTGTTCCGTTCTCTGATTAGTAATTGTAAGTGGTCTTCATTAGTTTCAATTTTGACCTGTTCTATAAAAAGATGTCAGCATCATCGCGATAGCCTCGCCTCTGTCTTTATCCTTCCATATTGCAGATAAGAGGGGCTCTGGCATACCAGAATGTGTCCGCATCATTAAGTTTAAAAATATTTTCACAAGTAATGTGGAATGATTTGTGTAAAGAAGACATGTATATATGGCTTATTTGTTCCTTATACATGTTATACGTAATGAAAGCAATATACGACTCTGCTACCTATGATGGAGGCATCGAGCTATTTCATATGACTGAAGGAATACACTGGTTTAACAATACGTGTAAAGGAAGAACCAGAGATATACATGTAGGGGCAACATAATTCTAAAAATCACCAACGCCCTGTGATATATCAAATTGTGACGTTAATTTAAACTCGTTCTTCCAAATAATACGTAAAAATGTTAAGGAAGGAACAACGATTTTCGAAATAGACATGAAATTATTTGGCATGAGCCTAAAGAATTCCAAAGTTGGAAAGGGTGCTCACTGGATCTAATTCTGCTTTCAGCAAATAAGCGTAGTATATATAGATATAATATAAATGTTTTATGTGAAATAATGTATATTTTAGTGTACTATTTTATATTAGTTTTATTATCCATTTATTATCTGTAAGTGCAAGATCCACTGCGAACGATGAATATCGTACGTTGAAATAAAAAATGGCTGCCTTAAAATGTACCCAGAATGCCCAAAATCTATTAAGTTCTTAACTTTCATAGAATAACAGAATAAGTATACCTGGACAATTCTAATCAGAAGAAAGGGCAGAAGACCCCCCCCCCATTTCTAAATGTATCATATGTCTGAAGATATCTATGATCAGGCCCGTAGCCATGATTTGTCAAGGGGGGTTCACTTTTTGAAAATTCCAGGGGGTTCACTTAAGACAATTTTAATCAAAAATTTTTGGCCAAAATCACTTAAAAAGTACTCAGAATGGTGAAAAACTGCATGATTTTGAAAGATCTTTTGGCCAGGGGGGGGGGTTCGCTCGAACCCCCTGGCTACGGGCCTGATGATATTGGAATGACTTCATCCCATCACTTGTCTATTATCTGTCTAGTCTATTATAATAGTTTTACATTTCATTAGCTCATTTATTCTGGCAGAATTATTTCCTAAAAAACTAATTTGCTTTGAGGATTGCTTACTATGAATAGAAACACCCACTCAAAATTAGTTGCTAGTGGCTAGCAATGCAGAAAAGGATGAAACTGACAAGAGAAGATACTTCGCATAAACTTTTTAAGAAATGATATGATATTCAAAAATTCAGTTTGAAAGCGATTATGCGTCCTTCTTTGTGAATAATAATTAGAGATCCATCCAATATAACAAAAATACTACTTTATTGATTTTCCATTTTTAGTCAGATGATCCTGAAAGTCGAAAGATCATCCTGAAATAGAGTCAGAACTGTTGGACCTTTTCGAAAAAAAGACATGGAACGAGGAGAGCAAAAAGCCAAGCAATGTGCCTTATCGTAACCATGAAGTCGTGAGCTCCTTGTGTGTTTATTCATTGTAGAATTGGGAATTCAGAACTTACTCTCATATCACCTCAATCCCTTTTATTTGCACTTATTTTAATTGTATAAGCTGTCATTAATGTTCCAATGACTTTTGATTAGTGCCTACTCGTCGATAACCACATCTCCGCAACACCTACAACAATGCAAAACAAGGTAGTCCATTAAAACCCTCTATTACGAACACCATACCGTTGCTATTGTCTCGACGGGATGAATTATAGACTGTTACATTGTTCCCTGATCGGGAATCGGATTCATTAATTGTTTCCTCTTTGCAATTTGCAATTAATACCCATTGTGCTGTAATATAGCGGAGCAGATCAGTTGATACTTACAAATAGTTCTCTGTAGTAACTTATAATTATTTGTAATAATGACTAATGATTACTCGTTGTCTGAATCCTAATTCTAAATAGGCTATTTCGCGTTCTGACACGCTGACATGGAACAGTCTCGTTTTGCAAGCTTGTGTACGAATAAGGCTTTTTGGGGTCGTTTTTAATCACAGTACAAGATCAGTGCCAAAATGACAAAAAAAACTATTTTTCGGTTGTCTTTCATATTGCTGTTTTACAGATTTCCAAATGTTAACCACGAAAAAAACAATATCAACGGAAAAACAAGTAAATGGAGCAGATTGGGACATTACTTTCGATCCGGATTATACATGACGTGACAATAGAGAGCTTTCGATAAAAGTTGTTTCGAAAACGTATACGTAAACTTGTACTTTAAAGGGTCTTAGTAGTATTATCCGTAGGAATGAGGCCCGGGAAAGTCAGGCAAATGGGAAAGTCAGGCAAATGGGACCAATCTGGACCAATCAGGGCCAATCTGAGCCAATCAGGGTCAATCTGGGACATTCTGGGACAATCTGAGACACTCAGGGACAACCAGGGAGCGATACGGGAGCCGGCGACCAATAGGCTGGCTCGAACCGATAACGTTTACTTCATTTAAAGATAACAAATTCCACCATCTGAAGATAACAAATTCCACCATCTGAAGATAACAAATTCCACCATCTGAAGATAACAAATTCCACCATCTGAAGATAACAAATTTCACCATTTATGATTTTTTCAACATTTTAAAGATAAGGTGATATACTATATAATGGCTGAGTTTTAGACAGGTCTGCCTAATCACGTCATCTGCAGCAGAAAAAATAGGTAAGTTGAACTTTTTAAAAAAACAACTTAAGGTGCTATTCTAGGCCCGCATTAAGGGATATGAAAATTGGATGGGAAGCTGAGGAGCTAAGACATCCGCCCTACTGAGCTATGTAGAGCCATTGATGAATACGACTGTTAACCACCCGCTTATATACTGATTAGGAGCTACTTGGGCTGGAGAATATGTCACTGATTAAGGAGACTGAAATGCGATCGAGTCTCGAAACACGAGTCCAAAAATGTTTTTAACGCAAAATCAGAAGGACCGAAAATTAAAATCCGTTCGTCCGTTTAACATGGCAAATCCCATTGGCGCTGGGAAACGTCAGAAATTAGGGGGACCAAAAATATGTTACGGTCGAATTAGGGTACTCAAAAGCTATTTCAGACCAGCATTTAGAGATCGAAAAGCATGTGTGTGAGAAGTCTCCACGTCTATGGCATACAGATGAACTTAGTTGTTTAAAGGAGCCGAGCTCCTTTAAACAACTCGCGTACCGTACAGAATCCGAGCTGTATACTAGAGTATGCCCCCAGTAAGCAGCAGCATGATCGGGGAGAAACAAAATGACACACTTTATTTAGCCAGTTTTAAAGATAGCAAATTCCTCCATTTTAAGATAACATTTTTCATCCTAGAGATAAGATTTTCCAACATTTTGAGATAAAATGGATCCAAAGTCCTCGGTTTTTCAACATTTTATAGATAAGGCGATATACTATATTATGGGTTGACAGGTCTAACTCGCCTAATCACGTCATCTGCAACAGAAAAACAGTTAAGTCGATTCTCAAATGCAATTTCAGACTTGTTTTTACTAATCTAGATCCAGAAACATTCTTTATACAGTCAATGAGGTCTTTATTCGTATCTTTAGTCCCGATCGTTTATCCTTCAAGCTGACACATCTGCTGGCACGCTACAAGATAGCAGTAAACAGTCATTATAATCCGATAGATTTGGTAGTTTACTTTGTAAAGATGCTTCTTCTAGGTATGCCTCTGCTAGGTTTAGTCTTTATAGTCCCATAACCATGTACCTGCAAAGAAGATCAGATACATTTTATTTTGAGTAGGAATAAACACGTCTTGCCTCTATTTCGCATGGAACATAAACTATGGTCTCTAAATATCAGGCTAAAAATATTTTTCACCTACATTAGGAGACTTGAATGCAAACGAGTCTCGAAATACCAGCCTCAAAATAGTTTATTACCTAGGAGACCACAAAAATAAAATCCATACGTTTAACATGGGAAATCCCATTAAAACTCAAAAATATCAGAAATTAGAGGACCAAAACTATTTTTTCACCTACATTAGGAGACTTGAATGCAAACGAGTCTCGAAATACCAGCCTCAAAATAGTTTATTACCTAGGAGACCACAAAAATAAAATCCATACGTTTAACATGGGAAATCCCATTAAAACTCAAAAATATCAGAAATTAGAGGACCAAAACTACTTTTTCACCTAAATTAGGAGACTGGAATGCAAACGAGTCATGAAATACCAGCCTAAAAATATTCTTGACCGATATTTAGGAGACCGAAATTTAAAATCCGTACGTCTGTATAACCTGGGGAATCCCATTGAAATTCAGAAATATCAGAAATTAGAGGACCAAAAATATTTTTTCACCTAAATTAGGAGACTGGAATGCAAATGAGTCTCGAAATAATAGCCTCAAAAATATTTTTAAACTGAATTAGGTGGCCCAA